AACTTCTTTTTCTGTGCAAACTCTCAGCATGTCTACGTTATTTTCGCATGTTGTTGTGTATGCGTTTGAACTGTGTTGAGTTTAACCCTTCCTGGACCTACAAGTTGTGAGGAATGCGAACATTTACACTTGCTGTCAGTGAGAGGGAAGTTCTGTCAGGGGGTGTTATTAAGACGTTCACAGAAACTCTGACATTACTTAACTTCTTCTTTGTGGTTTTTGACCGTTATTTTAGTTCTGAACCCGAATGTACTTACCTAGACGAAATAACAGAGACCCACCAACATTGTTGTGGGAATAGGACAACGTGTCCATGATGTACTGTAAAAAAATATGTCACAGTATCTCCATGAAATTTGAGAGTGTGAATGACGTCACAACGTGTCCATGGTGTTTTAGTGTGTAAATGAGACGTCACACGTTGTCCATGTTCTATGTTACTAAGTGACGTGCCAGTGACTCATGAACTCTCCTACCTACAGCTACAAGCGGCCAGCATAGTACCTGTGCCACAGGTAGCTGCTATGTGACGATTCGTCACATCTTACGGGATTGTCTGGTCCATCAGACCGCAGTCATATCGCTGGAATAGTGCTTGTGTGCGGCATTAAACAACAAACGAAACCAACGTTGTCCTTCAAAGATAATGCATATGTTTTTCATCTGTTTCAGTTTTGACTCATTTACACATATAAATAGGATAGAATAGTTCACCTCCATACTGGAAACATCCTGAAACTGAGAAACTGAAGTCAGTGTCCCATGAAGTTTAAGTGCGTATATACCATAACTACGTTCCAATTGTGTTATCGTGTGTCACGTCACACTTTGTACTGGGATCGGAATAGCAGGGGCGTAGCTACCATTATACAAAAAAGCCCGGGCTTACGCATGATTGTTATTAAAAAGGTTGGGCAAGTCCTCAATACTAATAAAATAAAAAGCTTTGCAACCTATCGGGCTTACACGATAAAAATGGCTTGCTACGCGCCTGAATAGTTTTGTGCCGCAACAAAGAGGCTAAAAGGAGAAAGAAGCAACAATTACCTGGCTGTGTCTGGTTGGAAATCGAGATCGTGTGTTTGAATCCCAATTCGCCCTGACTATGTTTATAAGTTCGTCAGCACCATGCCTTATCTGTGGGCCATCACTTCGGCCTTTCCCCTCAGTCCAAGCGCTGACGGGGCGGTGTGGTAGCCTAGTGGTAAAAGCGTTGGCTCGTCACGCCGAAGACCCGGGTTCGATTCCCCACATGGGCACAATGTGTGAAGCCCATTTCTGGTGTCCCCCAGCTGGATATTGCTGGAATATTGCTAAAAGCGGCGTAAAACTAAAACTCAGTCAGACAGTCAGCCAGGCGCTGACAAAACTTACTCGCTCACACACAACACAAAGTAGTCAAGGTTTCAAGTGGGTATATTTTACTGCAGCTTCAAGGGAAAACTATTCAGTGAGATTGATCTTAGACTGAATAAAACTGAAGTGAGATTTGCACAATGCTGAAACTGAATGAGTTATATGGTTCGTTTAGCAATACTTGGAAAGAAACCCATTTGGCTTGTGGAGACTCGAATTATATAAGTGATACATGACGAGTAACACTGTAATACACGGTACAGGCTGTTAGTTACCTCATATGTGGGGTGGTGGTTTGTGGAGACTCGAACCAGGTGATACATGACTAGTAACACTGTAATACTCGGTACAGGCTGTTAGTTACCTGATATGTGGGGTGGTGGTTTGTGGAGACTCGAACCAGGTGATACATGACTAGTAACACTGTAATACACGGTACAGGCTGTTAGTTACCTGATATGTGGGGTGGTGGTTTGTGGAGACTCGAGCCAGGTGATACATGACTAGTAACACTGTAATACACGGTACAGGCTGTTAGTTACCTGATATGTGGGGTGGTGGTTTGTGGAGACTCGAGCCAGGTGATACATGACTAGTAACACTGTAATACACGGTACAGGCTGTTAGTTACCTGATATGTGGGTGGTGGTTTGTGGAGACTCGAGCCAGGTGATACATGACTAGTAACACTGTAATACACGGTACAGGCTGTTAGTTACCTGATATGTGGGTGGTGGTTTGTGGAGACTCGAGCCAGGTGATACATGACTAGTAACACTGTAATACACGGTACAGGCTGTTAGTTACCTGATATGTGGGTGGTGGTGGGGTGGTGGTGTGGAGACTCGAACCAGGTGATACATGACTAGTAACACTGTAATACACGGTACAGGCTGTTAGTTACCTGATATGTGGGTGGTGGTTTGTGGAGACTCGAACCAGGTGATACATGACTAGTAACACTGTAATACACGGTACAGGCTGTTAGTTACCTGATATGTGGGGTGGTGGTTTGTGGAGACTCGAACCAGGTGATACATGACTAGTAACACTGTAATACTCGGTACAGGCTGTTAGTTACCTGATATGTGGGGTGGTGGTTTGTGGAGACTCGAGCCAGGTGATACATGACTAGTAACACTGTAATACACGGTACAGGCTGTTAGTTACCTGATATGTGGGGTGGTGGTTTGTGGAGACTCGAACCAGGTGATACATGACTAGTAACACTGTAATACACGGTACAGGCTGTTAGTTACCTGATATGTGGGTGGTGGTTTGTGGAGACTCGAACTAGGTGATACATGACTAGTAACACTGTAATACACGGTACAGGCTGTTAGTTACCTGATATGTGGGTGGTGGTTTGTGGAGACTCGAACTAGGTGATACATGACTAGTAACACTGTAATACACGGTACAGGCTGTTAGTTACCTGATATGTGGGTGGTGGTTTGTGGAGACTCGAACCAGGTGATACATGACTAGTAACACTGTAATACACGGTACAGGCTGTTAGTTACCTGATATGTGGGGTGGTGGTTTGTGGAGACTCGAGCCAGGTGATACATGACTAGTAACACTGTAATACACGGTACAGGCTGTTAGTTACCTGATATGTGGGTGGTGGTTTGTGGAGACTCGAACCAGGTGATACATGACTAGTAACACTGTAATACTCGGTACAGGCTGTTAGTTACCTGATATGTGGGGTGGTGGTTTGTGGAGACTCGAACCAGGTGATACATGACTAGTAACACTGTAATACACGGTACAGGCTGTTAGTTACCTGATATGTGGGGTGGTGGTTTGTGGAGACTCGAACCAGGTGATACATGACTAGTAACACTGTAATACTCGGTACAGGCTGTTAGTTACCTGATATGTGGGGTGGTGGTTTGGAATGTATTCAGGATAAGCAAAAGTTAAACATTAACGTCATTTGTTTGCAATTGTTTATGACATTTGACTTAGACTTGGCTCCTTAGATGCCAGCACTTGATAACTGGTTTGGGGGCATGGCGTCCAATGCATCTGAGACGCCGTAATTCGCTGTGTGGAGCTTCATTGTGCTCGCCAGAAATCCATGATCGTGGGTTCGAATCTTGGATTACTCAGGCTATGCTTCTATAGGTTTTTCAGCTCGTTATACATCCTCGCGAGTTTCACCACAGTCCTGCATTACTTGGGGCTCTCCCGTAAGTTGACACGCCGTGACATGACTGAAATATTGGTCAAAGCGAGCTCAGTGAGTGTGAATGAGTTTAGTTTTTCGCCGCACAGCAATATTCCAACTATATGGCAGCGGTCTGTAAATAGTCTGGACCAGACAATCCGGTGATCAGCAGCATGAGCATCGATCTACGCAATTGGGATACGATGACATGTGTCAACCAAGTCAGCGAGCCTGACCACCCGATCCTGTTAGTTGCCTTTACGACAATCATTGGTTACTGAAGATCAGTTCTAACCCGGATCTTCTCATGTCCAAAACGATCTCAAATCCAGCTCACTTCTTCACTGTTAATTTTGGTTATAAATATCTGTCTAATGTCAGGGAGACTATATAACGCCCTGTTGTAGATTATCCCTGCTAATGTCAACTAATCAGGAAAAGTATGTAAAATAAATTCGTGATTAAGTGAATGAGTAAATAATATTTCAGCAATATAAAGTGAAATGACATACCATGGGCTGTAAATGGTCGAATCTGGATAAGACAAACCGATGATTTTATGTCGCTGGGTTGAAATCTTGATTAATCTTTCCCCCTTTTCGTAGGGGACCTATTATTACGTGAGAGACCCTAAGTCGGTTTTCGATTGTGTAATAAATTAAGCAATTTATGTTTTAAACATACAATTAAAAACAATATCAGTGGTCTTGGAAAGGGAGTCACAGCGCCCACTCTCACTAACAAGAAATTCAAAATAATTTACACGAACAGCACTTTAACCATGAACTATTCTGAATTGCAGCTAATACACGTTATTGATATATAATTTATAAGAGCAGTTTCTGTGGTAAGGCGAAGAATGCATAGGCGGATCCAGGGGTGGGGGTGGTGGTGCTGGGGTGCGCACCCCCCTTTTCGTGCTGAAGGTTTGTTAAATGACCATTGAAACTCGGGTGAAAATGAAATGTGCACCCTCCTTTTCACAGTAGTGTGCACCCTTCTCAAAAAGCTGTATCCGCCCCAAGAATGTATCTTGCAGTTATTACAGATCATAAATAACTCCTCTCCAAATAATGCCTAATATGTCAACACAACCTGAACCAATTGTACACATGTATACTTGGGCATTTCAATGAAATCTTTGTCATGTTTGACCAAAAGGTTCCGCAAGCAATACGACTAATTTGTGATTTTACGTTTTATAACATTAACGATGTGCGAGAAAGAATGTTTGACTGGCAGCTTCAGAATGGAATACATACGTCCATAAATAAGATTGTTGTTATAATAACGATATGAAACAGTGACAACATTTGCATTTACTTTGAACTTATATTAAGTGTGCGGTAACTTTTCGCATGTCATTTATATGCATTTTCCGTTTATTTCTTGTTCGATACTTTAGAACTCCCCAACGAGAATACATCGCAACTAGATTTTCTGTTCAAATGCGATTCCGCAAGAGTGTATCTTTCCTATAGTTATTCGGCAACGAGAACCAGTTTATCGGAAAACGAGACCAAACGAGACTTAGAAACCGCATGTTTTAGCCTGAGCAAGACGAACATTCGGGAAGAATTTGTGACCATTTCTTGAAAATCGTAGTCTCCAGGTTTCAACATGGTATGTGATATATATTTACAATACTTCAGTTTGGTCGATGTTTGTGTCGAGCTAATATTCATTGTACAATTCAGTGAATGAAGCATATTTGTCTATAAATCCACGTGCACCGGCAAAATCTGACACAGAGTTTGTCATGCGAATTCACATGAAATGTAGTAGGGCAAATGTAGATCTCATTTAATTTAGGTTTATGATTCTACCAGGATATCATATCGCAATCGATAATTGCCCAGTTCTGTCTTTGTCAGAAAGAAGGATGAGATCTTTTATTTTCAAATCTTTCTGATTCAGATCATTCTAAATAACCCAGTAGCGTTGCTATTTGTGTCGTCGGCATACAAATGTACACCCTCAAATCATAAAGAAATTTCTGTGCACAGAAATTACTTGCCGTTTATTAATTCGTTTGTACTGCAGTTTTTAGAACATGGTGGTTTGGTGCAATTTCTTATAAGCTCATTTGTTCTCGACTGAATAGATTTTTTAGGCCTAGTTCACAGCGTAAGTGACTCTTTGTTGTGCGAAGTTGAGGCGTTTGATATTCTTATCATGCTTATAAAGAAAACAATGTCGAGGATTGAGGGAATGAACCCAATATTTCAGAAGTCATTAATATAAGGGCAATGCTAAATTTTTGAGGGCATTATCATTTGCAGAAGTCTGAGGTCTTCCATTAACTGCCCGCGGAGAGCAGTTGAAAAAGACCGAGAGCTTCTGCAAATGATAATGCCCTCAAAAATAGCATTACCGCTATTATTGCTAAAATACATGGAATTTGTGTTGAAAAGAAAAAGGAAACTTCTGACGGGGTTGACTGCGCGAATGCAATTACGTCATCGAACAATTCAAGTGACGTCACAACAGAAAGTGATGATATTCGAACTTGGCCTTTGACAAGACCATAGCCTGTAACATGTCAAACTATGTCAGTGTTTTGGTCCATCAACAGCCTTAATAGTGCAATTGTTAAGGTTAGCACCAACAAGAAAGCCAATATTACCGCTATTTAAAGCGGGAGTTCGGGTTGCTTTGACTTGTTTGCCCCAGAATATCTGCCAGTCGAAAGCCAATTAATGTTGAATAAACCGTAAGCCCACGCACCCACTATGACGTCACTTGACAACAGAACTGATAGTGGCCCGTCGTTAAGGTTGAGCGGTCCAATATCATTTGCAGCGACCCGCAAATTTCTGATAATGTGAGGGCCGTTTCATGATAATTCCATGTATTTTAGCTATAATTCTATATATTTTTTCTGTCGTGATCACAGACTACCAGTATGTGAATTTAATATGAACTATACAATACCTATGATACCATATATATTAAATATGTTTATCACAATTTCTTTGAAGCTGTCCCTGAATCCTGTACAGATCCTCAGTGCTGGGGCAGAGGAAGAAAAATCAGAAACAGCTCGTCTGGTGAGTGGTCATTGTATTTAGTTATTATTAGATACATTTAGTTGTCTGTATTGTGTCCATGTCAGTGCGTCATGATGAACTATTTGGCAGGGCAGTGATTTTCAGTATTACTTGTTGGATTGTATCTAATCACAAGTGGTTTAATCTGAGAGCAAAATATCCTCACTATGTCCAAACTAACACGATGTAAAAAATAATCAATGAAACAATATCAACTAATACTTTACAATGTGTGAGACGTCTATGGACATGATTGAAATTATCAGCAAATTTGCACATAGCATAACTTGTGTCAGTTGGCCAAGGCCCTTTACGGTAATGTGAACCAAAAGTTGGGCAGTAAGCGGCATTGTTGCAGTGTATCACTTGCTTGCATGACCAAAAATATATCTGAAATGTTTCAGTCTAAACAATTGCAAGAATCGTTTGTTAGTTTTATTCCTTTGTGTTAAACAAATTTGTGAATAAATTTTGGACGTAACTGTGCTGAATGAGTTGTCTTTGTTTGTAGTCTTCATTTGTTGGAGCCATTGCTATTGGTGACCTGGTGAAGAGCACCCTGGGTCCCAAGGGTATGGACAAGATCTTACAGGGTTCCAACTCAGTGGAAGTCACAAATGATGGAGCGACCATCCTTAGAAGTATTGGTGTTGACAACCCAGCAGCCAAGGTTCTTGTAGGTCAGTGGATGTCATCTCACATGTCACACTCGGAGAACAAGATCTAATACATCAGAGACATAGTTAGACATAATAGCTGTTTGAATTTGAAGATGAATGAAAGTCTCATTGTGAAAATAATCATGTTGAAACCAATTTCTGGTGCCCCCTCCCACAGCGATATTGGTGGAATAATGCCAAGCAAATGCTGAAAGAGCCTAAAACCATGCTCACCCACTCACAGACTGCACAGGTTCCTTGCAGGATAAGCTGTTAGCCCACAGTAGTTGTAAAGATGTCAGAACTCGCTAACCTGTGTATTGGAGAATTGGTCACCTGTGAAGGCCTGGGTTAGAATATTGATCTTCAGTAACCCATGCTTGTTGTAAGAGGCAGACTAACGGGATCGGGTGGTCAGACTCGCTGACTTCGTTGAAACATGTCATCAGTTCCCAATTGCGCAGATCGATGCTCATGCTGCTGATCATCGGATTGTCTGGTCCAGACTAGATTATTTACAGACCGCCGCCATATAGCTGGAATATTGCTGAGTGTGGCGTAAAACTAAACTCACTCGCTCACTCGTTGGAGAATTGGTTACATGTTATGAGTTATAGCGATTTAATTGCTAATTTCAGTGAATAAAAACAAAAATTCTGTTTCCACCAGATGTATACATTTGTAATATGTTAATCTCTGTTCATCAGTGATATATGTGTGTGTGTGTGTGTGTTTTCAGATATTTCCAAGGTTCAGGATGATGAGGTTGGAGATGGAACCACATCGGTTGTAGTGCTGGCGTGTGAACTGCTCAGGGTATGTCCTTTAACATAAACACCAGAGTCAAGCTGTTGTATTGACACTCAGACCTCATTCAGTTGTCAGTTTGGTGTATGGAGTGATAATATCTTTGTTTTGTTTGACGTTCAAAATCAATTTAATTGTGATTATCCATACAGTAAATCTTGGCTCCCTGGATTCAAATACTACAGGAACAAACCTCAGTCATGCCAGTTGTCCACTAAATTACTTTAAACCACAAAATTCCCAACCCCATTTTATGTTCAACATTAAGTGTCTGTCCAAGCTGAAGTAGGAATGTTTTCTAAGAGAGTTGAGGTTGAGAAACAACCTATACATGTCTGGTTATGGATCAGGATGTGTTTTACACTCATGCCCAGTTTGACATACCATGCTTTTGTCCTACATGGACCAGATATATACAAGCTGCTGTCTTAGCTAGAAAATCGAGTTTAGTGTAATACAGCAGATAAATCATGTTGTGATGCCGTGACATATATTGTTATTGCAGGAAGCTGAAGGGCTGGTCAGTCAGAAGATCCACCCACAGACTATCATTGCTGGCTGGAGGAAGGCTGTGGACGAGGCCAGGGATGCACTCAAGAAAGTGGCCAGGGATCATGGGTAATGACAGTTTTAACACTGACAGGGTTTGGTTTCCATGGTTTAAACATTCTGCAGTTCACTGCTGGTTTGAAGGAGAAGACTAAAATATATTGTTAGACGGTGCTAATTGTGTTGAAAAGAGATGGTTTAGTTTGTATGTGTTTTACAAATATTGAAAATCCCAACATTTAGCAATGGGGGAAAAGTTTTGGGATGAACATTTGCAAGTGATAGACAACAATAGGTTTGCCAGATGCTAAATATGGACAGTAAGAGTTGAATTGAAGCGTTTTGGTCAGTTTTTACTGGCATAGACCTGAGAAACATTTCTACTGCTGCTTACTGTTGTTGCAGATGTGTATAAATACAAGTAAAACTAGAGGGCTATATTCAAAATTACAGAGAGATTATGTTTAGACAACAACCTGGTTTATGTCAGAGAAACCAGAGGTGGTGTGGTAGCCTAATGGTTAAAGCATCCACATGTCACGCTTGAAGACATGGGTTTGATTCCCCAAATGGTTGCAATGTGTGAAGTCCATTTCTGGTCTCCTCTGCCATGATATTGCTGGAATATTGCTAAAAGAAGCTTAAAACCATACTTACTCACTCAGAAAAATTCCTTGAGTATGTTGATTTTTGAATTAGCGTCAACATATTCTCATGATCTCATAGAAGTTTCCTTTGATGCTTCGGATATTGACTCACAGTTGTAGTAATTATGAAAATGCACCAACTATTGCTATAAAAAAATGTTTTCACCATTTTTCTAAATTAAGTCTTTCCTTTCAGCAAAGATCCTGCCAAGTTCCGAGCAGACCTGATGAACATTGCCAGAACCACACTGAGCTCCAAGATCCTCACACAACACAAAGACTACTTCTCCAACCTAGCAGTAGATGCTGTTCTCCGATTAAAGGTAGGCCTCACAACACAGTACTTATAGGAAGTCTCTACACCAAGTTTTATCAGTAAGTACTTTAGTAAGTCATACACTTTCTAATAAGAAAGTAAGTATTAGTTTATGTAGTTATCAGTTTGTAAAGGCAATGTGTTACTGAATGCTTTGTTTTTCAGTTTTGTAATTCCTATAATTCGAGTAATCTCACTAGCATCCTATTCATCAAGTAATCCACCACTGTGTATGCTGCTGCTGCTGATGATGTCCTCCAAAGGTAGCACTTGTTGTTACTACATTGAATGTAATGTTTTGTTTGTGTGCAGGGAAGTGGCAATCTCGATGCTATCCAGATCATAAAGAAGCTCGGTGGTCAACTCCAAGACTCCTACCTAGAAGAAGGTACATATCTCTCTAAGTATATAGGGCGGTGGGGTAGCCTAGTGGTTAAAGGGTTCGCCTCGTCACGCCAAAGACCTGGGTCGATTCCCCACATGGGTACAATGTGTGAAGCCCATTTCTGGTGTCTCCCTGCCGTGATATTGCTGGAATATTGCTGAAAGCGGCGTAAAACTAAACTCACTCACTCTAAGTATATACACACTTGTCCTGTTTAAAATGTTGACAGACTTTTTGAGCACCTGTTATTGTCTCATCTGAATATGAATATCTCTTCTGCAAAGGTAGTACTTGTAATTATTACGTGTTACACATCATTATAACAGTATACAGACCATAGCTGGCTAATATAGGGAAGACCAAGAATTAAATGAATTGTGTTGTGTTCAGTTAAAACTGTTTGCACGAAGAAATAATCCTCTGTGTAACTAGAATACCAAACCTGTTGACTGCACTACTAAGTCATCTTTGGTTTGACTTTCTCTTTAAAGATATTTATGTAAGTATTTTCACAAATTGTTTGTATTAACTCTGCAAATTTTAAATGATTTCTATAAACTGACAGCATGATTTGAAATTACAGGGTTTTTGCTTGACAAGAAAATAGGTGTAAATCAGCCAAAGAGAATTGAGAATGCCAAGATCCTGATTGCAAACACACCTATGGATACAGACAAGATCAAGGTGAGTGTAGAAATCTGGGTTGTTTTTCATCCCTGTCTGTTGTGATTCAGTGGAGGGTTAAGACACTGTGTCAAGTCTAGCTGGTACGCACAGGATTACTAAACATAACAAGAATTAGGGAAGTGAGTCGCTCAGTCTGATCAACTTACTGCTAGCTTGGAGTACCCATGCTTGTCAGAAGAATGTTTGACAAGAGCATTGTGTTTGTAAGAATATTCACATTCAAACCACTTTTACGTATGTGTTATGTATTCTGTTAATGCTGTAGCAGGGCAGGATACGGTTTATGATTAGTGGATTTAAAATAAGAGGTAAACCCAAACAGCTGAAGCTTGTGTGATGTATTTATTACTGATGTCTTCATGTGAAAGCTATGCACAATCAAGACTGAATATCTCTGTGAAGTACTCTTTGCATGTTTATAGTCTACATTCATCAATACTAGGGCATGTCTTAAGACTAGTTAAAACCTGTGAAGGTCCGGGTTAGAATATTGATCTTCAGTAACCCATGCTTGTCGTAAGAGGCGACTAACGGGATCGGGTGGTCAGGCCCGCTGACTTGGTTGACACATGTCATCGGTTCCCAATTGCGCAGATCAATGCTCATGCTGTTGATCACCGGATTGTCTGGTCCAGACTCGATTATTTACAGACCGTTGCAATATAGCTGGAATATTGCTGAGTGCGGCGTAAAACTAAACTCACTCACTCAGTCACTCAAGACCAGTGGAAGGTTGACGGAATACTGTTATGAGAGGAATGTCACCTGACCACACCAAAATCACTGAGATGTTGTGTACTTTGTCTGTGTCATGATTTTGACAACCCAACTTGTATGTTGTCTTCTTTTAGGTGTTTGGAACAAGAGTGCGTGTTGATGCTGTGTCAAAGGTGGCAGATTTGGAGATAGCAGAGAAGGAGAAGATGAAGGAGAAAGTCAACAGAATTGTCAGCTCAGGCTGCAATGTCTTCATCAACAGGTGAGACTTAGTGATGTACCTGAACAGGTAGTGCTTAGTGTCATAGTATTTCAGGTGAGGCTTTGTAGTGTAATTGTTCAGGTAAGGTTTAGTGATGTAATTGATCAAGTGAGGCTTAGTGGTGTAATTGTTCAGGTGAGGCTTGGTGGTGTAATTGTTCAGGTGAGGCTTGGTGGTGTAATTGTTCAGGTGAGGCCTTGGTGGTGTAATTGTTTAGGTGAGGCTTGGTGGTGCAATTGTTCAGGTTAGGCTTGGTGGTGCAATTGTTCAGGTGAGGCTTGGTGGTGCAATTGTTCAGGTTAGGCTTGGTGGTGTAATTGTTCAGCTTAGGCTTGGTGGTGTAATTGTTCAGGTGAGGCTTAGTGGTGTAATTGTTCAGGTGAAGCTTGGTGGTGTAATTGTTCAGGTGAGGCTTAGTGGTGTAATTGTTCAGGTGAGACTTAGTGGTGTAATTGTTCAGGTGAGACTTAGTGGTGTAATTGTTCAGGTTAGGCTTGGTAGTGCAATTGTTCAGGTTAGGCTTGGTAGTGTAATTGTTCAGGTTAGGCTTAGTGGTGCAATTGTGTTCAGGTTAGGCTTGGTGGTGCAATTGTGTTCAGGTTAGGCTTGGTGGTGCAATTGTTCAGGTTAGGCTTAGTGGTGCAATTGTGTTCAGGTTAGGCTTGGTGGTGCAATTGTGTTCAGGTTAGGCTTGGTGGTGCAATTGTTCAGGTTAGGCTTGGTGGTGTAATTGTTCAGGTTAGGCTTGGTGGTGCAATTGTTCAGGTGAGGCTTAGTGGTGTAATTGTTCAGGTGAAGCTTGGTGGTGTAATTGTTCAGGTGAAGCTTGGTGGTGCAATTGTTCAGGTGAGGCTTAGTGGTGTAATTGTTCAGCTTAGGCTTGGTGGTGTAATTGTTCAGGTTAGGCTTGGTGGTGCAATTGTTCAGGTTAGGCTTGGTGGTGTAATTGTTCAGGTTAAGCTTGGTGGTGCAATTGTTCAGGTTAGGCTTGGTGGTGTGATTGTTCAGGGTAGATGCCGTGGGGAACCTGAACAGCTGAGGCTTTGTGCGATCCTCAATAAGTGATGTAGTATTGAGATGAATACTGGTGTGGATAATGTTCATGTTTTTACATCTATTCATATCTTACTGATGTATATGTGATGTTTTGCAGACAACTTATCTACAACTACCCAGAGCAGTTGTTTGCTGATGTTGGAGTCATGGCCATCGAGCACGCCGACTTCGAGGGTGTAGAGAGACTGGGCCTTGTCACAGGTTAGTAGAGATACTCATTGATGTCACTCGAACTTCGTAGTCTTTCCCATGTTACCATTAAAATGTTTGTCATTAAGGACCAGCCTAGTACCCTGACTTTCAATTATTATTATGATGGGTTTTTGCGTGCTTATTTACAAATTGAAAAACAAAAAGCTGACTAATTGAACAAAAGTTTTTTTTAGTGAATTGCTCTGTTATCATACATGTGTGGTTTTGTGTAAATGCCAGTTCCAGAAGAGTACCAATCTTTAAGGCTGTATTAGGCTGTCCAAGATTTAGTGAGGTTTGCTTGTCTTCCAGGTGGTGAGATCTTCTCCACATTTGACAACCCTAACCCTGAAAAGCTTGGTAGATGTGATCTTATTGAGGAAGTCATGATTGGTGAAGATAAGCTCTTGAAGTTCTCAGGTAAATCAGCGGTTAAGATGTTCTCATTGATGGTCTAAAGATGTTTAAATAGTACCCCATTTGACAAAATTGGGACTTGTAAACAAAATGTTCCCTATTACCATAATTAAAAAATATAACCCTATACTGTTTCAGAGAGCTACAAAGACTTTGAAAGATAGTTAATTTTGCAGTGTGTTTATCAATATATGAATTACTTGTATTCTCAGTCATTTCTGGTGTTCCCCGCATGATATTGCTGGAGGCCTAAACTCAGTCATATTGTAGATGCAGGCCCTATTTAGATGCTATTTTTGTGGATTACAGTGTCATCACTCAGTTATTTGTGACAGATGTTTTTAAGGTCATATTTTATGATAAGATCAGAACATGCTGTATACTGACCTGCCAACAGGATGTAATATTTCATAATATATCTGTTATTCTTTTGTAAATATTTATGTTGTTGTGCAGGCGTGAAGCTGGGTGAGGCATGTTCCATCGTACTCCGAGGAGCAACACAACAGATTCTGGCTGAGGCAGAACGCTCCCTCCATGATGCCCTCTGTGTGCTGTCTCAGACTGTGAAGGAAACACGTACAGTGTTTGGAGGAGGTATGTTTGTGCACTTTGTCTCACTTGAACCAGAATTTGGAAACTAAAATGTTTGTAGCTGGTTGTGTAATTGAAGATCCCTTCATTTGACTGTTAGGTGATCATTGGGATTTAAGTATGTTCTAATATGTCACTCTGTTTTCCACATTACTAGCTTGGTATCAAGTGGGTATGTTGGAATGAGTGCAATCAGTTTAATATACCTGACAAGTTGATAAGTGTCCGAGGTCATCCAAGGCACAACAATCTTATATTGTGGGTCAGTTAGTTTTGTACTGTTGTATCTAGGATCGTCAGCAGTTCACCCATACTCTGGATTTACTACTAGCATCACAGTGAAGACCCAGGGTTCGATTCTCCTCATCCATACAATATGTGGAACTCATTTCTGGTGTGCCCGGTCGTGCTATTGCTGGAATATTGTTAAAAGCAGCTTATAATAACCTTACTCTCCCTTCTGGCTCACAAAGGGTGGTGCATCATGATATAATTAAAACATTGTTAGGAGGTGTAGAACTTGCTAACTCACTGTTCCTGACAGGAATACATGTGACTATGCCATGACATAACTATCTCCAATGTAAAACACTGCCTGCGGTAGACTATGCAGCAGCTCATGGAAGTTATACACTAGTCTCAACTCGCCACAGCAGGTATATTAAAAGACAATCTTGTAAAGATTATGCCATGTTAATGCAAATCCTGACACTTATTCAGGGCTATTGTTAAGCTAGGTGTAATGCAGTTCTAGTTCTTCTTTTGAATATTGATCAGACTACAATATTTGCTGAGTTTGTGGTTTAAGTTCTGACTCTCTCTATCACAGGAAGCTCCGAGATGCTGATGGCTGATGCAGTGAACAAGCTGGCTGCCAAGACCCCAGGCAAAGAGGCAGTGGCAATGGAAGCCTTCGCCAAGGCACTCAGGATGGTAAGGTTACTGACAGTGTATTGTCTCCTGTTGAGGGCTATGTGTGGCCCAGTTGTGCAAACTACCATATTGAATGTGCAGAGTTGTCAGTTAGGTCTGGGTACAGCATTGAGTTTATCTGGTCCAGATGTATTACAGTGCTGCTGTTTGTATGCTGCTGACTGATTTACACAAAAGACAAGCTCTGTTCACCCAAATCATCATTGCTGTCGTCCTTGTGGATAGTATATCTATCTACATCACAGTGAATTGAGTTAGTACCAGTCTGAAGTAGTACCACTGCCATACAGCTAGATTATTGCGAAGTATGGCTAGGAGTTGATACTGAAGACAAAGTTCTGACTTTTTGCTAAATGTCATAAGTTCGTTCATACCTTCATAGTTCTAATCATTGATCTTGGAGGCTTGGTGACAATGTGCCCTGTTCAGATTATCAATGCGATCTTGTTTGCTCATGTTTTACGTCTTGTGTTTATAGCTGCCCACAACCATAGCTGATAATGCAGGTTACGACAGTGCCGACCTTATCGCCAAACTGAGAGCAGTCCATACAGAAGGGAAGCACACATACGGCCTCAGTAAGTTGCTGCAGTTACATCTCAGATAGTACCAGCAAACATCTGATATTTTGTGTGAAGAATTTGACCAGTATTCATAAGAAAGTAAACCTTAAACAAAAACAAAACAAACGTAACTTGCAGTTTCTACAGTTCAGTGTTTTCTATCAGTTTTGTGTTGTCTATCAGTTCTGTGTAATGAAGTAGACAAATAATACTGCTTGATAATGAAGCATGTTTGAATTCTGTCTCCCTAATCTATCCAGTCCCTAGTTGGTGTGAAGTTTGTAGCATTCCTATATGGCTTTTATGTAGGTGGGAAAAGGTCTGGTGTCAGAATTTTGACCTAAAAACCCAAAAAAAGCAGAGACAAATTTTGAAGATGATAGCTCAGAGAATTTCAGAAGGTCCAAGATGAACTTAGTAATACCTAGCTTTTGAGACAATATATCTAAGATTGTGAATATTATCTTCAGATATGGACCAAGGTAAAATTGATGACATGGAGAAGAACGGAATCACCGAGTCGTTCCAGGTGAAGCGGCAGGTGTTGTTGAGTGCAGCTGAAGCTGCTGAGATGATTCTACGAGTAGACAACATCATCAAGGCTGCTCCCAGGAGGCGGGACCCAGATGACCGGTGTCATTAACTGACGTGGATATTATCACATCTGTGACATTATTTCACTGTGTCTCTCATGTCTCATTGTTATGAGCTTCATGGTGAATGGGCTAAGAGTGGATACTGAAGAATCAGAATTAACACTTCAGTGCTGCACCAGTGTCAAAACTGGATCGTCTCTATGAGGAAACGACACTGTGATACACCTGTTCACCTGAGATGGACACCACTACCTAGAAGCCCAGATTGTATGGAAAGTGCTATTTGTCTGCTTTATCATGTGCTATATAAATTATGATCTGTCATCAGTTTTCATATTCTGTGTAATAAACGAAATACACCTATAACAAACCTGCTTGTCTGAATCTCTCACTGGTCTAACATTATTCACTAGGATATGTTGGGAAGACACCCAAGACCAAGTGGGCCCAGTCATTTTTTCCTTGTTCTGTCAGTACCTGTCTACTTGTATTTCTATTTTGCTGGAGGGCGGTGGGGTAGCCTAATGGTTAAAGCGTTGGCTCGTCACGCCGAAGACCCGGGTTCGAATCCCCACATGGGTACAATGAGTGAAGCCCATTTCTGGTGTCCCCTGCCGTGATATTGCTGGAATATTGCTAAAAGCGGCGTAAAACCAAACTCAGTCAGTCTATTTTGCTGGATGCCAGTTGCTCATCAATGCAGTAATGGCATAAAATCACAACTTTAAGCGTTGATGTTATTGCACTTTGACCTTTATCATTATTTTTTACTGGAATGTCAATTACTATGTGATGAACATTGTGGCACTCAAGGGACTACAAGTTTAAGTATATTATACCTTTTTTCAACTAGAACATACAGCAAGTGGCCAGGTGATTGATTATAGTTCCTGCAAGGTGGTTTACACAAAACAAGGAACAGACAATGCACAATTCATAAATATTTAATACAAAATTAGCTTGACGAATAAATATGTAAATGTTTTCTACAGTACAAGAGGACGGCAATATGACATCTTAACGCAACATTCACAATATCACAGGTAGTTGAATGAAACTGGATAGAGACACATATATATATATATATATATGCTTGGCCAATCGAGATGATCACAACACAGACAATACACTACTGTCACTGTATATAACAGGGTAATTTTTAACATCTTGAAATTGGTCAGGCACATCACACCCTCAGCTGGGTATGGAGCCAGTCTGGATGCTCACCATATACAAAATACACTAATGTTACGGTGTATACAACTGGACATGTTAATGCACAGACTTGTTTGTGCATTTTCACTGGACAAGCTTAAGGCACAGACATTTTTCCTGCAGCCTTCATTCACTTCAGTAATGGTAAAAAATATTGACTTTTCTCTCTAACAACAGTGAAAACTGGTCTGATTTCTGCTCTCTTTCACACATGTAGCACTTGATCTTTTTCAGTTATATGTAAATACAGCTTGCATTTTATTTAAGTATGTATGGACGTCTCTTTCAGAATGAAATGACTAAGTTACAGCTCTCCTTGTTGATAACCATACAGATGTGAGATGGCTATATGTTGTCAAAGGTTCTCTCAATCTATGACACAGCTAATGGAAAGGGGCACCTGTTGGCAGTGTTGACTAATGTGGAGGTTGCTAATCACTAGTAGGAGACACTGTGATGGTACTTCTTCAAGCTTGTATTATACTGAGGTATGTAGTTATGACGAAAGTGGCAGATCACTAGTCTATATGCCAGGCACTTTGACAGAGATTCCAAATTGTGTAGATATTTGTTGCAACTTCTCTTCATATAGCACATTTTTCTGGACGGCTTGTTTATAATTGTACTTAAGATCTTCAACCTCTTCGAAGAATTCAGGACCAAAGCTTTCAAGTTCTTTCTTCAACTGAAAGTAATATTGAATATGCAATGACATTAAAGATGAGGAGAAATGGACATAGACATATTTAGATAACATGAAGGGGATTGTATGGCCATAATGGTGACTGTGTCTGCAGCACTATCAGTGACTAGTTTGCTGCAGCTGCACCAACAGGTCCTGCAGTTGTAATACTGAATGTAGCAGAACCAATCTTGCTCACAGCATTGCATTATAATGCAATGGCCGTTTCAACCCAATTAGCAGTGTTATACCGACACTCACCTTATCGACTTCCAGTCGCAACTTATCCCGCTCCAGCCTGACTCCTTTGAGATCCATTGTCACCTCCACATTCTCTCTCAGAACACGGTCATAGTTACCAGCCTTTGTCAGGATGTCGTCATCAAGCTGTCAACATAGTAACCACATTTTCACTAAGCTGAAGTTCACTCTCATTAACCTCCATTTGTCTGTCCCAACTTCTGCCTCTTACCCAAGTAATGAAAGAATTGCTATTGACAGATTTCAGACATCAGACACGCAGCCAGCAATGACTACCTTCTTAGGGCAACGGGGCGGTGGGGCAGCCTAGTGGTTAAAGCGTTGGCTCGTCACGCCGAAGACCCGGGTTCGAATCCCCACATGGGTACAATGTGTGAAGCCCATTTTCTGGTGTCCCCAGCCGTGATGTTGCTGGAATATTGCTAAAAGCGGCGTAAAACCATACTCAGTCAGTCAGTCTTAAGGGGACAGTGGGTGCTCATTCACGAGATTCAAATGTACTTTGTCTAACTTATATTCTTGAGCACCAGTTCTCTCTTGCACATGAGACTCATGTGTACGCTGAGGGTCTCAATAACCAGAGTTCTGCTGTCCAAAACAAATTTCTTAGTACAATGTGAGCACTGTGTGTCATGTAAGTTTGATGTAACAGAAATTCATCAGTGTTTTACCTGTGTGGAGCTGCCACCTGCAGGTCGTCTACGTCGCAACTCACTCAGAAGCTCCTGTTTCTGCTCTTCCAGCTGCTCAATGGTCAACCTGACAGACATGAAATACATGTAGTAGTGTACAAGTTGTACAGCCTGCAGTCTTGGTATGATCTAAATACATGTAGTAGGGTACAACTTGTACAGCCTGCAGTCTTGGTATGATCTAAATACATGTAGTAGTGTACAAGTTGTACAGCCTGCAGTCATGGTATGATCTAAATACATGTAGTAGTGTACAAGTTGTACAGCCTGCAGTCATGGTATGATCTAAATACATGTAGTAGTGTACAAGTTGTACAGCCTGCAGCCTTGGTATGATCTAAATACATGTAGTAGTGTACAAGTTGTACAGCCTGCAGCCTTGGTATGATCTAAATATCAAGCGATCAATACTTCATCTTTTGTCATTTTTCCGCACCATAAATAATTTTTTAAAGTACATAGCAGACAGAATATCGAAACATGAAATCCTCAAAAAAATTTACCTGGATGATGTCAAGGACACATCTCTTTATAACTTAAATAATGTAATGAACGTGCCAGAGGGATAGGTGTTAAACACTTTCACTTGTCGGGGCAGAGGCAAGTTGATCTTTAGCCCCAAGTTTAGACCAAACTTGCCAAAGTATAAAATAGAAATCACACGTGATGCATGTTCATAATATGGCCATTAAAGGGGATAAAACATGGAAAGTTCTGATTCTTCTACACCACTGCCATGGAACAGTATTTAAGTATAGTAGTCTATGTATAGAATGAACACACTTATTACGGACTGATGTCTATAACAAAAGGGTTTGTTATTTTGCTGTATATTTCAGTCGAAACACATATAATCATGATTATAACAAACCAAAATAGTAGTTCCTCTAGGTTTGTTATAACCATAGTTTATTGTACCTAAGCAAATTACAACTTTCAAATAAACCTTGAAATAAACTTTTACATTTTTAACCAAACTATCCCTTTTTAACAATCTGTCTGTCAGGGACACTCAATTTGGAATCCAAAATCAACCTTTGACTGTTCATAAAGAAACAAAACAATCTTCCCACTAGGTGCCCCGACTGAGGTCTGTCTACTGACCTGGCCTGCTGGTACTCCCTCATCAGGTTGGCATCACTGGTGTGAGCCTGGCTGCCGGCCGGAAACCTCTCCAGAACCATGATCTACAGCAATAGAAACAACCTCTCTCAACTACAGTCTACTACTTATGTAAAACATTGTGCCTCATGATTGACCCAGAACTCTGTAAACTGGTTAATTTGATAGGACAAACCTCTTCGGATTCACATCTATATACAGATTACTTCAGGCATGTTGGCTGTGATAATTCAAAATGTAAAACCAACAACTTTCTCTCTCAGCAATACTGTTAAACTGTACATTGTAGTCTGTAAGACGCTACTATCAGGGTCAGTTTACATTCTGCTACAGATGGTATTAAGGTATGTTTTACACAATAGAATCTGTGAATGTTGCTACTGTTCTGCAGCTTACCTTTTTCTGCAGCTCGTCCTGGTGCCTGATCAGCTCCTGTTCCCGTTCAGCTGCATCCTTCAACAGCTTCTTTGTGTCTGACACTATCTTGTTCTGAATTGAAATAACATAACAAGTGTGAGAAGTGCTAGTAACACTTCACTAAAACATAGTATGAAAATTATCCTATATGCAAATCCTGTCTGTCTCAGTCCCTTCTCCCCACCATTCATCTTCTTGCCACTCCCACATCCCAAATATTCCATCACTTTCAACAACTATTCTATACAACATCTTTTAACTCATAACCACACATTCTTCCATACTATTGTTCTTCTCTCAACCATTCTTCTTCACACCCTTACAGTCTGTACCATCATCTCCAGTCCATCATGTCTTCCCATCACCATCTGTCTTTGACTGCCTCCGTGGTGTAGTGGTTAGAGCGTCCGCCCGGAGAGCGGAAGGTCGCGGGTTCGATCCCCGACCGCGTCATACCAAAAGACGTTAAAATATGGTACTTGTTGGTCCCTGCCTGGCGCTCGGCATTAATGGGTACAACAAGGACTGGTCGGCTCGAGTCAGTATAATGTGTCTGAGAGGGGTATTCATTCTTCACTGCGGCATGGTATCTCAGTGGGCTAGCACTATAAAACCAGCTTAAGTCTGGGCTAGTACAAGCAGCCGCACATACACATACACACGCATGCACGTTCGTCATATGAGCGAAATATTCTCGAGAACGACATTAAACCCAAATTCACCTCACCATCTGTCTTTCCTCCATCCACTTCTTCCATGAACCTTCCTCCCACAACACATCTTTTCATCACTCCTTTCTGAACATTTCTCCTCTTCTTCATGTTACCCCTTCCATTCTTCCTCCTATAAAACCTTTCGTCCACAAACCATTCCTCCCCAAGTCAATTTCTACAAACCATCTGTATTCTCTATACCCCACTTCTCATCACCCTTTCATGCCACCATCCATTATTTCAACCACACATTTCTCCTAACGCTCTTCCTCCACCAACACACCTTCTTCTCCAGGTCCTGCTCCAGACCCTTGATCTTCTCCTCATACATGCGAGTGACAACGGCTGACTTCCAGCCCTTGGTGTCGCTGGACATGGCATTGGGGCGTTTGGCCTCCTCGATCTCCAGCTTGGTTCGAGTGTCGGTCAGCTCCTTGTGGTGGTGGTCAGACTGTAACTCTGTCGACCGCAGCTGTACACGCAGCTTCTCTGATGTCTCCTTCTCCTACAACAATATTTACAAGAAGATTGGGTGGGGTGTATTCTGGATTCCCAAATTTTCAAAAGTTGAAATGTTCTTTAGGTCTATTTTTGCTCAATTTCTAACTTTTCATCTAATTAATCTTGTTATGAGTGAAATTTAAGTCACTTCAAGAAAGCCATCCCGCCAGTGGACAACTGTATTAACATAAATTGTGTTCTTCACAACATGCATTTGGCTACAGTTCCAGAATGAGTTCTTTGACAAACTAGAATCTCCACACAGGTTGTGTAGCTACTGTAGCTCACCTTCATCAGCTCCTTCCTCATCTTCTCATAGTCATTCATCAGCCTGGCAGTGCCCTTCTGCTGGGTGGTGTAGCGGTCGCTCAGCGTGGCTCCCATTGTCTCACGCAGCTCATCCAGTTGTTTCTGTAGCATCAATCACACAGATTCTATACTATAATCCTTAATTTGACCAGAACCACTGACAATTCATACTATGATTCCTAAAAGTCATTAAAAATTTTAATCAAAAATCATTATGCACAAAAAATCTTTTAATTCACACAGTTCTTGCATAAGAAAAATATCTCCCCAAACCTTATATTTACAATACATTTAAGTTACATAATAGACACTCATGTCTTCCATAATGAAAGGATGAGGCTGGCAAACTGCATGCACCCAAATCACTCTTACCTATAATTAATTCCCTTATGACATAAAACTTAAGGCTCAACATGACTAACTATTGACTGCTAGTCGGCTGTATTCAACACAGTCATGTCCTTCACCTTGAGTGCCTCATTCTCCAGTTTAAACATGGCCGCCTGGTCTGTGGCGCTGTAGCCTGGAGCCCTCTTCAGCTGCTCGTTCTCCATCTGTAGTCTCTCAACTACTCTCTTCAGCAGAGCAATCGTCTTCTCAAGTTCCCGGTTACTCTTGCCACTCTCACCAATCTACATTAGCATAACCAACTTAATATCAACATCAATATAACCATTTTTACAATCAATATAACCATAACCAACTTTACACCCTCGCATCAGCATAACCAACTTTACACCCAACATCAACAAAACATTTCAGATTTCCAATGCTCACCCTCCTGATGCTGGTGTTGGAGGACCCAAGGGATCTGGCGGTGTCGCCACTCAGCTGGGCATTCTCCATCTTCAGGGCATCTGCATATCGCTGCAGGTCCTTGATACGATCCTGCAGATGCCACACAATATAGGGATTAAAAACAAGTATTAACTGAGGAAGATTTTCGAAAAAATTAGAATGAAAATCTCACTCATAGCTGGGAAAGGAAATCCGCAATCCAAGCAAAAAATTGAAATTAGATCATAACCAAGTACATGACAGCATGTTCACCTGATCCCTATTATTGAGATAATGTATGACAAGAGATTCCCGACAGGATTCCCCACAACAGATTACACAGATATTTCAAACTACCTTCATCCTGGGCAGGTCTTTCCGAGCCTGTTCTGCTTCGAAGCGGAGTTCGATATTCTCCTCCGACAGCTTCAGGACCTGGCGCTGGAGGTCCTGGTTCTTCTCAAACAACTTTTGGTACTCGATGGTTGTCACTCCGCCACTCTGGAGGCAGAGACACAGGTTTGACAAATTATGCAAGGTGTAGGTTGTTCATCCTTAGGTTGTTCACTAGACTATGTTCTATTAACTTGCTTAGAGTACATGTAGTATTACAGCTTAATGAAGGTATAGTTGAGTGAGTGAGTGAGTGAGAGTGAGTGAGTGAGAGTGAGTGAGTGAGTTTAGTTTTACACTGCTTTTAGCAATATTCCAGCTTTATCACCACAGGGACACCAGAAATGGGCTTCACACATTGTACCCATGTGGGGAATCGAACCCGGGTCTTCAGCGTGACGAGCAAACACTTTAACCACTAGGCTACCCCACCACCCTGATGGTGTAGGGTACCAGAGGGAGTGAGATGTTTTTGCTAGAATGACTTTTTATACACATGGATATCTTATTAACCTGGATGTTTTTGAGCCATCTGACTTCATGAAGCATCCTAATTTAACCACTTTCTACATAAAAAACCCTGCCTTAACTGTTAACCAAATAGTTTATTGTTTTTCTGAGGCTGGACATACTGTGGAACAATGAGCCAGGGCTCTCTCCAGCTGATCCACCTGCTCACTGAGCTGCTGGTTGCGGAGCTGAGTCTCCTTGTAGGATGTGTCCCGGTCCATCACCAGCTGGCGCCGGAGGTTGGCCACCTGGTGGACATATGCAACAACATTCAACACCCTGTGGCTATCTGGTGGACGGATAAAACAATTCAACATGGCAGCTACAGGGGTGGAAATAACCCATTGCCCGATGCCCGAGTCCAGTGTTTTTTTCTGTTGGGCAAGCAAATTTGTATATCATACTGTACCGGTGTCCAGTTGACTTTCCAATATTAATTATGTTGTTTATTTAAAAAATCAACAAGAAAACGGCCGGTATAGTGGAAAAATTATCAGGGCAAGTGATTTTACATGTGCCACTGTACCGGAGTACACTATCAATGTTAAAGTTATTTCCACCCCTGAGCTATCTGTTCAAATCTAGCAGCGATCTGTTGGACACGTACAACATTCAACACATACCAGCTATCTGTTGGACACATACGACATTCAACATCTAGCATCATAAGGAGGACAACCGGAGCACAATGTTCAAACACTGTCAAATGCAATCCTTAAAGATTCAATATCTGTTTCTCTTATCCAATATGGTCTTCCCACATTCACTCTTATCACTGCTATGTAATTTGAGTGTTACAAGAGTTACCTCCTCCTGCAGCATGTAGTTTTTGTTCTTCAACTCCTCTGAGTCATGTCCGGCCTTTCCAGGGGGCGCTGCACTCACATGTGACACGGTGGTGCGGGCAATGGCACGGGACCTGGCCTCTATGCTCTCTTTCTCGCGGTTAGCTCTGTGGGAGACAGAAACATGGTCAATCATGAATGTGTGCTGGAGACAATCTGTTAGACTCAATCTACTCATATCGACCCGGTGTCTTCTCATGAAGTCACCAGTAGGGGGAACACTATTCGCACTAAGTCACTGGCGATTTTGCTTTGAAGTTTCTAATCCAATCAGGATTAACGGATTAGGGATTAACGGATTAGTCAGTTGGGCACTCGAGCTAGAGGCGCTAATGAGCTGAACGGTTAACTGTAAATAACATGACATTTATTAGTGAACTCTGTTCAACAATTTTATGACAAATATAAATAGATGGTCCGGACCACTTTCGTCATTAAGTCCTACCATGGCAAATGCAAAAGTTCATCCCATCTTCGAGAGGCGGCAGATATCTTTGTTCGGGTGGTTTCATGTACAGAGTCAACAAAAGGAAACATGATGAAACCTTAGTATGGAAGTGTACGACCAAGGATTGCCATATGACCGTGACCGTGACTATTTAGCGAAATTCGCACGAAGTCACCCAGTAGGGATTAGCGTTTTACCAAGTTGGTGACTTTATGAGAATAAACCATCGACCCAAGTCTGAACTAGTGTTGGGAATTGGTTGAAATCTCACAATTGATGATTGCTTCATTACCAACAAACAATCATCGAAAAAAATTGGTTACCGTCATTTTTCAGATTTTCCTATCCAGGTTGTTATTGCAGATATGTATAACATGATGCAACTTGCTACTTTAAAGTGATGACTTATATATCATGAACATAAACTTTCTGGAGTCTTCAAGAAATATTCAGTCATAGCTTTTCAGTTAGTGAAGTGATTTCTCTATGAATTAAACACATTTTCAGGCACTGACAACTTCAATGATATGTTCCATTGTCAAGTATTTCAAAACTAAAAAAGTAGTTTATGTTCGATTATGAGAAAATGTGATCGATTGCTTGGTTGTTTGGTCATTGCGACCAATCTTCGATTATTTCAATTAATCGGAACACCACTAGTCTGAACTGTCGCTATGTAATTGTGAGTTGTGGATTGTGAGCATCACATCATTCAAACAGATGGCATGTTCTTCACAATGACAGGATCAGTTAAAACATTTCAACATATCCTGAACCATCAGTTCATATATCAGGGTATGAATTTCCCCAACATTCCAGCCAGACCACAGGGCTGGTTAGATGTAAAACTGTAAATCCTGACCAAAACTTACCGGTCCGCATATTATTTAGGTTTGACAAGCGATGTAGTTTATCATCCAATTGAAATTCATCATTTATTTTTACAAGTGAATTGATAATGATTTATTATCCTGAAATATCATGAATATCGTCATATACATGTCTAAATTTCAACCCAACCGTCGGTCAAGTGAGTCTGAGAATCTGGCAGTCCGTGTTGAAAATAACCCGTCCCGGGCGGTCGGGCAGGCCGGTATTTCGAACGCTGCATACATACAAACAGATGTACAATAGACAGGAAGTGTTCAGTGCACGTGCAGTAAACTACATTTATACCAAACATGCTTGTTACCAACTGATGGATTTAACAAACTTTTTTTGTACCCATCATTTGCTTTATACCTCAGTAAAAATGAGTAAAAAACTACAGTTATAACTAAAACTGTCACTTCATTATAACTATAGTCTACTGTATGTCAGGAAAAATGTAATCTACAGCAACATTTTAGTTTCCAATGGATCTTAGACTGGACAACAGTTTGTGAAAATCTGTACCAAATCCTTTTCCTTGTCAGTGAAGAGTTTAATCAAATCACAGGTTTGAATCCCCACCTAGAGCAGGACTGTAGACGATTTTAGAACATTGGAGTATCATCTTCTTTACAAAATTAAAATTTAGAAACTTAACAGACCTTGGAACAAAAGACAGATAAATTAAAACTCTCCATTTGTACAGACATTCAACTGGTATAAGATATTACTAATTAAACAATACCTCTTAGGATTATGGATGACACTGAATGCTTTCATGACTAATAAAGAATGCACATTGCCTGGTTAGGAGAATGCAGAGAAACACCCACTGAGGAGGCAGTTCTGATAAACAGTAATCAAACTAAATCTAACATGAACATGACATTCATGTTGCCAGGTGTAAAGCCATGTAACCAATAGTAATGGTGAAAAGTGGAGATATTTCTGGAGTGTCCAATTCCATTTAACACCATTTCTCAACCTCCTTCATTCTATGTACAGATTTCCATTACAGTCAGTCCAAGATGTACTGTATTACAGAAACAGAGTCAACACATGTCACTACCTAATGCACCCACTAATCAATATTTCATTTCCAATCAGACTGTTTCTCATAAATCAATAACATCACATAGGTGTCTCAAGTTGCAACAACAAACAGATCAAAGGAAACCATGACTGGGCAAGACGTAACCTTAACCTCCACACAAACAATTAAGAAGTTGTTATCAATTAAAGTGATATATCTTCATGTTTTTGCAATGTCTACAAACATATCAAAGACCTAAAGCATTAAAGAGTATTGAAATGCAGACACAAACAAAGTCAATTTCACTGTCAGTCCATGTTTGAATTAGGAGTAATTGTAACTGTCAATGATATTTCTTTCAGTCATACACTTAAATTCTGTCAATGCATACATGTACTGGCTGCCTATGTCATATGGACGTTTACTACATACAGACTGACATGTCAAGGCATATACATACAAATCAGCCGGTGCCCTGTTTTCACAGCTAGTCCCCAGTCCAGTCCATGTCCCTATGCCTATCAACTGATCACTGAGCAGTGTGTAGCATTGTTGACACAACAAGCACCTGTCTGTGAGTGACTGACAGCTATGTACAACTCACTCACATGTCTGGACATGTCACAACAACCTCATACACTATAGTCAATTTCAGAAAAGTCAGCGCAGGGCTAGCTTTTGTTGAACAGCACAACACAATAGTGACAATATCACTAAAGAATTTTTGTTACAGATAGAGACAAAGAACAGGATTTAAAGAATATTAATTGGTATTTGGCTTGTGAAAGTATTGATCATTGAAAGCCCATCTTCAAAAGATATATCAATTAAGTTTGTTGTGGTAGTTGGAGTCAAGTGTTTGTCTCTGATTGGAAACATGTCCAGAGTTTAGAACTTGAAACCATATCACATATACTTCTTTAGATTTTCTTCCTTAAGATCTTGAAATTAAAACCTGTGTCATCTCTGTGCTCATGATTGCAATGGGAATGTTTAGTTTTAATTACTTCCTTCAAGTAAATACTGGAGTTTCTACTCAACTATATGTGAATCTATCATTACACACTTATACAGATTAATGAATCCGATTTGTAGCATAGGTCCTTAATCTCAAAACACAGCATATAGTTTATGATAACAATTGCTTCTGTTAAAGTCCCATAAACTGACAAGCCAGGTACTGTAACACTTAGAAACTTCCAGTGACGCCACTCACTCTACTGTCTCACCAGGTTCTCCTTTTGGGCAAACAAGTAAACCTCTACAGCCAGTTTCATATGGGTTTATTCTCCAAGAAACTCCTGGGAATTTCTATCACAGAACTGCCCCCAGTCTGTGGATTTTCTGAGGAATAGCCCTTGACTTTGAATGATTTTTACTCGTTTTGAAGATTGATGTAACTTTGTCTTGCTATTACTGAATAAGATTGTAAAATATCACATTATTGAAAACTTCCAATACATTGCTGATGCCAGGTTTTGAACCTGCAACCCTTCGATTATTAGCTTGGCAGTTTTACTAGGTTACCAAGGATCGCTGTGATGAGTGAGATTGTTTGTCAGTATGAACCATGTGTTCCTCACAAGATGGGTATAGTCAGGGGGCATAGGGATATTTTGGTTCAGATTCTTCCAAAAGCACCAAATTTGGCACAGAGGTAGCTTAAGACATACTAAAATTGATTTCTAATGGCGCCACCCAAAGAAATGGTTTAGCCTCATAAATTGTCATAAATTGTACATAATCATGTTGTATACAAATGAAAGACAACAATAAAGAGCTTTACAATGATATATATATGAAATTTGTGTGAATGATATTAGAAGTAAATTGGACCAAAACATCATAAATTGTCATACAAAAAATATCCTCTTTCTTTTCTAAGAACATGTTTTTTTATAGTCAATTGATTTATGAAGAAAATGCAAGAAAAATATAGCTTGGTTCAATGAGCATCTACATCAATCGAATTAGTATGCCCACCAGGTTTCCTTCATATCGCTGACCTCTGTGCAGAATGCATACTCTGAATATTGCAAAGAATGTCATGGGTCCAAATGCCTTCAACATGCCTCTAGCTCCCTGACTAGGTAGGCTGGGCAGCACACGTGCAGGACACAGGTAGCATGTGCAGAGCATGAGCATTGACCGTGCAAGGCAAGGTATCGGCTGCCAGTCGGATCCCAGTTGATTTCAAGAGTAAATACCAAATATCAAAATTATATCTAAAGTATGTATTCGGTTGGTTCATAAGTTGGATCAAAACCGAGGAGGAGGTTTTGTTCCTTCACATATAATCCTCTTGTCTTCATTCATACCTGCATATAGCTCCTGATGTAACAATGCACAAATGACCCAGGTAATGTTGGATTTCCTTCACCACTTGCTGATCATGTGACAAAGGACAAAATGGCTTGTAGCAGTTGAGTGGCACTCTCCTACCCAGAGTTCCATGTGACCAGCATAGTACCTCTGCCACAGGCCAGAGAGATGTGACTATCTGTCACATCTTGACGATTCGTCACATCTTGCACAGTCCATTCAATATATTATACATATTTTTTAGCTCTTTTATTTTTGACAAGTCTACACATTTAATTAAACATCTTTGATAGAGTGGTTTAGTTTCACTGAGAAAATAGCCTTAAATGTGTAACACTATTTCGATTTGCATAACGATCCTTTGTCTACATCCTCCGTTGTATAATGGTAATATCTCAGTCAATGACATCACCCTGATCACCAACTGGTTATGACACAGAAAATATGAATCAAGAGGTGTGCAGACTAGAATATAGGCTATTGTCAATTTGTCATACACTTTGCACAATGCCATACCAGCAATCTGGCTAAACCAATTTTCTAAAATAACTATCTTTTCCCCATAAAAATGGATGCCAATATATAAAAGCAAGGTTAAGAAGTGTATACAATCGTTTCACAAATAAACCAAAAGGCAATAATACACGTGATAACAGAAAAGTTCTGAACTTAACCATGAACGATATACAGTACACTATTTACAGCATGCTTGTCATTAAGCACAATACTTTCCATGTTTTCAGAAAGGCTAAAATGAACACTGCCCTGTGTAATGTCCTACACCACCATCCTGTGTAATGTCCTAAACTACCACCCACCACCATCCTGTAATGTCCTACACCACCACCATGTAATGTCCTAAACCACCACCCTGTAATGTCCTACACCACCACTCTGTGTGATGTCCTACACCACCACTCTGTGTAATGTCCTACACTTTACACCACCACCACCATCCTACCTACCCACCACTCTGTGTGTAATGTCCTGTGTGTAATGTCCTACACCACCACCCTGTGTAATGTCCTACACCACCACCCTCTGTCTGTGTAATGTCCTACACCACCATCCTAAATGTCCTACACCACCACTCCTGTGTAATGTCCCACACCACCACTCTGTGTAATGTCCCACACCACCACCACCTGTGTAATGTCCTACACCACCACCCTGTGTAATGTCCACCACCTGTGTAATGTCCTACACCACCACCTCTGTGTAATGTCCTACACCACCACCTGTGTAATGTCCTACACCACCATCCTGTGTAATGTCCTACACCACCACCCTGTGTAATGTCCTACACCACCACTCTGTGTAATGTCCTACACCACCACCCTGTGTAATGTCCTACATACACACCACCCACCACCACTGTGTAATGTCCTACACCACCACCTGTGTAATGTCCTACACCACCACCCTGTGTAATGTCCTACACCACCACCCTGTGTAATGTCCTACACCACCACCCTGTGTAATGTCCTACACCACCACCCTGTGTAATGTCCTACACCACCACCCTGTGTAATGTCCTACATCACCACCCTGTGTAATGTCCTCCACCACAATGTCCTACCACCACCACCACCCTGTAATGTCCTACACCACCACCCTGTGTCCTACAATGTCCTACACCACCACCCTGTGTAATGTCCCACCACCACCTCTGTGTAATGTCCTACACCACCACCCACACCACTGTGTAATGTCCTACACCACCACCACCTGTGTAATGTCCTACACACCACCATGTCCTACTGTGTGTAATGTCCTACACCACCACCACCTGTGTAATGTCCTACACCACCACACCCTGTGTAATGTCCTACACCACCACCCTGTGTAATGTCCTGTGTAATGTCCTACACCACCATCCTGTGTAATGTCCTACACCACCACCCTGTGTGTAATGTCCTACACCACCACCTGTGTACATGTCCTACACCACCACCCCTGTGTAATGTCCTACCACCACCACCACACCACCACCCTGTGTAATGTCCTACACCACCACCCTACTGTGTAATGTCACTACATCCTACACCACCTGTGTAATGTCCTACACACACCACTCTGTGTAATGTCCCTGTGTAATAATGTCACCACATGTCCTACACCACCCTGTGTAATGTCCTACACACCCTGTGTACATGTCCCACATCACATACCCTGTGTGTAATGTCCTACATCACCACCCTGTGTAATGTCCTACATCACCACCCTGTGTAATGTCCTACATCACCATCCTGTGTAATGTCCTACATCACCACCCTGTGTAATGTCCTACATCATCATCCTGTGTAATGTCCTACATCATCATCCTGTGTAATGTCCGACAGCACCATCCTGTTTACTGGCCTGCACCACCACCCTGTTTTATGTACTACTGCACCAACCTGTCTAATGTCCAAAGTCTTCCAGCATCACCCTAGCCTAGTGGTTAAAGCGTTGGCTCGTCATGCCGAAGACCCGGGTTCGAATCCCCATATGGGTAAAATGTGTGAAGCCCATTTCTGGTGTCCCCCGCCGTGATGTTGCTGGAATATTGCTTAAAGCGGCGTAAAACCAATCACAGTCAGTCAGTCAGTCCAGCATCACCCTAGGTAATGTGCCAGAGTACCACCCTGTCCACTGTTGTCCAGCACCAATCTAAGTCATGTAAAATAAAAGTACTCATCAAATGTCCTACAGAAAAGCCTTGTGTAATGTCCTACCTTTCTAGCGCCACCTTTGACAGGTCATTGGCCTTCTTTATCTTGTCGAGCTCTGCATCCTTCTCCCTAATCTTCACTTTCATCTTCTCCACTGTCCTCTGCCACTTCTTGCTCTCCTCCCACCGAGAAACTTCCTCTGTCTGCAAGGAGGAAGAATCAAAACCATTTTAGAACAATGAGACTAAACACTATAGTTCTTACTTTATAGCTCAAAAGCATATTCATACCTCTACTGCTAAATACTTTGCCAGTCATGTCCTAAAGCTCACTCAGCATTACACCTTGAGTCATGTAGTCTAGAAAAAGTTTTACCTTGGCACGATCTTCTTTTTGTTCATATGGCTTTTCAGCTGTCTGGCGCTTCTTCAATTCATCCTCTAGCAGACGTACTCGGCGACGATGTTCATCCAGTTCTTGTTGCTTCTCAAACTCTCCAGCTCTCTGTAAGATAACATCCGGATTTCAATGCATTGTGACCATACCAGACATATCCTACCAGATAACTCTCCCATCAGATTGTCCTATAAAAAGGCCTCTAAGATTGACTGATTCATACAATCTACATCATCTTGTGGTATCATCAACTTGTTAGAGGATTTACCTGCTCCCCTAACCAAGGTCAAGGTGTGTTCCTACTGTTCTTCATCCCATCCACCTGTGCTCTCTTGGCATGCAAGCTCACCATGCCACCCACCTGTGCTCTCTTGGAATGCAAGCTCACCATGCCACCCACCTGTGTTCTCATGGTGCTCAAGCTCACCATGCCTTCCACCTGAGTTGTCATGGTGTTCAAGCTCACCATCCCATCAACCTGTGTTCTCAGGGTGTTCAAGCTCACCATCCCACCCACCTGTGTTCTCATGGTGTTTATACTCACCATCCCACCCACCTGTGTTCTCATGGTGTTCAAACTCACCATACCACCCACCTGTGTTCTCATGGTGTTCAAACTCACCATCCTACCCACCTGTGTTCTCATGGTGTTCAAGCTCACCATCCCACCCACCTGTGTTCTCATGGTGTTCAAGCTCACCATCCCACCCACCTGTGTTCTCATGGTGTTCAAGCTCACCATCCCACCCACCTGTGTTCTCATGGTGTTCAAGCTCACCATCCCACCCACCTGTGTTCTCATGGTGTTCTCACCATCCTACCTACCTGTGTTCTCATGGTGTTCAAGCTCACCATCCCCACCCACCTGTGTTCTCATGGTGTTCAAGCCTCACCATCCCACCCACTGTTCTCATCATGGTGTTCCTCACCATGTGTTCTCATGGTGTTCAAACTCACAATCCTACCTACCTGTGTTCTCATGGTGTTCAAGCTCACCATCCCACCCACTGTTCTGATGGTGTTCAAGCTCACCATCTCACCCACTGTTCTCATGGTGTTCAAGCTCACCATCCCACCCACCTGTGTTCTCAGGGTGTTCAAGCTCATGGTGTTCTCATGGTGTTCTCTCACCATCCCACCCACTCCCACCACCCACTGTGTTTCTCATGGTGTTGTTCACCATCTCACCCACCTGCTCACCATCTCTCACCCACCTGTGTTCTCATGGTGTTCAAGCTCACCATCCCACCCACCTGTGTTCTCATGGTGTTCAAGCTCACCATCCTACCCACCTGTGTTCTCATGGTGTTCAAGCTCACCATCCCACCCACTGTTCTCTTGGTGTTCAAGCTCACCATCTCACCCACTGTTCTCATGGTGTTCAAGCTCACCATCCCACCCACCTGTGTTCTCATGGTGTTCATCCTCTCCACCTTCTTCTCCAGCTCATCCACCTCATGTTCCAGCCTATCCTTCTCCCGCTTGTATTTGTTGCAGCTCCGTTCTTTCTGGGCTGAGCACAGAAAACATCAGCAATGTCAGAACACACCATGTCAGGACAGTGGTTTAACACAACAGACTTACAAACACAGCATGCTATCATGGCATCGGAACACACCATGTTACAGCACTTTACAGTTACAGCACTTTAGGAACACCATGTATGTCATGTATCCCCAGTGACTGGATACTATTCCAACTCTCAAGTGAATGTACTAGAGTGATTGATGTAGGGATATACCTTGAGTCCTGTATTTCAGGGTCCCTTGGACTCATACTCTTAATTTTCAGGGGTCCGGGACAACAAAATGGGGGTCCCAGACACTTACATATTATTGTTAATACTGTTATCATATTATCACTTAAATTGTTACAGTAATCAAATTGCAAATGATACCATAACTCAGTGATAACTTATTGTTACTTGATTGGAATTTATACAAAAAGTATTTGGACTTTTTCTGCACCCCTGTGGACACGCTACTAAATTCCGTTGCGTCCATTGTCAATGTTTATGATTGTAGGAGGAGAGAGAGAGAGAGAGAGAGAGAGAGAGAGAGAGAGGGAGGATGTGATGTGTATGGACCACCTCACTATCAGAGACTATTGTTAGGTTTTATTGTCTTATGAGTCAGATTAATGACTATGTAGCATATAAAGATGAGTTAGAGTGAAGACACTCACAGAACTCTTCCGCACGTCCTCCAGGTCTGTGTGCAGCGTGTGCTCGTTCTCCTTCCTCTTCTTGATCTCCTTCTTCTGTCTCTCCATCTGCAGCTGGAGGTCCTCGATCTGCTCCTGTAACACACAATCAATCCACACTGTACCTCACACAGAGGGACAATGTGGGGTGCCATGACACTGTCATAGATTCGTCTACATACCTCAACAGCCTGTAGGGTAAATAGGTCACACTAAAACAAATGTACCACAATCTGAGAGTGAAGCTATTTCCCACTACTCATCGTGATCTTTTCAGTCTGTAATGGGCTTGCAAGGGATTGTTTCCCAGTATTAGCTTCTACCTTGATTGTTACACATTGCAAGATGTATGAGGCTGTAGTGAGTATTTGGATTATGACCTATGTAGGGTAGGGCTGGTCAGTTTGTCACCCATAGGCGGATACAGAGGGAGGGTCTGCAGGGTCAGGGTATGTCACCTACACACTCTGCTTTTGTGTGTGTTTGTTAAATACAATTGATACTGGTGTAATGAAGTGTGCACCTCCTTTCTCAATGTGTGTACCCCCTTTCTAAAAAGTATCTCCGCCCCTGTCACCTACCTCCATCTACTTGGTGTGCTGGTCTATAAGTCTCTGTATGTCTCTATATGTCACCTACCCCCATCTGCTTGGTGTGCTGGTCTATAAGTCTCTGTATGTCACCTACCCCCATCTGCTTGGTGTGCTGGTCTATAAGTCTCTGTATGTCACCTACCCCCATCTGCTTGGTGTGCTGGTCTATAAGTCTCTGTATGTCACCTACCCCCATCTGCTTGGTGTGCTGGTCTATAAGTCTCTGTATGTCACCTACCCCCATCTGCTTGGTGTGCTGGTCTATAAGTCTCTGTATGTCACCTACCCCCATCTGCTTGGTGTGCTGGTCTATAAGTCTCTGTATGTCACCTACCCCCATCTGCTTGGTGTGCTGGTCTATAAGTCTCTGTATGTCACCTACCCCCATCTACTTGGTGTGCTGGTCTATAAGTCTCTGTATGTCACCTACCCCCATCTGCTTGGTGTGCTGGTCTATAAGTCTCTGTATGTCACCTACCCCCATCTGCTTGGTGTGCTGGTCTATAAGTCTCTGTATGTCACCTACCCCCATCTGCTTGGTGTGCTGGTCTATAAGTCTCTGTATGTCACCTACCCCCATCTGCTTGGTGTGCTGGTCTATAAGTCTCCTGTATGTCACCTACCCCCATCTGCTTGGTGTGCTGGTCTATAAGTCTCTGTATGTCACCTACCCCCATCTACTTGGTGTGCTGGTCTATAAGTCTCTGTATGTCACCTACCCCATCTGCTTGGTGTGCTGGTCTATAAGTCTCTGTATGTCACCTACCCCCATCTACTTGGTGTGCTGGTCTATAAGTCTCTGTATGTCACCTACCCCATCTGCTTGGTGTGCTGGTCTATAAGTCTCTGTATGTCACCTACCCCATCTACTTGGTGTGCTGGTCTATAAGTCTCTGTATGTCACCTACCCCCATCTGCTTGGTGTACTGGTCTATAAGTCTCTGTATGTCACCTACCCCATCTGCTTGCTGTGCTGGTCTATAAGTCTCTGTATGTCACCTACCCCCCATCTGCTTGGTGTGCTGGTCTATAAGTCTCTGTATGTCACCTACCCCCATCTGCTTGGTGTGCTGGTCTATAAGTCTCTGTATGTCACCTACCCCCATCTGCTTGGTGTGCTGGTCTATAAGTCTCTGTATGTCACCTACCCCATCTGCTTGGTGTGCTGGTCTATAAGTCTCTGTATGTCACCTACCCCCATCTGCTTGGTGTGCTGGTCTATAAGTCTCTTGTATGTCACCCACCCCCATCTGCTTGGTGTGCTGGTCTATAAGTCTCTGTATGTCACCTACCCCCATCTGCTTGGTGTGCTGGTCTATAAGTCTCTGTATGTCACCTACCCCATCTGCTTGGTGTGCTGGTCTATAAGTCTCTGTATGTCACCTACCCCCATCTGCTTGGTGTGCTGGTCTATAAGTCTCTGTATGTCACCTACCCCATCTGCTTGGTGTGCTGGTCTATAAGTCTCTGTATGTCACCTACCCCATCTGCTTGGTGTGCTGGTCTATAAGTCTCTGTATGTCACCTACCCCCATCTACTTGGTGTGCTGGTCTATAAGTCTCTGTATGTCACCCACCCCCATCTGCTTGGTGTGCTGGTCTATACGCCTCTGTATGTCACCTACCCCCATCTGCTTGGTGTACTGGTCTATATCTGCTTGGTGTACTGGTCTATAAGTCTCTGTATGTCACCTACCCCCATCTGCTTGGTGTGCTGGTCTATAAGTCTCTGTATGTCACCCACCCCCATCTGCTTGGTGTGCTGGTCTATAAGTCTCTATATGTCACCTACCCCCATCTGCTTGGTGTGCTGGTCTATAAGTCTCTGTATGTCACCTACCCCATCTGCTTGGTGTGCTGGTCTATAAAGTCTCTGTATGTCACCTACCCCCATCTGCTTGGTGTGCTGGTCTATAAGTCTCTGTATGTCACCTACCCCCATCTGCTTGGTGTACTGGTCTATACGTCTCTGTATGTCACCTACCCCCATCTGCTTGGTGTACTGGTCTATAAGTCTGTGTATGTCACCTACCCCCATCTGCTTGGTGTGCTGGTCTATAAGTCTCTGTATGTCTCTGTATGTCACCTACCCCCATCTGTTTGGTGTGCTGGTCTATAAGTCTCTGTATGTCTCTGTATGTCACCTACCCCCATCTGCTTGGTGTGCTGGTCTATAAGTCTCTGTATGTCTCTGTATGTCACCTACCCCCATCTGTTTGGTGTGCTGGTCTATAAGTCTCTGTATGTTCTTCTCCTGACTGGCATCTTCAGCATGTGCTCGGACATTATCCTGTGCCTGGGTCACCATGTCTGCTCTCAAATCTGTCAGGGCCTTGCTGAGCGACTACAAACAGAAGACAATTATGGAACTAAATGAGAAGTTCAAGTATTTTAATCACTGCCACTGCAATCTGAATCAGTCACCAGTTTATGTTCCAAATGCAACAAAAATCTTTTTCACCTATCACCAAACATAACACATTTATATGGTCTAAGTCACGTGAATTTCAGATCAGAAGAAGTCTACTACTTGCTTCAGTAGCAAGGTATTATGTTTATGTTGCTATTTCCACGATTAATGTGGGCTTTTCTGCGTTTTTCTGCACAGTGGGAAAGTTTTCTTTGGTAGGCCTGAGTAGACAGTCAGAAGGATGGATCAGTGTGTTTTGTAGAACTTGAATACCATTATCACGCGATTAATGTGGAAGCTTTTCTGCATTTTTCTGCACAGTGGGAAAGTTTTCTTTGGTAGGCCTGCTACTAATGTCCATTATCCTATTGTTAAATGTTTTTCCATGTATCCATTGGGTTTACCATTCAGCATTGTCCATCTGACAGCTGATAGCAGAAGCTGGTCTGTGGTCTACTCACCTGATGCTGTTTCTCCTTGAGAGCCAGCTGGTTCTTCAGCCTCTCTACCAGGTTCTTCATGGTCTGTGTTGGAGCCTTGAGTTGGAGTCCTTCAGTGCTGCAATCTCATCATTCAGGATGTCCATCTCTTCTTCTGTTCCCAGAGCTGGCGGCGGTAGTCATCGATCCTCGAGTCCCTCTTGGCCAGCTCAGCTTTGATCTCTCACTGTATCTGGAGACAAAACATGGAGGAGAGACATAATTGAGTGGGCCCTAAACACTGAAACATCTTTTGGGCTACCAGTTCTTGGAGCACCACAAACTGACAAAAACTCCCTCATGAAAAGCATCTGAAGATTTGTATAATTTGTTGACTGGTTGTGGTGTGTACCTCTCTTTGTCTGTGCTGTGCATTCTGTCCGTCTGCTGCAGTTTGGCTCGCAGTGTGATGATCTCCTCCTCCTTGAAGTGCATCTTCTCACTGAGAGCTGCGATGGAGTTCTCCTGCTCGGCAACCATGTCCTCCAGCTCCGTCAGGCGGGCCAGCTGAAGCAGATACCAACATCAGTATCAGGCAACACACAAAGTGAAGCCTGCAGCACATATAAACCTCACAAACACGATTAATACCAAGCTTACCATCTGATACAAGCAGATGCTGTTATCCTCTCTTGTGACAAGCATGTGTACTGGGGACGTATTCCATCCTTGAATCCCACAAGGATGATATTAACATGCATTAACACAGTCAATTTCTTGAACTGAACCCAGAATTACTGAGAGGAAGTACAGTCCAGTCTTGTGCACAGCTGTAGTTACTACAGAAACATAATTTTTACAAACCTGGAGAGGTTATGAATTCTTTGAAGAAAAGTCCTCCTTGGGGTACATATAAGCATTAAAATGTCCATTTTAAAAGCCTACGACAGTTGTAACAATATTTCAATAAAATATTTTACCAAACAAAAATCTCGTTATGTGTGGTGAGACCACCCCTACAGGGCCCCGTAGAGGGCCCCCTACAGCCAAGAGCAGGTAACTCTGGCTGTGTACCTCGTGACCTCACTTTTCATGCTGAGCGTGTCAGACAGAATGAGGGGAGGTGGGCGGCGTACCCAAGGAGGACTTTTCTTCAAAGAATTCATAACCTCTCCAGGTTTGTAAAATTCTTTTCAGAAGAAGTCCTCCTTGGGGTACATATAAGCATAAGACAGACTCCCCAGCGATGTTGAGTCGGGAGTGGTATTCTGTCTGCCTAACATACCCTTCCTAGTTCAGTCGAAGGCACAGCGAAGCCGACAGAGAGAAAGTACACTCACCTAGTCACCTGACCGCTGATGTCAATCAGGCGGGGCTGGCAAGGCGGGGAAAGGAGCCACAACCCGATGGGCTATTGGTGGAATTTATAAAGGCGGACGCCAAGTCCCACCCCCAACCATCAAAATGGGAGGGAAAGTATGGGGCGAGTCCAATATATATCCCTCAGCAACCCAAACCAGCGTGGTGCAGGGATGAACACAGTGACTGTAGCGGTGATAATGTCGCTACATACAGTAAAACCACCACCAATGTGATACCACCACCGATAAAAATTGGGGAATTTATTAACACCTACACCATGAGAAAAGCAAAGCGTGATTTCTAAGGCTCATTCGCTAGAGAATCACGACACTGCCCACTGGTGAAACTGTCTGGCCAAACCGAGCACGCTCCCGTGAGGTGTTTGTCCAGCTGATAGTGGCGGATGAACGTGCTCGGGTCGGCTCCAGATAGCCGCTGAGCAGATCTCTTCAATGGGCAGTGCGCATGCTTTGATGATGTCGCCACTGCCCTAATAGAATGAGCTTTTAAACCCTGAGGGATGGTTAATCCTTTGTAAGAGTAACTTTCGAACAAATGGCAGAGACAAGCCACCTAGATATGGTCTGCTTGTTGGCCGAAGACCAGCCTTGCCACCGCTTATAACAACAGAACAGCTGCTATCTTTCCTGATAGCAGCCGCTCGCTTGATATAAGCCTTGAGAGTCTTACGGGACATCTAAGGCGTGAGCACGCCAAGAGAGGTACGGACGATGGAGGCTGAGTGAAAGCTGGCAGTTCGATGGGCCGCCAAGATATATGAAAGGCCTCTCTGCGATACCTTAGGGCGGGTAGGAGTCTGGCAACGAATACTGACTCTGTCTTTGTGAAAGACAGTCAGAGCAGGATCCTGACATCGCGATGGATATCCACCCACCCGCCATGCCAGACGTTACGCCACAAGAAGGGCAGCCTTCCAACTTAACAGCTGGAGGAAAGAGACGACAGATCGCGGAAAGAGAGGACCGGACATCCAATCAAGAACGATTGACCAAGTCCCACGGGGGACTAATCCGCCCGGACAGTCGGACGGATTCTCACGTCCACGCATACTAAAAGCTGCGCTTTGGTACGAGGGGTGCTGCCCCCAAGAGAGCACCGTCGGCAGGGATATGGAAGGCAGAGATTGCCGTGGAGTAGCCCGGATAGTAAATGAGCGGCTAAACCGGGCTTCTAACCGAGACTGCAAGAACTCCAGTACTTCAATTACAGCTAGAAGAAAAAGGGATCAAGAATCCCTCTGCCGACACCAGTGGCGCATAACAGGCCCATCTATCCTCATACTGAACGTTTGTCGAATCCCTCCGCTGAAGCCAGAATTGTGCTCTGCAACTGGTGCAGGAAATTCCGCCAGCGTGGAGGCGCATTCGGACAGAAGGCCAGGCCACCCACTGAATCCTGGATTGAGAGTGCGGCGCCCGTTCTGGGATAGTAAGTCCGGCCGAAGGGTAATAGTACAGGAGGCTGAGCCAGAAACCTGAGTAGTACCGGAAACCAGCTTTGAGCCGACCAAAGGGGTGCAAGGAGCACAAGAAGTCGAGCTGGTTGGGGTGGCAAGCTGCAAGAGGAACTTTGGGAATCAGGGTAGCGGCGGGAATGCCCACAGAACCCTGTCCGGTCCAATCGAAGCTGGAAGCGTCTTGGGCGATGGCTCTCGGATCCGTATCCGGCAGAGCAAACACCGGAATCTGGTTCGTCCCCCAGATGCAAATGCAGATCCACCTGGAACGACCCGAACAACTGGGAGATAGCCCCGAATATCCCCGATGGAGCATCCACTGCAGGGGCCAGGATACCTCGCAGAGAGTGCATCTGCTCAACGCTGTCCGCCCCTGGGAGATAAACAGGCATTACCCGTATGTCCGAACTGGTGCGCACCAGAGCAGAAACTGCCATGCCTCCTGCAGAAGAGACGGAAACCGCATCGCCCTGCTTCAGGATGCAGGTCATTGCCGCCTGGTTGTCCATCTCGAGACGGACCACACGGCCTTGAACCTGCTCCCAAGTCGCTTGAACACCAACCTGACTGCTCTCAATTCTAGCACATTGATGTGCAGTTGCGCTCGCTTCTGTGACCACAGGCCTGAGACCGACAGGGCGCCAGCACGCCCCACCCTGTGAGGGAAGCGTCCGCCTGAATTGAGAGATCTGGCGATGGGATGTCCAAAGGGAGCCCCTTGATAAATTCCCTGCCAGTGTCCACCACCGTAAATGAGGAATTAGCCACCCTGGAGTGTGGAGAATCAACTCAGTAACTCCTGCACCCACATTCGAACTAGAGCCTGCTGAATGGGTCGCATCCTCAACAGCTGGCCGCTAAACGATGTCCACCGCTGCCGCCATGTTGCTCTAACAACTGGAGCCAAGTCCAGCTGAGGCCCTGGGAACTCTCGAGAAATTGTAACACAACTCTCTGGACTTTGGTGACGGTCCGAGACAGGGGAGACAATATCCTCGCGCTGTCTCGAACTCGGCCCCAAGAACACCAGATCCTGGGTGGGAACCAGTTCTGATTTCTTGAGGTTGATAATCCAGCCCAACTTGGTGAGAATACTCATCACAGCAAGTGTCGCCTTCGACTCAAGTGAGTGGCAAGCGCATCTAAGGAGCCAATCGCCTAGGTGCGGGGTGACAGCACCTGCCCTGTGACCTGGCTACCTGAGCTGGAATTAGCATGAGTTTGGTGAACACCCTGGCGCTGTGGAAATGCCGAAGGGTAATTCGAAACTGATAGCACCTCCGTCGAAGGAAAACCTTGAGGTATTTCCGAACTCGGGTGCATAGGGACATGGAAGTCTCGCGTCTTTGAGGGTGGCATCGATTGATCGTGAGCCAATCTCCTTCTCCACAGACCGAAATCACCGTAAGCGCAGTGTTTCCATCTTGAATGACGGTACCTTCTAACATGTCGCTTCAGACCTTTGAGGTTTAGAATAGGCCTGAACCCTCCGTCCTTTTGGTGACAAAGGAAATAAGTTGAGTAAAACCCAACATTTCTTGTCCCACAGGAACCATCTCTATGGCTGCCTTGTCCAGCAAACGACTGGACCTCGGGCATCGAGCACTTCCGCCTTCTCTAGGGCAGCCGGCACTGGAGTGCAACGGATCCCGGAGAAGAGGGGGGTCTCGCCCACTGTGGCAAGTGGCCTTCCTGAGTGTGGACAGGACCCAGGGATTGACGCGGACTTTTTCCCATTCCGACAGGAAGAGGAAAGTCGACCACCCACAGGGATATGTGGCAGGAGACATTGAATACCGGACTTTGGCAGTACTCTGACTGCTTGGTCTGGTACCAACAAGGGCCTCGGAGGAATTATAGCTGGGAAGCCGGGCTGACTTCCCCTTCCTCTGAAAAGGCTCCTGGGGCCGTGGCCTTGCCCTTGCCCTGCCTCTCTGCCCTTACCCTCCTCAGCGACTGCAAGGGCTGAGCCCATTTAACAGATTCCTTCGCCGCCGCAGAAGGATATCGCGAGGAGACAACCGGGGTCAGCGAGCTTAGACGTGTGAGGCTGTTCCAGCAAGGGCTTAGAGTCCTTGAAGGTTGAGACAGCCTCCATGCCCCCCGACTACTGTAGCTGCCCCGGGAACAGGGTAGAACCCATCCGGAATGGCAGCGCAGCAGAGCCTGTTGCGTGGCAGGCTTGCAATACCTCGCCACGAGAAAGCCAGGCTTAATGGAGGCCCATCACCGCCGACATCATTTGGCAAGCCGGCGACCTGATAGAATCGCGCCAGATGTGACTGTACCTCCGTTAATTGCTTAGCCAAGGTGGAGGGAGACGCATCTTCCTCCACCCCACCCACATCCAGTAGTTGCCTCTGCAACACCGTGAGATGTAGGCGAATGGATCGTCACTTTGAGGCATTGAACCGCATTATGCGGTATTGCTCTTCAAAGGATCGATGGCCCGGATTTAAGCTGTAGCGTTAGCTCGTGAGCGGCGGAAGCCCGGCGACCTTGCTTGGCTGGCCATAGAATTACCAGGACGAACCCCCCAGGGCGACGGATGCGTAAACACAATCGTCAACCACTGGGGGATTGTAGAGGCAAGCCTCCCCCATGAGGTACCGACGGTCAAGTTCTGGCAAATCGAACCTGGACCTGGTACCACAGAGGAGGGGGTTGATTACTTCAGACAAGACTGAGGGTAATATCGCGCGCCTTGTGTCCCCACCTTGGTGGGAGCAAAAGCCTCCCCTGGGAGGCGAAACTCCTGAGGGTCGGGTGCGCCAGTACTGACCACTACCTGGGGCAGGACAGAAGCATTACGCTCCCGTACCTGCCTCAGGGACGCACCGAGCGAAACCAAAGGCGTACCCAACTCCTCCCGACCCTCATCCTCCTCCATAGCCTCCTCGAATCGATCCTCAATGAGTGAGGTCTCTGTTTCCAGAGAGAGCTCTGAGGGATCATCCGAGGGGTCTACAGAGAGGGACAAAGGCTCGAGCAGAGCCGGGTTGCCCGGCACACCCGACCCAAGACTGCGAGACTGAGTCGCGGTGCCGTGATGAGGAAGAGCCCGTGCTGGGATTCCTCAATGGTAGACAAAATGATCCAGACACCGAATGGCCCGGCCAAGCCGGCGCAAGCGGTGGGACCAATTGCGAAGTAGCGGCAACTACAGGGACTGCCAAACTACTAACTACTGGACCAGACCCCGAGCCAAGGCTCGGGCCGGTAGTAGTTACTACAGCGGAGGGGTGGCCAGCAACCGAGACGAAACTCGGAGCCGACGCACCCCCGACAGAAACCCCCACACCAGAGCCTAAGCTGAGGTTGGGAGCACTGCCCGCCATAGACCCGACACACACACCCGTACCTGGTCGGACACCAATCTCCTGTCGGAGGCCAGCCATCGCGTCAGCCACGAGAGTGTGGACCGAATCCATCTGCTTCTGCAATATATCAGAAAGTAAATCAATTGTTAGCTGGTTAGAAACAGGGACAGGAGGGGGGGGGAAGGTGCCTGTGATGTTGAGGGGATGGCAGGTGAAGGAGCCGGAGGCCCCGTACCCTTCGCCCGTTTAGGAGCATCCCCCGAAAGAGAGGAAGCCGAAGCCTTCTTTTTCTTTGTTTTTTTATCTTTGTCTTTAGGCGGCTCCTGACCCCAAATGTCCCCCCCCGCCTGAAGTAAGGACGTGTAGAACATGTAATCAGCACGTCTGGACTTGATGGTGCGGGGGGAGAAAGCCTGACACATAGAACAACCTTGTTCGTCATGGGCTTCCTCCGCTAAACAACGTAAGCAAACCAGGTGGCGATCCTGAGGCGACAAACTGCCGCTACAGGTGACACACCCCTTGGGCTGCAAAAAACAGAACCACGCTATGATAATAGCAAGGACTGTACGATATACATAATATAATATGCACACAACAAAACAGAACAAAATACAACGCCCGGGCGATATTTTAACTGCTACAGCAAAGCTATTAATTACTAGCGTAAAGCCAAAATAGCGAAGCGTAATTGCGTACATAGGTGACAAAGAGCAACATGTGTGAGCGACACGTAAACGCGTCACGAAAACACTCAAGCAAAACTTACCTAAAGCCTGAAAAAAGAGGAATTTAGGCAAGTATAATCTACAAAATGAAATATCAGCCCTTTCACAACCCGACTACAAGGCTTTTTCTAAAGCCAGGAGAAGGAAAGCAAACGGAACCCGCGGTCCGCCATCTTGCCTGCCACGTGGCTGGAGACAGCGAACACGCCGGTAAAGTTACAACAAATCATGAATGAAAAAAGTCATACAAAGATTCCAGCTAGCGCCCGAGCGAAAAAAAGGAACCATACATACAGGATTTGACTCTATCTCACTCATCCTTATTCGTATCTTGGACCATGCAAACGACCTACACGGCCGACGACAGCATGAAAAGTGAGGTACGAGGTACACAGCCAGAGTTACCTGCTCTTGGCTGTAGGGGGCCCTCTACGGGGCCCTGTAGGGGTGGTCTCACCACACATAACGAGTTTTTTGTTTGGTAAAATATTTTATTGAAATATTGTTACAACTGTCGTAGGCTTTTAAAATGGACATTTTAATGCTTATATGTACCCCAAGGAGGACTTCTTCTGAAAAAGAATAACATATATTTTAACATGAATGTTTACATATTTCAGAATGTTAATTCCAAAGGTAACATACATACAAAACAACTTTGCCAAGGTTGAATAACATGCATTGAACTGATTCAACTGATGTCAACACACAGTGACTCATCAAGTTGAGGTGAAACATGGAGGCTGACCTGTTTGCTGGTCGGTCCCTTGGCTGTGGTCTGTCTGCTCATGAGCTGCTGAGCTGCCTCCTTGAACTTGAGGAAGGTGGCGTCAGTGTTGAGGTGTATCTTCTGCTGCATGGCCTTCAGCTCCTGCTCGTGGCGTCGGTTCATGTCCTGCATGTCCTCCCGGGCCTGGTTCAGCAGCTCCTGGTACTTGTGTATCGTCTCCTCCTTCTGCTGGATGCGGGCCTGGAGGGGCACAGAAGGGGCACACCACTGTATAGTCAGACAGGACAAGCACAGCATAGACCTGCACACAGACTGTAGGCCCACAGAGGGCACAGTGGAGCATGGTGTAAAGACTAAAGGGGCACAGAAGGGGCACACCACTGTATAGTCAGACAGGACAAGCACAGCATAGACCTGCACACAGACTGTAGGCCCACAGAGGGCACAGTGGAGCATGGTGTAAAGACTGGAGGGGAGGGCACAGAAGGGGCACACCACTGTATAGTCAGACAGGACAAGCACAGCATAGACCTGCACACAGACTGTAGGCCCACAGAGGGCACAGTGGAGCATGGTGTAAAGACTGAAGGGGCACAGAAGGGGCACACCACTGTCAGATAGGACAAGCACAGCATAGACCTGCACACAGACTGTAGGCCCACAGAGGGCACAGTGGAGCATGGTGTAAAGACTGGAGGGGCACAGAAGGGGCACACCACTGTATAGTCAGATAGGACAAGCACAGCATAGACCTGCACAAAGACTGTAGGCCCACAGAGGGCACAGTGGAGCATGGTGTAAAGACTGAAGGGGCACAGAAGGGGCACACCACTGTATAGTCAGATAGGACAAGCACAGCATAGACCTGCACAAAGACTGTAGGACCACAGAGGGCACAGTGGAGCATGGTGTAAATACTGAATGGGGTCAAAAGGGGCACAGTGTGGATCCCATGCCGAGACTGGATGGTCACAGGAGGGGGCACAGTGTATGGTATACAAGTCAGCACAGGTGTTGTGCTGACATAACAAGGGTCGTTTTCTGGGTTAAAAGATAAAATGAACAGTAAATACTGAAAGGTAAGCAACTCTACACCCATCATAAGCTGCTTGATCAGTTTTGTCCCCAAATCTGAAGCATGAAACATCATAAACACGTCAAGTATTGAAGAATATGTCTTGTAACCATGGTAACAAACATTACCTGCAAACTGGACATGGTGGACTGGGCAATCTTCAGCGCCTGTTGACTCTCAAAGTCATGATCCTCTGGTTTTTTCTTCATGGCCGTTGTGACCTTTGACGTGGCTCTGAGGATTATCTCATCCCGGTCGGCAGTAGCTGGCATCCTAAGTCTTAGCTCTGAGATCAGTTTCTCCCGCTCAATGATGGCTCGCTCCGCATCACGCAGCTGCTTCTCCAGGTCACTATTCCTCTGGAACAATTACAAAGATCATGTAGCTCACCTTCCTTCACATTTTATGTGAGTGGGTATAGTGTTATGCTGCTTTTAGCAATATTCCAGCATTGTCACAGCTGGAGACACCAGAAATGGGCTTTACACATTGTACCCATGTGTTGAATTGAACCCGTGTCTTCGGCGTGTCGAGCCACCATCCCTCACATTGTCTGGTACATTTTAGGGTTTAATGATCAGATCTGTTTTTGCAGTTCATTTAAGGTTACATTAATGTTGTATGTCCATGATTTTAGACCTAAACGTTACTGACAACATTCCCACTGCTTGCATTACATGATAATATTTTTGTGCTACAGTCAACAAGGAATTATGACAACTCATAGTTTCAAGCTGAGCCCATTACATCCATAACAAAATACACTCATATGGACATTAGTTTTTGATATATCATAATATAATTGTGTACAATATACATAATTCCCTCTGACTGTAATTTGTTCCATGAGAATGTAACAAATAATACTTCATATTGTTGAAATAAACCAGTGTTATTCTAACACATGCTGACTGAATATTAGGGTCCACAGGTGAGTGTTTGTCTGACTGGCACAGGTGAAAATGTAGACAGACTAATTCTCTTTGCCCAAAGTTCTTTGAAGCCCTGGTCATTTGAGCTGTGGAGGTGGAGAGATACTGGTGTTTCCCGTTTATTCTGCACGTACCTGTCTCAGTGTCTTGGACTCAGCCTTGGTGTCCAGGATGGTCTTGACGTTGCCCTTGATTGTGGAGATGGCCTGATCCAGCTGACTGGCCACAGGTAGATTGGAATCAGGAAGGCTGCCCACTGCCTGCTCAAACTGTTGGGTAGTACATACATAACAGAAATGTAATAGCTGATACAATCCTGCTATTCCAGATGAAAAATGCTCCAATATGTAAAACGACTGGGGAATAGGTCTGTTAGCAAAGTTTTATGTATCCTTACCATATTCCAGCAAAATCATGTCAGGAGGCATCACCATGTCACCGGAAAGCACTACCTACTGATTTGTCAAGCGGGTATTTTGTTTAGTTCATCAAGTAAATTACTAATTATCTTAATTTGATTTTTACATACTGTAAACGTATTATATTTCGCGCAGGTTTTATTTTTATTTTCGGCACAAAACATTTTAGTGCGAAAATTTATACACATGCTAAAAACCTGTCATTCATTCAGTCTAGCCATGCTCGCCCCTGAGTTGTTACCATAACACATCAAGTTTGAAGACAGAAATCTACGGGAATCTTAAAATGACTGATAGTAGCATAAAGAATCATACTTAACTGTCGCTGTAATGTATTTCCCAAAACATAATTAAATAATGAGCCAAATACCATCGCCGAATTAGTGAAAACAGCAATGTGTGTTGTGGCCGCCATGGAAATTGGTCACATGACAGATGGTTTGATACAAAACAGATTACCATGAAACGACTCGGAAAGAAATAATACAGCAGTATTTTATTTATTCATTAAGATTTTATTTACCAGTACATCATGAAGCGAATAGTCACTTAACACTCAATCATCTCATTCACAACAACCCGGCTTGTTTGAAATCACAAAGAGCTTCATATACAGTAGAAGTTAATTCGTCAGATCGTCAGAATTCGGAACATAAGACTGATGTGTTTTTCATCTCTTCCGTGAGTAAACGGATTACTGTGTACTAGTATATCGCACAGATAGGGATTTCCTGTGAGTATGCAATAAACGCCCTGACAGGTTAAGCCACTCTGTTTGTTTTCACTGCTATTAGTGGCGGCCAAAGAGACAGCTGGCAGTTCCGGCAATTACTGATTGCGCGAATAATTGACTGCGTGCGATGTAGTCTAAACTGTCAATTCCACGAAAATTGCACCACGCGAAAATAAGTACGTTTACAGTAGTTGGTACGAGAAGGTTTTTTTGTTTGTTTTCCAACAAGTTGGTTGGTTTGTTGTTAATTGCCGCACTCAGCAATATTCCAGCTTTATGTCAGCAGTCTGTAAATAGTCAAGTCTGGACCAGACAATCCAGTGATGAACAGCATGAGCACCAATCTACGCAGGGTGAGATACAATGACGTGTGTCAACCAAATCAGCAAGCCTGACCACCTGATCCCGTTAGTCGCCTCTTATGACAAGCATAGCTTACTGAAGACCAATTCTAACCCAGATCATCACGTGTCCCAAGAAGGGTTACATCAAGGAATGAATCCATTTTGTTCTCAGCTGAAATAGTTTGTTTCCACTTTCGTAAGCACTGATAGTAGATAACTCCGCAGTTTCCATCTTCTAAACCTCATTGGTGTCTGGCTAGATGATTACAATGATAAACTATTTACAACCTTGTAGATTAGCTGCTTGGAGATGGTGACCAGGCACAAATGAACAGAGATTTCATTGGCTGTCTTGGTTAGAATTCTTAAAGCCAGGCTTTTGATTAATCTATCTTGGATTTGTGTTGTTAACCTTGGGAAACCTGTGTGCTGCAATCATTAACATCTTGTGTCTGCAGAAACATGTTCCAAAAATCTGCAAGTCACAGACTAACCTCCCACTACCCTGACTATCCACCTACCCTGGATGCAGCCCCAACTATCTCCTCCACTTGTCTCTCCAGACTGATGACGGTCCTCTCCAGCTCCACCTCTCTGCTCCCATCTCAACTGTCTCTCCTCGTAGTCCTGAAAACAGACAGATAACATCTATACAATCACATCTCACTGGAACATTATTGTCTCACAAATACTGACATTCTGGCTTACTTTGCACAACAAAACATACACCAACATATCTCAGCAATGTATTACAGTGCAGACAACTTGCCTTGATGACTCTGACGTTGTCAGCCTCGAAGTCGGCTATTGTCAGTTCATGGGATTGGATGATTCCTTCCAGGTACTTGATCTGCAACAACCCAAGGTGATCATACATGTTAGGAAGACATGGACCAACACCAACAATAATGACAAGACTGCCAAGAAACTGTCAGAAGAGTTATTCTCATGATGTCCTGGTGTGGCGGAGGCAAATATAGTTTAAAATTAGTCTGAATTCTGTTCTAAGTTCCATATTTGAAAAGACCGCTTAACTAAACAGACCGGATAAGTAAACACTTTTCTTTGGTCCCGGCAAATTTCTTCATTAATCATCACTATTAGAGTCCTGTTAACTAAACTCGGATAAGTAAACAATACAGCTTAACTAAACGTCTTCTCATGGTCCCTGGAAGTAAATTACTTACCAAAGGAGACCAGATATCTAAATTAGCGATCACCACGCAATCCGACATGAGGGGCACGTGTCAGTCTCCAGCTAAACAAACATCCTACTTACAGCTTGCTGGCGTCAAGCAGTTGACAATACACTGACAACTGGAGGCCAGCCCTGATAAGTTGTTCATTGTTACATATGCATACATATACATGCATATGGTTGTCATTTGCAGGTTTTTATCAGTATATCTATTTAAAATGCAACTTCAAGGATTAATACAGGGCAATTTCCTCAACCATGATCTCATGAACTGAACATGTACGGCAACTAAACTAAACACCAGTTTCCTCCTCTGACCATTGAACGCTGCCTCCCTGATACCCACCTGTTTATGCAGTTTAGTGTTGAGTCTCTTCTGTTTCAGCTCCTCAAGACGAACTGTCTCAATCTTGGAGTGCCACTCCACCACCTTAGCAGCTCCACGCCCGTCCTTCAGAGTGGAGATCAGCTCCTGTAGGCTCTCCTTCTGCAGTTCCAGCTCCGCCACCTTGTCCCGCATACCCTCGCGATGGTCCCGGACCTTGAGTGAGTGAGAGAATGTGTGAGTGAGTGAGTGAGTGAGTGTAATGGCACTGTGAACACTAATCCAGGGATCACAGCAGATCAAAATAACTAAGCAATCATTTAAATTACTTAACTGACCTTTACATTAAAACAGTGAGTGCATATTGTGTTATGCTGTTAAACTGCATGTAAATACTCAGGCCAAACAATCCAATGGTTGAAATGATGAGCATCCTCCTATGAAGTGCAATCAAGCAAATCAGCGAGTCTGACCATTCAATCAAATCCATTCAAGGCAAACTAAGGCAGTATTTTCACTGCCCCACCTCACCATGCTCTTCCTCCACAACAGTGAGTCAGTGAGTTGGGTTTACAAAACTTTTAGCAACATTCCAGCAATATCACAACAGGGACACCAGAAATGTGCTTCACACATCATGCCCATGTGTGGAATCGAACCCGGGAATTCGGCATGATGAGTGAACGCTTTAACCACTTGGCTACTAGGCCACCGGACCCCTACAACAATGAAGCTATGGCAGTACTGTGACAATCTGACCTTCTTCAGTTTTTCCTTCAATACAATCAAGTTAATTAGAGCTGTGACTACCTCCTATCTCAACTCTCTAACACCATCCACCATAAGAATGAAGCTAATTTATACAAACCTGTAGAGGTTATGAATTCTTTGAAGAAAGTCCTCCTTGGGGTACATATAAGCATTAAAATGTCCATTTTAAATCCTACGACAGTTGTAACTATATTTGTAATAAAATATTTACAAAACAAAAAACTCGTTTTGTCTTGTGAGACCACCCCTACAGGGCCCCACCGGACCAACACAGCCAAGAGCAGGTAACTCTCCGCCGTCTACCTGCGTTACCTCACTTTTCATGCTGAGCGTGTCAGACAGAATGAGGGGGAGTGGCCTTACCCCAAGGAGGACTTTCTTCAAAGGAATTCATAACCTCTACAGGTTTGTATGAATTCTTTTCAGAAAGAAGTCCTCCTTGGGGTACATATAAGCATATGACAGACTCCCAAAGATATTTGAGGCGGGTGGCATTCTGTCTGGCAACAACTAAACCCGTGGTGGAGTGAAATCTACAACCGATCACGAAATAGAAAACACCGAGCCACCTGACGCTGATGTCAATCAGGCGGTGAGGAACTAGAGAGCCCAAGCTTATATGTCAATTGGCTCAATATCAATGACATAAAACCCGCCCCAACCATTTACAATGGAAGGAATGTATGGGGACATGCGAAACAACTCCCAACCCTAATATAGCCCCAGCCAGATCAATGCGTGCGAGAGGTATAAGGGTAGGGAAAGCGTAAAAATTTAAGCGCTACAAAGCCAATAACCCAGTTGAGGCTCGAGCTAATAAGTACTGCAAACTAATGCTCGAATGCAGCCCCTGTTTGGAAGAGGGCTTGCGGGACCTCGATAAAACCCAGAGAAATTATTAGCCTCGCTAAAACTTTCTGAAATCGAGCGACTACAAGCGCCATGCATTGTGCGAGTGAAAAACACCCCCACCAAACACTCTCGGCGTGAGGAGGGTAAGTGTAGGCCACCATCCCACAAAGCTGATCAACACAGACTCCCAAATACCGAAGGCTCGGGAAGAGGGAAAAACTGTAAGCGTACAAAAATCCCCTGAATAGCGAAAAGCGTAGCCGAACATATGTTGGCTCACCATTACACTAACCTGGTCACGTGACATGCGGCTCGAGAGAGGCATACCAAACAATGCCCGTGGGGTTTCAAGACCTAATTCCGTCCGCGAAGACAGGTTAATAGCATATGACTGGTTAAAGCGTTCAAAAGCGGACCCGCCCTCTTGAAGGGGCGTAAGGGACGATATGTACACCCAAACCCGACCCAACCGAAGGATGGTAAGGCTAATCACGATGTAGTGATATGAAATATATGGACATTGAACACAGAACCGATACCAATGACCAGTTACTAACTTGGTCAGGGTGGCAGGTCACTCTCCACTGGAGAGAACCGAAAGACCGAACCGAGCACGATCCTTAGAATGCGTGTCAAGTTGGTAATGGCGAGATGAAGGCGTTCTGCTGGCTCCAAAAGAGCGACAGAACCGATCTCTTCATTGAGCAGTGCCGCTGTGTATTGTCAACAAAGCGGCATCTGCCCTACCCAGTCTGCCTTCAACCCCTCGGGGAGGTAAACCGTATCATTGTAACCATACAATTACGGAAACAAGCCAGCGAGATAAAGTCAAGCACGCTAGCAGACTCCCCAGTCTTCCACCACCAAACAGCACATGGGTACCCGTACGGATCCCTTTTGTTCGTTCGTTAAGTGACGAACGGTGAGCAATCGAAGATTGGTCCCGGTGCGGAAAACTGGGTAAGGGATGGAAGTGCGATATGAGCAGTCACGTGGAAAGCAATATCGCACTGAGAGTGGTAGGTATCCGGGTGGGAGTCGAATCGGGACATGATCAGTATAAAATACTGTCAGTGTCGGGTCAGTGGGAATCGCATGGATGTACCCGACCCTTCTACCAGAGTTCACCACAACAAGTAAAGTCGTCTTCCACGTCAACAAGTGAAGTGAGAGAGGCGATATACTTGAAAAATTAGGGCCAGACAGCCAATTGTGAATAAGTGGCAATTTTAAGGTGGGCTGGGTCACGGCGAAGCGGTCGAACCCTGTTCATGCCAGCTAACGGCGATGTGCGAGAGGATGCTGCCTAGGCAGAGCACCATCGAGCGAGGTGTGAACGTGGAAATAGCCATGGAGTACCCGCAATGGTGGAGGTCATAAGGCTCTCAACCAAAACGAGGTTATAGTAACTCCAATATCGAACTAAGTCCGCCAGAATAGGGATTATGAAATCCCCTATCTGCACACCAGCCCTTCACCTATCAACACACTGAACGGTGTCAATCCCAGGCAGAATTGTGTCTGCAACGGTTGCAGGAATTCCGTGTGTTATGCCCGACAGAGGCCAAAGCCACCCAGTGAATCCGAGGATTCGGTGTGGCTCCGCAGATGTGAGAATGTCTGGCGAAGAGGTAATTCTAATCCGGGCGCGCGGATCGAACACCAACCTGACTGCTGTCAATTCCAGCACATTGATGTGCAGGTTGTGACTTCGTCTCAAGAGGCTGCAGGTCACCCAGAACATCGCCTCTAACCCGGTAGGGATGTATCTGGCTGGACTGAGAGCTTGACGGTGTCTCCAGGGTGGGGACCCTCGGAGAGACGCCCTGACGCCTGTCCATCTGACTGCGGCGTGAGGTTGACAATTCCACCCAGTTTCAGTAACTGATCGTGAGAGGTCCCCAGACTCAACAGTTATCTGAAACCACGATGAGTCAGTCGCCTATGTACGGGTGACAACACCGCATTTCGATCTGGCTATCTGAGCTGTAATAAACTCTCAATTTGGTGAACACCGCTTGGCACCGTGAATGTAGCCTAAGGAGAGCACACGAAACTGGTAGCACGTCCGGTCAAACAAGAAACCAAGGTAAATCTTGAAATCAGGGTGCAATGGAACAAGGAGGTATCGCTGACCGAGGTCGCATTGACGCGGCGCCAATCCCCTGTCTCGGCAGATGAGATCACCGAGCGGTGTCTCCATCTTGAAGGACAGTACCTCTATAAACTTGTTCACTCTCAGATGAGAATGGGTCTGAACATTCGCTTAAGTAATGGCAACTATGAAATAAGTGGAGTCAAACCCCACATATTCCTGACCATTGAAACCATAACACTGGTTGCCTAGCCCAGCAAAGACTGGATCTGGGCACGGATTATTGTCGCCGTCTCCGGGAAGCCGACACAGGAGTGTGTCGCTCCGCCGGTGTTTGCGCAGAATATAGTAATTCCAGCAGTCGGGTAACTTAACGTTTATCGATGCCTGGGCACCCTGAGGAAGTAACGAAGCTCAACAGACTTCCGTATTCTCGAAAACTGTCCCGGCGATATGCCCGGCAACCGCCTCATCATTTGACTGGCACAGCTACAATGCAGTCCCTAGCCAGATGAGAGTTGCCCCCGACACAGATGCCGCCCAGAGTCAGCCGACGAAAAATTCCACCGGCTCTCAGGTCCCTTTCCACCAGCTCCCTCAGCAGCCCGAGATGCCGAAGTGGAGCATACAGCGTTGAGCTGTGAAGGGAAAGAACGCAGACTTAAGGGAGAGTGTGAGGCCTTGTCCCGATGCCGTGCTGGAAGCAGGCTTACCTCCGGACCCTTAACCCAACGTTCGGTAGTCGACATGGACAACACCTGAGGCAACACAGTCAGCGATTTTATCTGCGCACTTTGCCTCAGGGACGAACCTACTTAGTGGTAAGTTCAAAGTAGCGAAATGAGCCGAAGCTCAAATCGACTTGTCCACTGTACGAGCCTGAACCCCGATTCCGGGCACATGTGAGAAGCCTGACAATCAAGGTTTCACAACACCTCAGACAGACCTCGGAGCCGGCGAGGTGACAGTCACACCGGCACACTCGATGGCATCTAGGTCAATACGTCCGATAGACATCAGGCGAGACCTGAACTACCGAGTCGGGAATCTGCGCCTACCAGTGCCGGCCTGGGTCGGCTACCCACGGGTTCAGAGAATCCGCGAGAGCGAAGCTCAGCTGTTCTAGACCCGAACCCGATCCCTAGACACGAGGGAGTAGCCTGATAAATCAGGTTTCCCCAAGTACTCAAAAAAGCACTGAGCGTATAGTCAAACATAGCCTATAGCTATATAAATACCCATACATACACATGTATGTATCGCCAGTGCTCGGTCGGCGGTTGAGTTCGAACCCCTCGATCCCCAACACATGGGAGTGGCCTGACAATGCAGGCTCCCCTGGTGTAAGTGCGGGTGAGACCTCGGCGCCGAGGTGATCGGCAGCTCAGTCACACTCAACGGCCGCTTGGCCAGGGCATCGATAGACATCAGGCCGAGACCTGAGCTAACAGCGCCGGGGATCTGCTCCGTGCGGGGCGGCCAGGTCGGTGCTAGTCCGATCTGCAGTCCTCGGTGACACAAGGGAGTAGCCTGGCAATGCAGGTTGCCCCTGGTGGACACAGGTAGACCTAGGGCCGCCGGGTGATCGGCAGCTCAGTGGAATCCAGACCGGGCGCCGAGAGGAACCTGCCGATATACAGGTTTCCCCGGCAACCCCGACTGACCACGTGGCCCGAGGTGTCCTCGAAGCTGGTCGGCGCCTGGCTTAACCGCCAGTCAGGGCACCAGGGCAAAACCTGCAGGGCGAAACCTGCATCGCCCGGCTTTCAGCGCCGCGGATCGAACCTGAGCCGAAGCTAGGGTCGCCACAAGGTGCCGAAGGCCGAGGTGTCCCGAGCTGGTTCATGCCCTAGGCGACCGCCAGTCAGGGCACCAGGCGAAGACAGGGCAAAACCTGCATCGCCGGCGCCAGGCGCGTGATCGAACCTGAGCCCGAAGTTAGGTCGCCACAAGGTGCCGAAGAGCACACCATCACCTGAGCCGGCCAGGATCAAGCTGCCTGGGAGGGCGCTGTTCGAGCCAGAGCTCGGGCGCAGCCAACCCCCCAGATGCGCCCCGATCCACCCCCTACAACAGGCGTGCGTTGGGCTCCTTGCGAACCCAGACAGCACCGTGTCAATCGGGCGGGAATTTCACCACAGACGACACCTGGTGAACTTACCTTCGAGATCAACATCTTTGCGGTGTCGAGCTCCTTACGGAGCCCGACATGCAGCTATCAATCATCGAATTGACATTATGTTGAAGAATATGTTGCTGCAATAGTGAAGCAAATTGAGTCATATTTAAGTCAGCAACATTGTTTTGCGGGGAAACGATAAAGGGATTTCCTTAGAAACCTTTTATCAAATATTATCCCATCTGGAAGCAGATTAGTGAAAAACATAAAATCTGTGTCGAGGAAAAGAAATGCGGAGGCTTATGAAACCCAGACAAAACACACAACCTCGCCCTATGAGCCACGCTGTGTGTAAACGTATGAAATATGTATCATAATACAACATAATTTAACAGGAATATTGATGCAAGGGCGTTTATTATGAGCATCCTTGATCGTCGGAGCCGCCTCGGCTAAACACCGAGGCACACTTTATAACCATCCTGTGGCGGTAGTGTGCATGGCAGCAACGCACAGGGCTTAAACTGCAACAAACAGAACCACGCCAGTGTTACTAGCAGGAACTGTGAAGCAGCAAACACATAAACACAAGTAATAGCAAGAATAATCCCCACGACGGGCGATATATAAATGCTACAAGCTACAGCCATTTAAATACTAAACATACAATGCAAAGCAGAAAAGGCTAGCCACCCCTGCGTACTAGTGATAGAGTAAAGTTGAGTGATACCGAAAACTAACACTATCAAAATTACTCAACAACGACTTACCACAAATTCGCTGAAAGAAAGAGAATTTAGGCAAGCCTACCATATAATATGCAAACATAATATATGAACTCCCTACTACAAGCTACCAAGAACATATAGCAAGGAAACCACGATCGCTAGCTGTCATCGCATTTTGCCTGCCACATGGCTGACAGAGAACCCACGGCTGTGACTACTTGACGCCCATCTCGGAGCTCTTCTTCCAGCTTCGTAGGGAGAGCAAACTCCTGCCTCAACTGCATCATATTCTTTGAGAACTTCTCCTGTTTGGACAGCCCTGCTCACAGCTCCTGCAAACTGTTAAGTTACAACAGTTCGTTGAGACTCCTTCTTGAGGTACCTGGCCTTGTTCTTGTGCCTCTGCCCGGTTGTGTTGTATAGTCTGGTTCTTGTCATCGATCCCTGGCCTGTTCTCCTCTGCGCAACACCTGGGCCTCCAGCCTGTGTTCTCCTCGCAACACCTGGGCCTCCAGCTTCGTTACTTTCTTCCTGGCCTCCCCCCACTTCCTCCCTGCTGTGCCCTCACTCACCTGCAGCTGCACGATGGTGCGGTGCAGCTTACCTGTGGCAGTAAACAAACCTGATTAAAGCCTGGGATGATTATTATTGCACATGCCATATTACATGCATCTGAAGGTCTCTTGTGTCATAACTCTGTAATAAACAACTCTCACATTCTAAGGTAAGAAATCCAATGTTTGATTCTAAATTTGTAATCTCTAAGTTAAGTAAGAAATGGATATCACTTCTCTGCCAAAAATCACTTTTTCAGGATATTTACATTTTAAGTGAAGAATGAGTGAGTGAGTTTAGTTTTACGCCACACTCAGCAATATTCTAACTATATGGCAGTGGTCTGTAAGTAATCGAAGTCTAGACCAGACAATCCAGTGATCAACAGCATGAGCATCGATCTACACAATTGGGATACGATGAAATATGTCAACCAAGTCAGTGAGCCTGACCACCTGATCTCATTAGTGAGTGAGTTTGGTTTTACGCTGCTTTTAGCAATATTCCAGCAATATCACAGTGGGGGACACCAGAAATGGGCTTCAAACATTGTACCCATGTGGGAATCGAACCCGGGTCTTCAGCGTGACGAGCGAACGCTTTAACCACTAGGCTATCCTACCGTTAGTCATCTCTTACGACAAGCATGGGTTACTGAAGATCAATTCTAACCCGGATCTTCACGGGTTTTATGTAAAGAAATAACACTGTAATTGTCATCTTCAAAATCTTAAGCAATTCAGGTTTTCAGCCAACACTGAACTTTTAAACTGTTCCTTATAGTTAGAAAATGTAATCCTATTTGACCTCTTCATGTCTGAAGCAAAATATTGACCGAGGCCATTTCTAGGATTTAATATAATTAACTAAAATTATTTTGGGTTTTTTATCTCCCCAGAATTCTATGTATCCCTGAATATACACAAAACAACTAATTTCTGAAATTGTGACAGGTGGTGTCATGACTACAGGAACAACAGTGTTCCAGGCGTTCTAAACACACAGGGGGCGGTGGGGTTGCCTAATGGTTAAAGCGTTGGCTCGTCACGCCGAAGACCCGGGTTCGTATCCCCACATGGGTACAATGTGTGAAGCCCATTTCTGGTGTCCCCCGCCGTGATGTTGCTGGAATATTGCTAAAAGCGATTTAAAACCAAACTCAGTCAATCAGTCAGTCTAAACACACAGACAGCACTGACCTATGATGGTCTTCTCATCACTCTGCATCTGGAAGTCAAGGAGCTGTTGCCGTAGCGACTGAAGTTCCTTGTCATGTGACACCTGTTGTGTCTCGTAGATCTTCAGCTGGGATGTCGCAACCTCTGCCACTTCCTGTAACCAGAGACAAACAAACATCGTAAGACTCTATAACCAATCAGCGTTCCAGTTAAATGAGATGTTTGAGGCATTGACATGAGCAAGAGTAAATCTTTGACTTCTGCAAGGCCAAGTATCTATATATGTATCAACAATATATCAAGCTATCTACTGGAAACAGGATCACTGAATTGTCTGGTCCAGACTCGATTGTTTACAGACTGCCGCCATATAGCTGTAATATTGCTGAGTGCGGCCTTAAACAACAAACTAACCAACTACTGAAAGACAGACGTAATTCTTATACCACGCTATAATATCACAGTTTGTAAATCAGTCATATTGTGACCTGGGCGCCTTTCTTAACTCCCATACTTTAACATACACTTACGACTGTCGTAGCGCTACGATCGCTTTGAGGAACGGGGCCCTGGTTTGTGGAATGATTATTACCATTATAACTGCTACTGCCTGTAATGGTAACTGCCTACCTTCAGTTTGGAAATCTCATGCTTGAGAGTCAGCTCGCCCTCCTCCAGTTGGGATATCTTCTTCCTGTCTGCATCACTCACAGACTTTGTCACGGAATCTAGTAAAGTAAACATCATATAGAAAATACGATCTTACACGTAGGTTCAAAATATGAAAGGAACTAGGATTTGCTGAAAAGTAATGAAAGCATCAGTTCACACAAACAAAATAGACAAGATACATATACTAACCTGTAGAGGTTATGAATTCTTTGAAGAAAGTCCTCCTTGGGGTACATATAAGCATTAAAGTGTCCATTTTAAATCCTACGACAGTTGTAACTATACTTTTCAATAAAATATTTACAAAACAAAAAACTCGTTTTGTCTTGTGAGACCACCCTTACAGGGCTCCACCGGACCCCCTACAGCCAAGAGCAGGTAACTCTCGCCATCTACCTCGTACCTCACTTTTCATGCTGAACGTTTCAGACAGAATGAGGGGAGGCGGGTGGCCATACCCCAAGGAGGACTTTCTTCAAAGAATTCATAACCTCTACAGGTTTGTATAATTCTTTTTCAGAAGAAGTCCTCTTTGGGGTACATATAAGCATAAGACAGACTCCCAAAGATATTTGAGACGGGAGTGGCATTCTGTCTGGCAACAACTAAACCCGATGAATCTACAACCGATATGGAAATAGAAAATACACACTTACCAAGCCACCTGACCGCTGATGTCAATCAAGCGGGGGCGTGGCTAGGACAGGAAATAGAGAGCCCAAGCTTATACATCAATTGGCTCAAATCAGTTATGACATAAAACCCCACCCCCAACCATTACAATGGAAAGGAATGTATGGGGACATGCCGAAACAACTCCCAACCTTAATAGCCCGAACCAGAGAAGCGTGGCGAAAGGTATAAGGGAAGGAAAGCGTAAAAAACGCTTAATCGCCAATAACCCAGGTGTCGAGCTAATAAGTACTGCAAACTAATGCTCGAATGCACCCCTCCTGTTTGGAAGAGGGCTTGCCGGGACCTCGATAAAACCAAGAGAAATTATTAGCCTCGCTAAAAACTTTCTGACGAACGAGTACAAACCCCATGCATTGTACGAGTGAAAAGGGTAAGTGTAAATCACCATCACCCAAAGTGATGATTAACACAGACTCCCAAATACCGGAGTCTCGGGAAGAGGGAAAAACTGTTAGTGAACAAAAATCCCATGAATAGTGAAAAGCATAGTTGAACATGTGTTGGCTCACTATTACACTAACCTGGTCACGTGACATGCTGCTCGAAGAGAGGCATACCAAACAGTGGCATACCAAACCCGTGGGGGGTTTGTACCCAATTCCGTCGCAAGACGGGTTAATAGCATATGACTGGTTATAGCATTTAAACCAGCCCCGTCCTCTCTTACCTTTAAGTGAAGAGGATGTAAGGGACGTATGTACACCTAAACCCGACCCAACCCGAAAGGGTGGTAAGGCTTATACGATGTAGTGATATGAACCATATCGACATTGAACAGAACCGATACCAATGACCAGTTAATAACTTGGTCCGGGTGGCAGGACACTATCCACTGTGTATTGTCAACAAAGCGGCATCTGCCCTACCCAGTCTGCCTTCAACCCCTCAGGGGAAGGTAAACCTTAGCATTGTAACTGAACAATTACGGAAACAAGCCAACGAGATAAAGTCCGCTTGCTAGCAGACTCACCAGTCTTCCCGCCACCAAACAGAACACATGGGTACCCATACGGATCCCTTTCGTTCGTTTGTATAGTCACTCCAACAGGTGAGCAATCGAAAGATCGGTCCCCGGTGTGAAAGGCTGGGTAAGGGGTGGAAGTTCGATATGAGCAGTCACGTGGAAAGCAATATCGAACTGAGAGTGGTAGGTACCCGGGAGGCGAATACGGACATGATCAGTATAAAATACTGTCAGTGTCGGGTCAGTGGGTATTGCATGGATGTACCCGACCCTTCTACCAGAGCTCACCACCACAAGTAAAGCCGTCTTCCACGTCAACAAGTGAAGTGAGAGAGACGATATACTTGAAAAGTCAGGGCCAAATAGCCAATTGAGAATAATTGGCAATTTCAAGGTGGGCTCGGTCGCCGCCGAGGTGGTCGAACCCTGTTCATGCCAGCTACGAAGCGCTGTACAAGAGCACCATCGAACGAGGTGTGAAACGTGGAAATAGCCATGGAGTACCTGGGAATGGTTGAGGTCATAAGGCTCTCAAACAAAACGAGGTTATAGTAACTCCAATATCCGAACTAAGTCCGCAGAATAGGGATTCTGAAATCTCCCTATCTGCACACCAGCGAGCCCCACCTATCGACACACTGAACGGGTGTCGAATTCCACCTCGAAGTCAGAATTGTGTCTGCAACGGCTGCAGGAATTCCGTGTGTCTGGGGGTTAGACCCGACAGAGGCCAAGCCACCCAGAGAATCCGAGGATTTGGGTGTGGTGCCCCGTTCAGAGTGAGAATGTGTCTGGCTGAAAAGGTAATTCGAATCCCGGCGTCGGGGATCGAACACCAACCTGACTGCTGTCAATCCAGCACATTGATGTGCAGGTTGTGACTTCGTCATCAAGAGACCGCAGGTTGACCAGAACATCGCCCCAACCCCGGAGGGATGTATCAGGCTGGACTGAGAGAGACGGTGTCTCCAGGGGGAGTGCCTCGGAGAGACGCCTGATGTCTATCCATCTGACTGCGTGAGGTTGACAATTCGGCACAGTTTCTTAAGTGACCAACACTGATCGTGAGGTTCCCAGACTCAACTGTTATTCTAAAACCCCAATGAGAAAGTCACCTAGGTACGGGTGACAACACCTGCACTAGCTGCGATCTGGCTATCTGGGCTGTAATAAACCTCAATTTGGTGAACACCCTTGGCGCCGCAATGTAGCCTAAGGGGAGCACACGAAACTGGTAGCACGTCCCGTCGGAGAAGAACCGAAGGTAAATCTTGCAGGGTGCAATGGAACAAGAAGGCACGTGACCTCGAGGTCGATTGGCGTGATGAGATCACCGAGCGTGGTGTCTCCATCTTGAAGGACAGTACCTCTATTAACTTGTTCAGCTCTCGGATGAGAATGGGTCTTAACATTCCGTTCTTAATGGCAACAAGGAAATAAATGGAGTCAAACTCTACCTTTTCCTGACCGTTGGAAACCACCTCGATGGTTGCCTTGCCCAGCAGAGACTGGATCTCGACACAGAGTATTTTCGCCGTCTCCCGGGAAGCCGACACTGGCATGTGTCACACTTCTACCGGGGTTTGTGGCAGAATACAGTAAACCCCTGCAGTCGGCAACAAGTCAAACATAGCCTATAGCGCTATATAAATACCCATACATATACATATATATATATAAGTGCTTGGGTCGGCGGTTCGAATTCGAAGCCTGATCCCGAAACACCTTGGAGTAGCCTGACAATGCAGGGTTCCCCTGGTGTACACGTGTAGACCTCTGTGCGTCAAGGTGATCGGTAGCTCCGTTACACTCAACAGCCTATTGGCCTGGGCGTCGATAGACATCAGGCCGAGACCTGAGCTACCGGCGCCGGGGTTCTGCGCCCTACCAGGGCCGAAGCCCGGGTCGGTGCTAGTCTCCAGGTTCAGAGAGTCCGAACCCCGGTCAGGAAACACATGGGGGTAGCATGTCAATGCACGGTTCCCCTGGTGTACACGGGTAGACCTTGGAGCATTGAGGTGATCGGCATCTCGGTAGCTCTGTCACACTCAACAGTCTCCTGTCCTGGGCGTCGATAGACATCAGGCCGAGACCTGAGCTACCGGCGCCGGGGTTCTGCGCCCTACCGTCCCCGGGAGGTCAGACCCTTCCTGGAGCCAGACCTTGGGTCGGGACCTCCTCCAAATGATGCACCAGTGTAATCTCTACCCGTAGACCGGGTACCAATCTCGGAGTCTGGAAACCACGTCTGAGATAAAAGTGTTCACTGACGATTTCCGCTGCTGCTATAACTAAGACATCAGTCGTTAGTGTAGCAGCATTGTTTGTGGGGGAGGAGTAGGCGGGGGGACGATAAAGGGATTTCCTTAGAAACCTTTCATCAAAAATTATCCCCCGCTTGAAGCAGATTAGTGAAAAACATAAAATCTGCGTGCCTGAAAGAATGCACGTGAGGCGCAGAAACCCAGACAAAAAACACAACCTCGGCAACTATGAGCCACGTTGTGTGTAACGTATGAAATGTGTATGTGTAACATAACACAACATAACGTAACAGGAATATTGACGCAAGGGCTCTTATTATGAACATCCTTGATCGTCGTGAGCCTCCTCGGGTAAACACCAGAGGCACACCTTATGAACATCTGTGGTGGTAGTGTGCACGGCACAACGCACAGGGCTTAAAATGCAACAAACAGAACCACGCCAGTGTTACTAGCAGGAACCGTGAAGCAGCAAACATATAAACACAAGTAAATAGCAATAAATAAAATGCATGGGCGATATTTAAATGCTACAAGCTACAGCCATTTAAATACTAAACATACAATGCAAAGCAGAAAAAAGGCTAGCCGCACTCCCTACTACAAGCTACCAAGAACATGTAGCAAGGAAAACACGATCGCAAGGTCCGCCATTTTGCCTGCCACAAGGCTGGAAAACAGAGAACCAAACTCGAAACAAACACCACACACGTCAATTCAACAGACTGACAGTATGAAAAGTGAGGTAATAGGTAGACGGCGAGAGTTACCTGCTCTTGGCTGTAGGGGGTCTGGTGGGGCCCTGTAGGGGGGGTCTCACAAGACAAAACAAGTTTTTTGTTTTGTAAATATTTTATTGAAAAATATAGTTACAACTGTCGTAGGATTTAAAATGGACATTTTAATGCTTATATGTACCCCAAGAAGGACTTCTTCTGAGAAAGAATCCAATAACTGATGCTCACAAGGTAATTATGTGAAAACAAGTACCCTTGAGGTGGTCAAGGGATAGGATCCAAGGTAAGGGTGAAATTATACACGGGGGGAACAATAATTGTCATGCGATGATATATGATGCAAAGTTCAGCATTTTGTCATATGATATTGATTAACCAATGGAATTGCAAGATTCTTAACAGAGGCATAAGAATCTCTCTTGGTCACTTCAACATCTGTTATATATTTAGAGAATGACCTATGAGTGAATTAATTTTGCAAGCACAAAGTCAAGATGAGGGACTGAAGGTTAATTCACCTGAGGAAGATGCCTAGAATTTCCAGCTCATTCTCTATAACTGAATGCCATTGCTGAGCACATAGAGACACAAAACCAAAGTCACTGGAGCGGTATAGTACCCCTATCATAAGCTTCTAATGTTTATGACAATATACTGATGTGATGGCATATCACTTGCAACTTCTTTCCAAACATTAAAGGATGAATATAACAGTCATGATTTAATAACCTGAAAAATATGTGTCCAAGAGACACAAATACCTGAGGTGTTGCTCATCTGTTCTAGAAACTCACCTGAAAGTTCATCTCGCAGATCTCTCTCGGTTTTCTGCATCTCAAGGTTCAGCTTAGTAACCTGTGTTAAATAATAAGTCATCAATGATAAAAAAATCCAACAATTTTATATCATTTAACAAATGTCTTGTGATAGATTTTATACAAAGAAGATGTATTTCCAAGATGTCTGTAGTTTGATGTCAGCTCAGACTGATCCCCAGTAGGTGCCCCCTATTGAACCTGTGACCTCCAGATGCCAGTAGACTGGAGTTAGCTTCACCTGACCCCCAGTGTGAGCCCCTTATTGAATCTTAAACCCCCAGATGAAAGAAGACTGGTGTGTGCCTCCGCTAACCTCAGAGAACTTTTCTTCCAGGTCCTTGTTGCGAGTCTCTAGTTCCCGAAGGATGTCTCGCTGCTGCTCGTACATCCGAACTGCATGCTCCGCCCGCTGCCTCTCGTTCAGCTCCTTCATCTCCAGCATCGTGATCTTCTTGGAGATGGAGATGATGTCACCATCTGTCACCTTCACATCCACACCCTCTGTCACACCTAGTGATGCAGAACAATAGAAAAGATTCACTTGATCAGGGAAAAAGAGGGTAAACCTGGGGATTTAGGGGGATGATGGGCAGATGATAGGATGAGATTGGTTGTGATTGAGGGTGACTGGAGTGATCTGTTCGGGCGATGAGTGGTGGGTGATAAGTTGGGGTGATGTGTTAGGGAGATGAGTGGTGGGTGATGAGTTGGGGAGATGAGTGGTGGGTGATGAGTGGTGGGTGATGAGTTGGGAAGATGAGTGGTGGGTGATGAGTGGTGGTGATGAGTTGGGGTGATGAGTGGTGGGTGATGAGAAGAGGAGATGAGTGGTGGGTGACAAGTGGTGAGAAGTATTTAATACTCAATGACCTACCTCTTCTGTGTAGTTCTTCCATGGCTGCCTCTAAGGCATGTAGTTTCTCTTTCTCCAGACTCAGTGTTGTCTTTAACTCCTCACTGTCATTGGTTAATCGCTTCACTTCTGCCTGTTGAGCAGAATGTCAATCATATCACACCATAGAAAAAGTAAAATGTACAAATGAAAAAACAAAAAAATAAATAAAAAGTAAAAATTCAAGTAATCAAATCATCAGTGATATCATCAACCAAGCAGTTGAGAAATACGTAACATCGCTTGTTCCTATCAATCTCATTATTTTGAAGAAATGGTTATTGCTTCAAAAACATGCTGGGTCCGGATCCATAAAGCATTTGTAACATTACAACCTGTCATACCTCCACAGTTTACCATAGGTTTATGAATGCCAAGAATGTTGTATGAGGATCCTGGAAACTATACACAATGCATGAGTGATTAAAATGAGTTTAATGCTTATAACAGTGTTCCACTTATGGTGTATCAGCTTAATGTGGGCTAAAACCCACAAAAGTTATGTAGGACCTTAACAGATGAGCTGAGAAGAAGAGTATGTGTATGATGCTGAAACATATTTAGAGCAAAATGGGATTTGAACCAACAATCTGAGTGAGTGAGTGAGTGAGTGAGTGAGTGAGTGAGTGAGTGAGTGAGTGAGTGAGTGAGTGAGTGAGTGAGTGAGTGAGTGAGTGAGTGAGAGTGTAATCCATGAATCACAGCAGATCACAATCACTGAGCAATCGAAGCCAGGTCTTCTTGCGTGAGGAGTGAATGCTTTAACCACTAGGCTACCCTAGTTCTACTTATGCCCATACCGATCTGAAAGAAAATCTGGCTCAAGACAGTACCAACAGTACGATGCAGTATTTGGTGAACAAATATGTAAAACCACATAATATATTGTGTATTATTCAAAATCGACTCGAGGAGACTTCACTTCAAAGAAAAAAGGCCATGTTCTGGTTCCATGAGTCTCTTCTAACCATTGGTGGTGAAAGGGGGTATACATTAATGTTGCCTCACCTCAAGTCCAGTGAGGGCCTCAGCTTTAGACACCAGGTTATTGCCTTTCTCAAGGAGGTCGCGGTACTTCTCCGTCAGTTCATGGTAGCGCCGGTTCATCTTATCCATGTCACTCTGTGGCACTGAGTCTTCCAGAGTCTTCTGCAGCTGGTTGATCTTGAAGGTTGACATGTCCTGGACACACAACATTCATGTCCTGGTGACATTATATAAGTTGTCAACCAATCCCAAGAGGCATATAGTGTCCTGTAATCTGTGTGTGTCTAAGTGCCCTGAACCATCAGGTGAGAGGCATATAGTGTCCTGTAATCTGTGTGTGTCTAAGTGCCCTGAACCATCAGGTGAGAGGCATATAGTGTCCTGTAATCTGTGTGAGAGTCAAGTACCCTGAACCATCAGGTGAGTGGAATATGGTATCACGTACCCTGTTTGTGAGTCTAAGTACTATGATCCATCAGGTGAGTGGAAAATTGGTATCACGTACTCTGTGTGTGAGTCTAAGTACTATGATCAATCAGGTGAGTGGAATATGGTATCACATACCCTGTGTGTGAGTCTAAGTACTATGATCAATCAGGTGAGTGGAATATGGTATCACGTACCCTGTGTGTGAGTCTAAGTACTATGATCAATCAGGTGAGTGGAATATGGTATCACGTACCCTGTGTGTGAGTCTAAGTACTATGATCAATCAGGTGAGTGGAATATGGTATCAATGCCCTGTGTGTGAGTCTAAGTACTATGATCAATCAGGTGAGTGGAATATGGTATCACGTACCCTGTGTGTGAGTCTAAGTACTATGATCAATCAGGTGAGTGGAATATGGTATCACGTGCACTCTGTGTGTGAGTCTAAGTACTATGATCAATCAGGTGAGTGGAATATGGTATCATCGCACTTGTGTGTGAGTCTAAGTACTATGATCAATCAGGTGAGTGGAATATGGTATCACATACCCTGTGTGTGAGTCTAAGTACTATGATCAATCAGGTGAGTTGAATATGGTATCACGTACCCTGTGTGTGAGTCAAGTACCCTGAACCATCAGGTGAGTGGAATATGGTATCAATGCACTCTGTGTGTGAGTGTAAGTACTATGATCCCTCAGGTGAGTGGAATGTGGTATCACGTACCCTGTGTGTGAGTCTAAGTACTATGATCCATCAGGTGAGTGGAATATGGTATCACGTACCCTGTGTGTGAGTCTAAGTACTATGATCAATCAGGTGAGTGGAATATGGTATCACGTACCCTGTGTGTGAGTCTAAGTACTATGATCCATCAGGTGAGTGGAATATGGTATCACGTACCCTGTGTGTGAGTCAAGTACCCTGAACCATCAGGTGAGTGGAATATGGTATCACGTACCCTGTGTGTGAGTCTAAGTACCATGATCAATCAGGTGAGTGGAATATGGTATCACGTACCCTGTGTGTGAGTCTAAGTACTATGATCCATCAGGTGAGTGGAATATGGTATCACGTACCCTGTGTGTGAGTCTAAGTACTATGATCCATCAGGTGAGTGGAATATGGTATCACGTACCCTGTGTGTGTGAGTCTAAGTACTATGATCCATCAGGTGAGTGGAATATGGTATCACGTACCCTGTGTGTGAGTCTAAGTACTATGATCCATCAGGTGAGTGGAATATGGTATCACGTACCCATTGTGTGAGTCTAAGTACTATGATCCATCAGGTGAGTGGAATATGGTATCACGTACCCTGTGTGTGTGTCTAAGTACTATGATCCATCAGGTAAGTGGAATATGGTATCACGTACCCTGTGTGTGAGTCTAAGTACTATGATCCATCAGGTGAGTGGAATATGGTATCACGTACTCTGTATGTGAGTCTAAGTACTATGATCCATCAGATGAGTGGAATATGGTATCACGTACCGTGTGTGTGAGTCTAAGTACTATGATCCATCAGGTGAGTGGAATCTGGTATCACGTACCCTGTGTGTGTCTAAGTACTATGATCCATCAGGTGAGTGGAATTATTATCATATGGCAGCCAAGGGATGAAACTGGCAGCACAATGAAGTTGTTTTCAGACTACTATCTGTTTACCCCTGAACAATGCTGGCTTAATTCAAACCATTCAAATGGTTCTGGTTGTACTGAGGACTCTTCTGGGAACAGTAGTGTCCATTCTAAGGGTTTTTCACACACTGACCTTGAATCTGGAGAGGTAGCCCATCCTCTCAGAGATGGCAGATTGTATCTGTGTGATTTCATTCCTCTGTTGATGCAATTCCTGAGAGTGACACAAAATATAATTGATAAAACCTTTTTGACCTGACAGTCAATTCACTTTGGAAGAAAAATCATATTCAAATATTTCTTGAAACAACTGTAAATCATCATGGTTGTACAGTTTCTTAAAGCCTACAGAAAGAAAGCAAATGCTTGTCATATCTCTCCATAATACATGCAATATCCATCCAAGTAAAAGTATTCAACATGCTGAAAACAAGGTTAATACAAAAAGTATACAGTATGACAGTCTATGGGCAGCTAATATTCCCCTGTGCTCACATTGTGCTTTAATGCCACACTCAGGTATATTCAAGCTTTTCGACCGCGATCTGTAATCTCAAGCATGGATGAGGCAATCCTGTGCCTGATATCAGTTTGGGATTTGATGAAATGCACCAAGTCAGCAAGCCATTTTAGTCACTGTTTACAACAAGCATGGGTTGATGAAGATCAATTCTAGCACAGATCTTCAAGGGTCTGCTCACATGTACAAGTCCAACGTGTGACTGACCTTTCTAAGCCTGGTGTCAATCTCCTCCATGATCTGGTAGCGCCTTGTCAGTGCCTTTTCATTGACACGGAGCGTTGTGATCTTCCTGGTCATGTCAGCCAGACGGCGCCTCACCTCTACGTCATCCTTGCCAAGTGTGTCTATCAGCCTCTGTAGGGGGAGCATGCACTATTAACTTGTTGTAGGGTACAATGTACTATCATTCTCTCTCTCAGACCTAGTCAATATTATTCAATACACCATCATATCAGTGCAGAATTGTAAATGATAACAGTATCATATCTGCAAACCTAGTAACTAATCTGAAGGTCTTTCAGACAAAGAGAAAAATGATGCATTCTTTGTTTGAAATATCACAAACACTTCAGGTAATTCATTATAAAGGGGAGACAACTCACATCAAATTCCTGGATGCGGACAGAATCTTCCTCTCTATCTCCATGGACTTTCTTCAGCTGATCTTTCAGCTTGTCACATTCTGCCTCCCACTCCTGTAAACACAGCATGGTTCTTTTCAATACTTATTTTTCAATACTAGAGCATTTAATGATCCCTGTCTCATATTTCTTTACTTGAATACTCAATAATTACAACTGTATTGAAGTGATCTTGCAATACACAAAGAGGATTAACTGTGTAAAACTTATGCTTATAATAGCCACATTAAGATTTACTGTACAGCTCCCTACCTTCTTTGATGCCAGGAATTCCTGGTACACAAGTCCCTGCTGGTGTCTCATCACGGCAAACTTGCGCTTGTAGTTCTCCAGCGAGATATCCATCTTTTTCATGCTCTCCTCCTTCAGCGACATCTCCTGCAGGAATCAACATCATTTCCACATCATTGTTCCAGTCACACAACATGGTCAGAACTGGCGAGGTTCAATGAAAGATCAACAAAGAGGGTGGGCTGTATTTCCACATCTGGTGTCTGTGTTTGTGTCAGATTTAATGATGCTCGGGTCATTGATATATTCCTCTGGATTTCAATAATACAAAGGTTTTATTTTGGGTTCATGTGTTCAATAACATTTTTAAAGGGGAGTGTTGTAGGTGGGGTAAATGTGACCAATATTAAGCTGCCACTGGAGCACAGGCGGCTCCAGAGGGTGGGGGTGGGGGCTGGTGGTGCAGGGGTGTGCACACAACCTTTGGTCCAGAAAATTTGTTAAATGACCATTGAAACGCGTGTGGAAATGAAGATTCCCCCCCTTCTTTCCTCAATATTGTGCACACCTCCTTTCTCAAAAAGCTGTATCCGCCCCTGCTGGAGTACAGCTATCAACATACAGGTATAGATCCTCATGACTCCACTCTGTCATAGACTCCACCAACCATGGCTCAATGAATAACATGGAGGCCATGTGCTACTTCATGGATCTATATTATGTGAGTATGGTTTTACACCGCTTTTAGCAATATTCCAGCAATATCACAGCATGGGACACCAGAAATGAGCTTCACACATTGTACCATTGCAAGGAACTGAACCCGCGTGATGGGCGAAAGTTTTAACCACTAACCTACCCCACCTCCCCAAAACCAACGAGTGATACAACTACAGACACTAACCTGCAGCACCACCACAAGATGTTCGTTGAGATTAGCGATGATCTCAGTGCTGGTCACAGCCATGCCTTCAGGGAGTGGGAGGGCCTTGAACGCCCCAGGAGCGATGCCGGACTCCTGGAAGGCCTGATGGTCCTTCTCCATCTGTTCTATCTTGTAAAATGCCTTGTCTCGCTCCATCCGGTTCTTGTTCCCTTCCACGCGTGCTTCTCGGAGTTCATTGCGGAGCTCGTCGTTACGCCCTCGCAACACATCCACTTGTTCTTTGAGGAACAGCGAGGTGTCATAGGAGCCAATCACCTTCTTAGCCTCGATAGCCTGAACAAAACAATAAAAACCTCTTAAAAACAGGTTTGAGCAATTATAGTTTGAAAGTCTTTGATGGGCATTTATATGCTGGAGGAACATGAAGACATGAATATTTATAGACAACAACTTTCTTGGAATGATGTTTCATGTCTACTTCCTGGTCCGTCTTCACATGAAGGCAAGGTGAAGGCTACTTCTTACCCATTCACCCAATGAAGTGAATGAATGTTGTTTAATGCCACAGTCAACTATGTTCCATATCATGACAGCATGTAAACAGCTGGATCAGAACCAGCATCATATTCAAGCAGCCAAGTCATAGAGACCTCTGATAATTTTTATTAAGTGTTACGAAAGTGTTGGTTACTTCTGACCAACTCTATCCCTGTTATAACATCTGGACAATACACACTGTAGCAGAGCATCACTGCGGTGCACTTACTGCCAGCATCCTGTCTATACTGGGGAACTGTCCAAGCTGAGGCTGTACCCCATCACGAGCCGAACCTGAAATTCCCAATAATCAAAGATAAAGCACCATATGTGATGGATTGATGCCATTTGAGTGAGTTTTAGTTTTATGCCGCACTCAGCAATTTTCCAGCTATATGGCGGTGGTCTGCAAATAATCGAGTCTGGACCAGACAATTCAAGGATCAACAGCATGAGCATCGATCTGCGCAACTGGGAACCGATGACATGTGTCAATCAAGCCAGCAAGCCTGACCACCCCGATCCCATTAGTCGCCTCTTCTTACGACAAGCATGGGTTACTGAAGGCTCATTCTAACCCGGACCTTCACGGGTATTATGCCATTTGATTACTGCTGACATGATACTTCTTCAGAAGGTTGAAGTATTTATTAATTATATTTCTTTAAATAACAATGAGTAATGCATAGAGCAATCAAGTCAAAGCTCAAAATTATTGATTGTGGTCCAACATAACTTTATTCATTATGGGGAGATAATCTAGTTCCTCTGTGATTGACCCACCTGGAGGCTGCTGCCTGACGGCCTCCATCAGCTCCTTGAGAGCCTCCTCCTGAACCCTGTTGTGCTGAGCCATCTCTTTGTTCTGTGCACGGAGTCGAGCTACTTCATCCTCCATGTTGTTTATCTCACGCACATTCTGCTTGTACTCCTTGCCCAGCTCCTCATCCTGAACACACAAACACACATATAGACACACACTCACACATACAGATACACACACACATATACACACACGTATATATAGACACATAAAACCTTTGATAACAGCTTGGACATAAGATTCTGTATCCTAGACAACTTTGATTATAATAATTACTATTCTGAACTATTATGTCCCAAGTATTTATTCATAAAATACTATCAATGAGGATAGATGACTTACTTAAGATTGCTATTAAGTTAACTTCCCTTTAATATAGCTTCAGGAAACCAATCTAAAAACACAAAGTGAGTCATCTACCCTGAACAAGACTAGACAGAGTTATCTATCCTAATTCAATGTCATACAGAGTTACATACCCTTATATAGCTTTCCTTTCTTTCCACCTCTTTCAAGATGGCTGCTGCTGTAGAAACTGCTTGACCTTGTGTCTTGCGGACCTTCAGCTCCTCCTGATAGTCCTGAACTGCCAACATGTCCTCAGCTGTCAGACCTAGTGCCACAGCTCTAAAAGACAGACATGGATGTCAGTGTCACTATCTCTTTGAAGTCGGAATTGTCGCACAAGATAATTACCATGTTCTCCACAAGAACACATACAGCTCCTAGACATTTACACCTGGTGACCTTAGCACCAAGACCATCATAGCTCCCATTCTTCAACTTTCAACAGTCTCAGTGCTAAGACTGTTTCGTGCACCTGGGCCCAAGAGTATATTTTACAAGCGTAATTGGTACAAAGTGAACAGAATCAAACGAAAATGTGCTGCCTAAGATAATGGTATGTCCTTAATGGTCAATGCAATAAGTAGTGTTCAACAAATTCTTACATGTTTGACACGCAAGTACATTGACAAGTCTCTAACCTTTGTCCTGTTTGCTGAGCCATCTTCCTCAGTCTGTTCTTTAGGACTCGTCTCTCTTCTTCCAGAACTTCGATCTAGACAGACCAATATACTATAGATTAGGACAAATTAGGGTCAATGGGGCCATTCAAACTTATCAGCTAATCAGTCCTCCTAAACCAGTCTAGCTTGTGATACAAAGTGAATGAATACATTAACAAACAAGGAATACCTTTATGACACCTACAATGATTACACAATGCCATTTTAGAAAGTAGTCAAATGTAACATATGTTATATTTAGGATTACACTTTCTTAGTAACACACAAATTCTAGTAATTTTTTGGGTTGAATCCCATCTGGGATTTGAACCCACACCCACAACACTCACACAGATATTTCTGTTGGGAACAGTTGCCAAATACTGACATGACCAATCAGTGAGTGAGTGAGTGAGTATGGTTTTACGCCACTTTTAGCAATATTCCACCAATAACACGGCGAGGGACACCAGAAATGGGTTTCACACATTGTACCCATGTGGGCCTCAAAGGGGACACAACTCTACCCTACCTCATTCTGGAGCTGGAAGTTAAGGGCCTTGGCTTCCTCCTGCCTGATGGCCTTGTTCTTGCGAAACTCAGTGAGATCCAGTGGCTCCTTTGGATCCAGCTTCAGTCGATAACGAAGCTCCTCATTCTCGTCCAACATGTCATTAATCTTCATTTCAGCTTTGTTGATGTGCTGAGTCAACTCCTCAATTTGTCTGAAAGGTAAGAGAATGAGTGAGTAAGTAAGTGAGTGAGTTTACTTTTATGCCACTTTAAGCAATATTCCAGCGATATCACCGCGGAGGACACCAGAAATGGGCTTCACACATTGTACCCATGAGGGGAATCGAACCCAGGTCCTTGGCGTGACAAGTGATAGCTTTAACCACAAGGCTACCCCACTGCCTGTCTGAAAGGTAAAGATTTTTGGGAAGCTTAGATATGCCTAAATTGTAAGGCTGTAACGATTCACTCGCATATTCGCTGAATCGAACCGTAGCCCTTCATGAATTCAATTCGTTATTCGTGGTCACCAGAACCGAATATTAAGGAATATTTACGATTTTGTTAAGGGAGCATGTTTTACTTGAACCCTTATGTCCTTTCCAAAGTGAGATATGCAAGAATGGAACATGTACTAGCATTGCAGTAGTGCAAGTCATGTTAGTTTGCCAAGACTGCACATGGTACTGTCGACTATAACTTATTACATACCAAATTTGAGTGTCATGAGATCACTTATTATTGCTGTGACAAATCAAAACTGTCAACATGGACGTTCCATAAAGTGCATCAATCACTTAACTACAATATTATATTCGTGAATAATCATTCGTATTCGTTACCCAAACTTCATGATACGTATCATATTAACCACATAGTGTATTCGTTGCAGCCCTACTAAATTGTATGACTAATGTAAGACACTTGTGAAGCATTATGTTACTTACGGAACCAATACACAAACTTAATAACGTGTTCAAATCTATTTCATTAACAGTCTTTTTTGACTGAACTGTGGCCTAAACTTTATAAGAAGGTATATAACCTCTACTGACCTGTCTCTAACCTTGACCTGGTTCTTGAATTCCTTGATCTCTGCAACAGCCTCCACTAATCCATATCCCTGTACAAAAATCATCCCAGATTTCATGATAAGTCAACAAGATACAATAAAAGTAACAATATAAACAAGATTTAAATCATAAAAGATTTTAATCACAGGCATCGTTACTCCAATGGAAGATGGAAGAAACAGAGTGATGACGCTACCTATATGACATAATACTTAGTGTTTTGATTTTGACGGGATCAGAAATTCATCCAGCAAGTAAAGATTGAAATTTGGAAATTTTAACATAAATTGTATATTTATATACTTATCCTATCTCACGACTTGCAACTCCCTCTCTTGCTTCGACTTTTAGTGGAACGACTGTAAACTTTTTTCAATGGGCCTCCTTGTCCTTTCGCCCATGCACTCCATGCTGCTCTCCTTAATTAGCTTCCTAGTTCCTAATAAAGCTTGCAGCATGCTCCACTAATTGCCCACGTGACTACCTTGAATGATCATTCTCATCTTGGAGCCAACGTTGTAATCTGAGTTGTGGGGAGGCCGTGCGTTTATCCATCGCGTGAGATAGGATAAGTATATAAATATACAATTTATATTAAAATTTCCAAATTCTTAAACTTATCCTATCTCACGACTTGCACTTATCCCACAGTTGGATGTCTGTCTGGACAGTGCGAACAGCTGGTCTTGGAGCTGTGTGGACTGATGACAACCGTAGATAGCGATTTACAAGGGAGGCCTGTTACGCATGCACGCAACTCCTATGCTTGTAGTGGGTTCTCCGGAACCCCTTGGCTTACTAAGCACAACGACTCCCAGGGAGATGGGTGCACCCGAGTGATGTGGTGTCCGGCCGCAACCTTGTACAAGACAAGGCAAGTAAGCCTCGCCTCGCCACGATTTACAAGGTACCCCCGTAATTAAAGTCTTGCGACTAGAATCGGGCCAGCCCCTGCTTCAAGAAGGCCCCCCAGACACCGACCGAGGCGGGTGAAAGAGAAACACAACTTGGCATCTCCAAGGTTTAACGTTCAGTTCCGGGCAGCATGTAATTGCAACGTGGAGTAGAGATCAGTAGAGATCAGTAGAGATCAGTAAGCGTGAATGTCGAACACCTCTGCATCGTCATACTGATTGTGCCTCAGGTCCGTAGGGCCACGCTAGGTGGCCGTATTCCGATGCCTTGGTATGGAAGCCAAGTGAAGTAGTTCTTAAACCCATATAATGAGAACAAAAGGTTGAGATCCAGTTCAACTTTTATTCAGTATATACAAGAAAGTAGTAACACGAATGTGGAACCATCCCTCATCTGCGTTGTTGGGCCGATGTAAGCTGCTGAGCCAGTACAAGAGGTCCGAACTGGTGTAGTCCCTGGACATCAGTGACAGACACGTCTCGCAGGTAATGTGAAGAGAAGACTGTATCAGAACGCCAGAAGAAACCTTCCATGATAGCGGTCAAGGAGCAGTTGCTATGGAGGGCCATCGTTGAGGCTAGTGCACCAGTCTCATGAGGATTGGAAGCGGCTGGAGGAGGCAACCCTGCAAAGGTGTAGGCTCGCAGGATCGTGGCACGCATCCAGAAGGCCAATGTGGTCCGGGAAACCTCAGTTCTTGAAGCGTTTGACAAGGGTATGAAAAGGCGCTTCCGTAGCCGCCGCCGATCCTTGGAGGATCCTTGTAGAGCCCTAACAGGGCAGAGTCTCAAATCTTCATTATCATCAGGCCCAAGAATGGTAGACAACGGGGGAATGGTAAACATCCGGTCCGGTTGCCCTGGCAGTTGGTTTTTCGCAATGAAGTCCCAGCGGAGACCCAGGAAAGCCATGATTCTTCCGCTCGAACCGCACTGGATTGACATCAAGCACATGCAGTTCAGATATACGAGCAGCAGTAGCCAAAGCTACCAGGAAGAATGTCTTGAATGTCACATGTTTGAAGTCCTTGTCTTCTGAAGGTTCATAATCTGTAGAATTCATATGACGAAGGACGACGGACAGATCTCAGGCCGGAAGTCTGAACTTCCTGGACTGGTCAGAGAGTCTATAGGAGCGTAGTAGACTCTGCAACTCGAGAACAGTGGAAATCTTCGTGCCCGTGGTGGTAGCCAAAACCGAGTTGATGGCGGCAAAGTTGGTAGCTAACGTAGTACCCTTGAGTTTCTTAGTAGTGCGGAGATGCTGGAGAAACTCAGCAACGACCTGAGCCGAGGTGGAAGTGGAAGATGCAGTTCCCCTAAGCTTGCAATAGTCTTCAAACTTCTTCCACTTGTCGTACAAGGACGGTCGTACAAAGTACGATGCGCTGAAGTGATAGCTGTGGCTACTCGGCGAGAGTAGCCCTTAGCTATGAGAGACCTCTGAAGATGCGCCAAACGTGTAGATTGAGGGTCTGGGGTGACCCATGGCGCAGTTCCAAGTGAGGGTGAAGATGTAGGTCGTCCAGGTTAGGAAGTTGTACTGGGTTTGGCTCTGCCAGGCTTCTTTCTAAGGTTGACGAACTAACTTCTTGCTGGCCAGAAGGGCCAAAAGCAGTAGTATGTTGCTGGTGGCCAATAGTTTCTGTATTACTTTTGTTAGCAGAGCTGGAGGGGGGAACGCGTAGGCATTGAGACCCTCCCATGATATTGCCAACGCGTCGAGGTCCCACACCAAGGAGTCTGGGATTGGTGATACGAACTTGGGAAGTTGGTTGTTGAACCTTGTGGCGAACAGATCAATTTGAGGCCATGATAACGGGTAGATCATCGACTGAAAGATCTGGGTCAGTAACTTCCACTCTGTCAGGGACGGTCGGTTGGATCAGGACAAGGCATCGACGATCACATTTTTTTACCCCGGGAATGTGTCTGGCTCTGGCTACGATGTTGAGTGAGTCGATGAGATGGAAGAACCTGATCGCCCATTGTAGCAGATTCGCCGAGCCTGTCGAGCCTAGATGATTTATATACCAAACCACTGTCGAATTGTCCGATTGGATCAACAGACTTGCTGATTGAAGCTCGGTTGCCCAATGTGAGATGGCTTGAATTACCGCCTTGAATTCCAGCTCGTTTATATGAAGTACCTGTCGTCAGATGACCACAGCCCGGCCACTTGGTGGTTGAGGAAGTGAGCTCCCCAACCCATGAGGGATGCATCGACGAATAGGTGATGAGTCGGTGCACAACGCATCATAGAGACTCCGGCACAAACATTCCGTTCGTCGAGCCACCATTGAAGGACTGGACGGAGCGGTTCTGGAATGCAAATTAGTTCTTTGGGGTTAACAGCCTGAAGGTATGGGCGTAGAACTCACTGTATCGGCCGAAGTTGGAGCTGGCCTCTGTACGTTAAGGCTTGAGCTGACGTCAGAAGGCCCAGTAGCTCCTGCCACTGTCGTGAGGTTCTTGCCTGAGACAGTCCTGGAGGAATGCATTGCTGAATCTTTATCAACCTGTCGTGAGGTACAACATCATCCCCTGACGAGTGTCGAACAGTGCTCCTATGGATTGGAGTTTCTGAGTCGGTATTAGTTCTGATTTCGCGATGTTCAACAGCCACCCTAACTGTCTGAGCAGCGTGGTGGTGAACTGTAGCTGGCGAAGCAATACGATCGGATCCTGTTGAGCCTGGATGCAATCGTCTATGTAGCTTTCGAAGGTGATCCCTTGAAAGTGGAGGAAGCTCGTTATGGGCTTGGTAATTCGGGTAAAAAGCCATGGGGCCATGGAAATTCCAAATGGTAGGATTTTCCATTGGTAGTGATTCCCGTTGAACACGAGGCGAAGGTACTTCCAGTGTGTTCTGGATGTATCGGAACGTGAAGATAAGCATCCTGAAGATCTAGACTGATGAGGAAGTCTCCCTTCTTCAGGATGGTCTGTAAAAGGTTGATCGGCACCATCCTGAAGTGAGGCGGTGGAAGCAGCAATCGGGAAAAAGATTGCGTAACTCCGGATTGGTAGGGGTGAACGGTGCAGTTCGACGCTGTTTTAATGAGTCCTGGAGCTGTGACTTCTGTATCTTTAACAGTTCAATCGAGACTTGAAAGTGGGTTTCTTTATCAACTTTATTAGATACTTCTTGGATGCTACCATTGAAGTGGGAGTCAGTAAACCAAGGCTGGCGAAACAGTTCTGTTTTAAATCGCTCCAACCATGAAGAGATGTTTGCCCAAAAAATGAGACAACTGATCCAGGATAATTTGGAACTGGTCCAGAGCTAAAGTCATGTATCCTCGGATGTAAGCCTCTTGATCAGAGTAAGTATGCTCCAGAACAGTGTTAACAGTGTTGACTGCTGCAATCACGCAGCTAATAGATGACAACGTCTTTCTCACGGGTGAATCCATGTGAGCCAACTCTCAGTCCTCAATAAGGTTGGGCAAAGCAGCTCGTTTGCCACACAGGGTTCCAATATCCTCATCAACTGTTGGAGCCGTAGAGATTTTTGTTAGGCCGTGGACATGAGAGGTAGAATGAGTCGCTGTAGGAGTGGAATTGTTATCAGGTTCCCATGACTCAGCGATGATCCTAAAGTGAGTCGAAGGATTCTCAGAGCCTGTAGACGGAACATCGTAAGAGACTGTAGGCCTATTAGTGGTATCAGAGCAATGATCACCCGAACATCGGTCAGAGGAACTGTATATCGAGATCTCGACGTGGTAAGTACCGGAGTAGGTTGGTAAGCCGGTGATCTGGATTCCCTAGTATGGCTAGGTGATCCGGTATGATAAGAAGAACTAGTCCAGGTCGCTGTAGTTGGTAATCTGGTTCTGATTGGAGCTCTGGTTCGACCATCTGAATAGGATCGGCCATGAGATGTGGATCTGTACTGTGATCCCGATTGGTCAATGGCTCTGTAAGGTGATCTAGATCGTTTAGGTGACCTGGGTTGGTAAGATGATCTGGATTTGTAAAGTGATCTGGATCGATTCGATGCACTAACTGGAAACTGTGATCGTGATCTGGATCTATAAGGTGATCTGGTTTGCAGTTGCGATCTGGCTTGATTTGGTGATCTGGATTGGTTAGGTGATCTACTTTGATGTTGTGATCTGGATCGGTTCGGTGATCTGGATCGGTCTGGCAATCTACTTCGATGTTGTGATCTGGATTGGTTAGGTGACTGGATCTATTCAGTGATCTGGATCGATTAGGTGATCTGGATCAGTCCAATGATCTACTTCGATGTTGTGATCTGGATTGGTTCGGTGATCTGGATCTGTCCGGTGATCTGATTCGGAGTTGTGATGTGGACCCGTTTGGTGATCTGGATTGGTTAGGTGATCTGGATTGATCAGGTGATATGGATCGTAGTTATGCTCTGGATCATGGCAGTGATCTGGATTCGATCCTGTGATCTTGATCGGCACGGTGATCTAGATCGGGCTTGTGATGGTGATCTGGATCGTGAAGGTGATCTAGATCGTTGTGGTGATCTAGAATGATGTGGCGATCCGGATCGGCGATTAGGTGACGAAACCTGAAGTGTTGATTCATGATGAATGTCCCCCTGCGACGCTGTTGTAGCCAGCTCCGTCCGGTTCAATGAACTGTGGGGAGACAGTTGGCTGGTTGAACGCGGTTGGCCAGGCTCCAAACAAACTGAGACAGTCAAGGGGATATGTACCGATGATCTGGATGATGATAGTGTCGATCTAAGGTCCCCTGGTAGTGTAGATGGGACAGGCAATGAAAAATTGTCGATCACAACCACCCGCGAGTGATCTGACGCTATGGAAGGAGGTGATTGGTGCGTACCTAATAGGTGCCGAACGTCCTCAGATAAGTAAGAATCTGATGAAGCGTCCATAAAATCCTCTTGATCCACAGACGTCGCTCTCTTGCGGGATCGGGATCAGATTCTGTTAATTTCCTGTCCCTATCGGCGATTCTCCGGGAGCAAACACGAAGGTAGGCCTTAAAATCCTCATCTTTTAGTGAATTACACTTGCCACATCGTTTGTTCCAGTTGCATTGTCCAATACAGTCACTGCAAGACGAGTCAGGGTCGAGGGACGAATAATTCGTCTTGCATTGAGCACAAACTTTCCTTTTCCTTTGACTGATTATCAGTTTTCCCATGATGTTAGGGGTGAAATAATGTCCCTAATATACAGCACGTCCCACACAGTCGCATGACAAGAAAGAGAATGATCATTCAAGGTAGTCACGCAAGTAATTAGTGGAGCATGCTGCAAGCTTTATTAGGTACTAGGAAGCTATTAAGGAGCAGCATGGAGTGCACGGGTGAATGGACAAGGAGGCCTATGGAAAAGTTTACAGTCGTTCCACTAAAAGTCGAAGCAAGAGAGAGAGGTGCAAGTTGTGAGATAGGATAAGTTTAAATATATACTTGTTAATAAGTGAGTGAGTCAGATTTGTTTTATGCCACTTTTAGCACTATTCCAGCTCCTCTTGTTAATGAGAGTTGTAGGCATAATGATTTTGATTTTGAGAATTTGTGATTTTTTTATGATTAAGTTGTTGTTGAGACTCTCATTTTGACAGAAGATGGAACTAATTATTGATCACCTGTTGGCACTGTGTGGCACTGTGTGGCACAAGACATTGGGCTTGACCTGCCTTAATGCAACAATATCTTCAACAGATGCACACAGTTTGATGCATTACCTCTCACTGAGGCGATCCTTAGCAAATTCTGAATGGTACACATATCACTTTGGGAACACAACATTAACAAGGCTGCTCTCATAGTTCAAATACAATGTTCCAGGTCTCGAATTCAGTCAATTTTCATTTCCCCCCAAAGTGTAACCATCTAACCATGAACCCTAAATATAGCATTAAGTGACCTAACTGACAATGTAGTTGAAGTCAGGCAACATGGCTGCTGATGTGGTACCATTTGTCTTCAACTTACCGCCTCGTACTCCTTCATTCTTTCCAGAGCCTCATTCAGTTCCTTGTCTTTGTTACGAGCATCTTCTTCTGCCTGGATATACAAATCATCTGAAGTTCATGCCTTAAAAACATGGCAATATAATAGACACCAGGAATCATCAAAAATGAATTGAAAAGAAAATGTAATTTTTGGAGTAAAATTGATATTTTATACTTATCCTGACTCATGCTCTTTTTGCTTGTCTTCTTCTTCTTGCGAACATAGTGGAACACTTGTATCTCCCTAATTGAAGCTCCCTTCAATTTAAAATCACTAATTAGTATTCACCACGAGTTACCTCCTTTCCACAAGCTCGGGAACGAGGGCGCCACCTCTACCCATGTGCCTCACTCTCTCCTCATATACTGAGCCCAACATTTGAATTTACAGGGAAATCCAAAGTGTTATTTGGGGAGGATGGGAGGGCTGACCTCATGAGTCAGGATAAGTATAAAATATCAATTTTACTCCAAAAATTACATATTTTCCTTATCCTGACTCATGCTCTTTGTTTGTAGCATCCCACGAAACGGAGGTGGGAATATCTAATACTTTGATTTTTAATAATTAGTGATTTGAACTGTGATGATTGTAATAACCCTATGGGAACTTCATAAAGGCACTGAATTGATGAATTCCCTGCTGCTAACTTATCAGCTGCCATATAAAGGTTATTACCATGTACCTTATTATGATAAAGTATATATAACATTAATACAATGCTTAAGACTAATAGACTTAAGCTTGTTAATATGCTAGTATAAACTCCTTAGAGTTTGTTAGCTAAAATACTTTAAGATATAACATAGTACTAAGCTTAAGATATGATTAAACTTAAGCTAATTATATAATAGCAAACTCTTTAGAGTTTGTTAGTTAATATACTTATATGATATAGATATAATGCTGAGCTTAAGATATGAATAAGCTTTAGCTACATATATAATAGCAAAACTCTGTAGAGTTTGTTAGCTAATATATTTTATAATATGAGTATAGTACTGTGCTTAAGCTATAATTAACTTAAGCTACATATATAATAGCCAAACTCTGTAGAGTTTGTTAGCTAATATATTTTTATAATATGAGTATAGTACTGTGCTTAAGCTTATAATTAACTTAAGCTACATATATAATAGCCAAACTCTGTAGAGTTTGTTAGCTAATATATATTTATAATATTAGTATAGTACTGAGCTTAAGATATAATTAACTTAAGCTACATATATATAAAAAAACTCTGTAGGGTTTTGTTAGCTAATATATTTTACAATATGAGTATAGTAGTGTGCTTAAGATATAATTAACTTAAGCTACATATATAATAGCAAACTCCGTGAGAGTTTGTTAGCTAATATATTTTACAATATGAGTATAGTAGTGTGCTTAAGATATAATGAACTTAAGCAACATATATAATAGCAGAACTCAGAGAGTTTGTTAGCTAATATATTTTACAATATGAGTATAGTATTGTGCTTAAGATATTATTAACTTAAGCTACATATATAATAGCCAAAAACTCTGTAGAGTTTATTAGCTAATATGTTTATAGTGTAACCATAGTACTAAGCTTATATACTGAGCTTAAGTTATGATGAAACTTAAGCTATATATATATAATAACAAAACTCCCATTTAGTTTTGTTAGCTAATACCTTTATAATGTAACCATACTGCTTAAGATATGATGAAAACTTAAGCTAATTGTATAATAGCTTAAAACAACCCTTTAGAGTTTGTTAGCTATGATATAAACCTAGTATTGAGCTTATGAAGGAAAACTTAAGCTACATATATAATAGCAAGAACTCCGTAGAGTTTGTTAGCTAATACATGTTATAATGTAACTATAAAGCTTAAAATATGATGAAACTTAAGCGAAATATATAATAGCAAAACCCTCTTTTAGAGTTTTGATAGCTAATATACCTATATGATATAAACATAGTACTGCTCTTAAGATATGAATAAGCTTAAGTTACATATATAATAGCTAAAACTCTGTAGAGTTTGTTAGCTAATACATGTTATAATATAACCATATTGCTTAGAAATATGATGATACTTAAGCCAAATAGCAAAAAAACTCTTTAGAGTTTGTTAGCTAATCTACTTATATGATATAAACATAGTACTAAGCTTAAGATATGAATAAGCTTAAGCTACCTATATAATAGCAAAACTCCTTAGAGTTTGTTAGCCAATATATTTTAATAATATGAGTATAGTACCATGCTTAAGGCATAATTAGCTTAAGTTACCTATATAATAGTAAAACTCCTCAGAGTTTGTTAGCTTAATTAACTTAAGCTATGTATAAAATAGCCAAAAACTCTGTAGAGTTTGTTAGCTGATGCATTTATCATGTAACCATAATATTACTCTTAAGATATGAATAACTTAAGGTAAATATATATAATAACAAACTCTGTAGAGTTGTTAACTTATATATTGTATGATGTAATAATCATAGTACTGTGATGATAAAAGGAACTTAAGTAAATTATATATAGCATGAAGCTATTTAGTATTGTTATAAGATAAGTAAAAATCTGTTAGATTGACTTATCTTCTCCGAGGAACTGTCAGCTGTTGTGCGAGGACCATGGGATCGAATTGGTGTATACCTGAGACGCCCTCGGTGGTGATATCTCTCAGATAATGGTTTGCAACCACCATATCGATCTCCAGAAATAAACCCTCCAATATTTCAATCACATTTGTGTGGAACAATTGTAGAAGTTAGCTTATAATATCATGAGTATTAAGCTCATGGAGGGTCGGAATAGGTCCATCCAAGATATGCACGAGTATGACAGTTCTGATCCAAATGGAGATATAGTACATGAGACTTCTCTCATGTAAGTTGATGATAGAGGAAATAATCTGTTGCATTTTTTCTCCTGTTTGGTTTGGTGGAGATAAATTTACAGTGCTCTTGCTGGCCATCTTGATAGAATCATCGATCATGGGGTCCAAGTATGTCATCCAGGCGTGTTCATAAACCTCACTTGTGAGGTGTTGAGCACTATATTCATATCCCCAGGTTACGCGAAATTTCCGCTTATTCTCCAAACAGAAGTTTAGTAGGTTTACTAACCATCTAGTTGTGTTAGTCGCTTGATGAAATTCAGCTGTAGTCTGAAACGCTGTGGATTTAGATCCACTTGTATCTTCGCTCTAGGTAATTCACCGCTAAGTCCTTGACGATGTAGGTGCACAACCAGGTGTGTCTGTCCTCGCTGAACTTTATGTAAAATCGCCTGACTGCCGATCCCTCGCCTCTTAACTTGACAGGGAGGTCTCATCTTGAAGAAAGGCAGTCTAATCATGAATGTTCAGGTTAACTGGACTGTAATGAGGCTTGCTCGCTCACTGATATATAGTTGTCACTTGTGACGTAAGTCTTGAACTGTGAATAGAGATCGACCTCTGTGTAGGTCGCTGTCCCTCGCGCGTCCAATCAGAACAAGGCATTTTGATTCTGTATAATACCCGCTGTGATGTCACCGTGTAGCGGAAAAAACCCACCTTGAATAAATTCTTGTCGCCGCTGATATTAGCATAAACGCCGGTCTTCACCGTAGCTTCCCTCGGTTATCCGGAGTGACCACGCGTTTCGAGGGTTAATGGTAACCGCTGAACCCTCCGCCAAATATCTCGCCTGTAATTTTATGCTGGGTAGGTTATTTTCCTGGTTGTCGGAAAGTAATTTCAGTTTTGAATATAATTCGACTTCCTTATATATAAGGGTATAAACAACTTGCAAGCTGTGAGCTTGTAGACTGTATACATGAATGTATCGTCCATAATTGTAGAATTAACGTTGAACTTGTTGTACATATTTCTTCTCAGAACTTTGACGATTAAGAGTTATACTGCTGTAACAAGGCTGCTGTTCAATTTCGATATTGAATTGTCTGCAGATATGTAATGGTCACGCATGTAGATAATCGTGATCGTCGTCCGGGATTGTATATTAGCAATTTATACGAATAGTTGATTTCTGTGAAGATCTATGAAATGTCGCTGACTAATAATACAGCGACGCTCTGTGTTGTAAATAGCCTGAGCAATTATCTTCGCAGAGGCTTATAGATCGCATCTGGCATACAGTTGATAATCAACTTATGCGACGCCTTGAACGGACTGACGAAAGTAGCTATATATGACGAAGTGGCTAGTATATGGAAACCTTGGAGGAGACTTCCTCGTGAACGCCGGAGACTTCGCTAAGTTCTCGGTATCCCTTCTAGATCTTCTGGGTGAAGTAGACTTGAGCCACTTAGCCTTCGCGACCATCGCTAAGGTGTCGAAGTCAAAGCCCGATTAGTATATATATATATATATATAAATATATATATGAGCTTGTTTCGTGGAACAGCCTCTGTGTTTAACAGGATGTGGGTCGGCGAAAGCTTGCCTAAGTATGGTCAAAGATGGATCATCTTATCATATTCTAGAAGTCGGGTTACGAAGTCTGGTGATAAGTGTCTAATTGATCGCTTCTAGATCTATTTAGGCCAGCTTAACATACGCCTCGTCGCCATGGATTCAACAGAACCAATATAATGATTGTAGTTCTTATACTTGATATCGATGATCAACTTGTCTATGGGTTGATCTTCTCGAGACTTGTGAGGGGAACGTTGATAGTTTCACTGGGCTCTTGTATAGTCCCCGATGTCCTTCTAGATGATGATGATCTGGATTCAGGTGTCCTTTCAGCATGCCTTCGAAGCTTCCTCTGCGTCCGTCCGGGGAACGACGATATGACCTTCGCTAAGGCTTCCGTGATGTCTGATGGTCCGAGTCCACATCTAGGGATGAAACCGCATAAGGTGATGATCTATCCTGCCTTCTGCGAGTCCTCCTTCGCCGAAGGCTGTACATTTAGGTTCTTTTCCGCGAAGGCTGTACATCTAGGTCCTTTCCGCTTCAAGGCCTTCGCGAAGGCTGTACATCTAGGTCCTTTCGTCAAGGTGGTCCGCGACTTCCTTCGCTGGAGGTGACATCGCCCTGGCTGCCACGCTGGACGGGGGTGCCTCTGGGGTGCTGTTCACGTTGGAGCCTTCGGAAGGTTCGACCCCTGCTACCGCAGATATTGGTCCTCCATGATGTTCATAATTTGTCGCATCATGTCTTCTGGATGGTCTGCGCTAATTTGCGGTCGCCGGTGCTTTATCTGCGGTGTTAATGGAGGGGTCCACCGAAAATCGTCCGACATCAGTGCGTAGAGGCATCAGGCTGCATGGTGATCTCTGCTGATGTCGCTGTAGCTGTCCCCGGTCGTTTCTTGTATGACGCCGGGTATGATGATCAGCTGATCATCGAGAGGTCCAGGTCATCGGCTGAACAATCTCGCTGAGAAAGTCCTAGTAGACTTCGCTGATTTTCCTCAGAGGTCGACGCTGCCCTGGGTGGTGCACGCCTGGCGCTTGAGTGTTGGTAATGATGGGACCTCAGGACGACCATCGATATCTGCGCGGTACATCAGGCTGCATGCTGATCTGTGCCGACATCGGGTCAATCTTTGATGTACATCCGCATGATGACCGGCTGATCATCATACAGGCCCAAACTTCGATGGGAACGGTCTCGTTGTTGAGATGTAGTAGAAAAACCCTCTAGTCTTCTGCTGCGACGATGGGATGTCTGGGGAAGCAGAATGCTTCTTGGAGATGGCGATCTACGCCCCACACCTCTCCACCACTCTAGCGAACACCACACGGAGGGGAGTCGGCCAACAGCAGTAGACTGGCTTAGGTTCCGTATCAGTCATACTAGACTCTGCATACGCCGACCTATCTGCTGTAGCGTACAAACGCAAAGTAAATATTAATAAAGAGGTAGAATTGATAAATTAGTACCGCAACTGCAATGTGAATATAATAAACATGGCTACATCATATTAAAGGTGGATCAGCAGCAGCATAAAACGTAATCTGCAATAGTACAGAATTTTTATCAACGTAATCCACTGAAACAAACACGGCGTCCCGTGAATAACTGTAGAAAAACGACTAAATATCAATATATAATCGTTGAAGGATACTAGCTAAACCTCTATAGATGTCTATACGAGGTAACTAACTAAATATAATCAAAGGATATAGTGTGTCGGGAGACACAGGCGCTCTCACGTCCAGCTCACTGGGCGAAGAAGGAGAGAGTGAGGCACATGGGTAGAGGTGGCGCCCTCGTTCCCGCGCTTGTGGAAAGGAGGTAACTCGTGGTGAATACTAATTAGTGATTTTAAATTGAAGGGAGCTTCAATTAGGGAGATACAAGTGTTCCACTATGTTCGCAAGAAGAAGAAGACAAGCAAAAAGAGCATGAGTCAGGATAAGGAAAAATTAGTTGCCGTATTGTAAATGTAATCTAACATAATGAGTGAGTGAGTGAGTGATTTGAGTTTTATGCAATATTCCATATATTTATCAGCAATGTTCCAGCTATATGGAGGCGAGACTGTAGATAATTGAGTCTGGACCAGACCATCCAGTGATCAACAGTCTGTGCATCAACCTACGCAATTGGGATATGATGACATGTGTCAACCCAGTCAGTGAGCCTGACCACCCGATCCCGCTAGTCATCTGTTACAACAAGCATGGGTTACTAAAGACCAATTCTAAACTGGATCTTCATGGGTATTTAACATAATGAATATAAACCACAGGTGTACCTTCTTGGCTTCCCTCTCAACATCTCTCTGCTGCTCCTTCTGACTCTTGAGTGTGCTCTGGAGCTCTCGGACCTTGGTCTGCATCCGATCTCCTGGACCACTCCCAGCTGATTAGGAAAATGTCATGATACAAAACGATACAACAGGGCCAGGCTGATATTTTAATGAGTCTGCAGTTTTGATTTTCACAAAAAACAAAGGCTTCAATAAGCATGGGACCTTTACCCGTGATGATATAATAATAATAATGTGAATATTTATAACGCACCTTTTCCAGGGTAGATATCCTGCTTAAGGCGCACAATCTGATCATTATTACCACGGACAGCCCAAGCTGCCTGTTAGGTGCTAGAAGGTTAATAGTCTCACGACTTATTTCACTGGGTACCCATTTCCTGCTGGGTGAACAGAGACAAACTCACTTGCCTAAGGTGAGACCACATGTGCTTCGGTGTGGGGCAGCACTGTAGTCCTAGAAACGCTCAGGGATCAAGCTGTCACACATGGTCACCCATCCAATGACTCTGCACCCAATGTTGCTTAACTTCAACTGATTGTGACCTGAACTCTATGCACCGGACTACATGCCACACTTTTTACACTTCATTTCCACTCGACTAATGGTAAGTAGCTATACATTTAGGTATAAGCATTTGAACGACTGAATGTAAGCTAAAACATGCTTTCTGCTAAACTTCAGCTTTGGTATCTATGGGTTTTGGCAAAATCTCAACAGCTCAAGTCAGCACTGTTCTAGCAGCATCAAGGTGAGCGAACACTTGTGACTGATTGACTCTAGTCTACCTCACCCCCAAAAGTGTTCAAGATATACTTTTGAGTCCCAATCCAATCCCTTCGAGACTGTTTATTTAACATTCACAGGATCCTGTTGGAGAGAGAAATGTGCGTCTACAACTGTTTCCCTCACCTCTATGCAGCTCCTCACGCAGGTCGTCAATAATGGCGGTGTTCTTATCCATCTCATAGATGTACTGGTTCACTTTCTCTGTCAGTTCCTCAATCTGCTTGTCTTTCTCTTTCAGAACCTACAGCACAAAATATGGTACTCCTTTACAAACATTCCAGTCCACAGACCACAATATATGAACAATTAAGGAATAGTATATAATGCAAATGAACCTTTCCTAACACTGTTGGTTCATGATGACATGCAGGTAGCTCATTAAGCCTTTCTGCAGAATGTAACATATCCAATTATTAAAATTAGCAGACAAATGAAATCTTTAGCAGTTGATCAGCTACCGATAAACACACAAGGATATGAAATATGCCAGATCAGCCATAACCAGTTCCACCTGTACAACTCACCTGTCCAAGAGCTGCCACTGAAGCCTTGTCAGTGTCCATGTTGGCAGCAATCAGCTGATCTCGCAGTTTAAACACCTGGTCCTGCAGCTCCCCAATCTGTTGATCCTTCTCCCCCATCAGGATCTACCAACACATCCTGTATATTACAACATCCCAACGTGCTGATCCTTCTCCCCCATCAGGATCTACCAACACATCCTGTATATTACAACATCCCAACGTGCTGATCATTCTCCCCCATCAGGATCTACCAACACATCCTGTATATTACAACATCCCAACGTGCTGATCCTTCTCCCCCATCAGGATCTACCAACACATCATGTATACTACAACATCCCAACGTGCTGATCCTTCTCCCCCATCAGGATCTGCCAACACATCATGTATACTACAACATCCCAACGTGCTGATCCTTCTCCCCCATCAGGATCTACCAACACATCATGTATACTACAACATCCCAACCTGCTGATCCTTCTCCCCCATCAGGATCTACCAACACATCATGTATATTACAACCAGGATCTACCAACACACATCATGTATATTACAACATCCCAACGTGCTGATCCTTCTTCTCCCCCATCAGGATCTACCAACACATCATGTATATTACAACCAGGATCTACCAACACACATCATGTATATTACAACATCCCAACGTGCTGATCTTTCTTCTCCCCCATCAGGATCTACCAACACACATCCTGTATATTACAACACACAAACGTGCTGATCCTTCTTCTCCCCCATCAGGATCTACCAACACACATAATGTATACTACAACACACCAACCTACTGATCCTTCTTCTCCCCCATCAGGATCTACCAACACACATCATGTATATTACAACATCCCAACCTGCTGATCCTTCTTCTCCCCCATCAGGATCTACCAACACACCATGTAGACTACAACATCCCAACCTGTTGATCCTTCTCCCCCATCAGGATCTACCAACACACCATGTAGACTACAACATCCCAACCTGTTGATCCTTCTCCCCCATCAGGATCTACCAACACATCATGTAGACTACAACATCCCAACCTGCTGATCCTTCTCCCCCATCAGGATCTGCCAACACATCATGTATATTACAACATCCCAACCTGCTGATCCTTCTCCCCCATCAGGATCTGCCAACACATCATGTATATTACAACATCCCAACGGCTGATCCTTTCTCCCCATCAGATCTAAGCAACACATCATGTATATTACAACACACCAACCTGCTGATCCTTCTCCCCCATCAGGATCTACCAACACACATCATGCATATTACAACATCCCAACGTGCTGATCCTTCTCCCCCATCAGGATCTACCAACACATCATGTATACTACAACACACCAACCTGCTGATCCTTCTCCCCCATCAGGGTCTACCAACACACACCATGTATATTACAACACACCAACCTGCTAATCCTTCTCCCCCATCAGGATCTACCAACACACATCCTGTATATTACAACATCCCAACCTGCTGATCCTTCTCCCCATCAGGATCTACCAACACACATCCTGTATATTACAACATCCCAACGTGCTGATCCTTCTTCTCCCCCATCAGGATCTACCAACACACATCATGTATACAACACACCAACCTGCTGATCCTTCTCCCCCATCAGGATCTGCCAACACACATCATGTATATTACAACATCCCAACCTGCTGATCCTTCTCCCCATCAGGATCTACCAACACACATCCTGTATATTACAACATCCCAACGTGCTGATCCTTCCTTTCCCCCCATCAGGATCTACCAACACACATCCTGTATATTACAACATCCCAACCTGCTGATCCTTCTCCCCATCAGGATCTACCAACACACATCCTGTATATTACAACACACAAACCCGCTGATCCTTCTTCTCCCCCATCAGGATCTACCAACACACACCATGTATACTACAACACACCAACCCGCTGATCATTCTCCCCCATCAGGATCTGCCAACACACACCATGTATACTACAACACACCAACCTGCTGATCATTCTCCCCCATCAGGATCTACCAACACACACCATGTATACTACAACACACCAACCTGTTGATCATTCTCCCCCATCAGGATCTGCCAACACACACCATGTATATTACAGCACACAAACCTGCTGATCCTTCTCCCCATCAGGATCTGCCAACACACATCATGTATACTACAACACACCAACCTGTTGATCATTCTCCCCCATCAGGATCTGCCAACACACATCATGTATACTACAACACACCAACCTGCTGATCATTCTCCCCCATCAGAATCTGCCAACACACATCCTGTATATTACAACACACCAACCTGTTGATCATTCTCCCCCATCAGGATCTGCCAACACACACCATGTATACTACAACACACCAACCTGTTGATCATTCTCCCCCATCAGAATCTGCCAACACACACCATGTATACTACAACACACCAACCTGTTGATCCTTCTCCCCCATCAGGATCTGCAACACACATCATGTATACTACATAACACACCAACCTGTTGATCATTCTCCCCATCAGAATTCTGCCAACACACACCATGTATACTACAACACACCAACCTGTTGATCCTTCTCCCCCATCAGGATCTGCCAACACACATCATGTATACTACAACACACCAACCTGTTGATCCTTCTCCCCATCAGGATCTGCCAACACACACCATGTATACTACAACACACCAACCTGTTGATCCTTCTCCCCCATCAGGATCTGCCAACACACACCATGTATACTACAGCACACAATCCTGCTGATCCTTCTCCCCATCAGGATCTGCCAACACACATCATGTATACTACAGCACACAAACCTGTTGATCCTTCTCCCCATCAGGATCTGCCAACATACATCATGTATATTACAACACACAAACCCGCTGATCCTTCTTCTCCCCCATCAGGATCTGCCAACACACACCATGTATACTACAACACACCAACCTGTTGATCGTTCTCCCCATCAGGATCTACCAACACACATCATGTATACTACAACACACCAACCTGTTGATCCTTCTCCCCATCAGGATCTACCAACACACATCATGTATACTACAACACACAAACCCGCTGATCCTTCTTCTCCCCCATCAGGATCTGCCAACACACACCATGTATACTACAACACACAAACCCGCTGATCCTTCTCCCCATCAGGATCTACCAACACACACCATGTATACTACAGCACAGAAACCTGTTGATCATTCTCCCCCATCAGGATCTGCCAACACACACCATGTATACTACAGCACACAATCCTGCTGATCCTTCTCCCCATCAGGATCTACCAACACACATCATGTATACTACAGCACACAAACCTGTTGATCCTTCTTCTCCCCCATCAGGATCTGCCAACACACATCATGTATACTACAACACACCAACCCGCTGATCATTCTCCCCCATCAGAATCTGCCAACACACATCATGTATACTACAACACACCAACCTGTTGATCATTCTCCCCCATCAGGATCTGCCAACACACACCATGTATACTACAACACACCAACCTGCTGATCATTCTCCCCCATCAGGATCTACCAACACACACCATGTATACTAGAACACACCAACCTGCTGATCATTCTCCCCGATCAGGACCTGCCAACACACACCATGTATACTACAACACACCAACCTGTTGATCCTTCTCCCCCATCAGAATCTGCCAACACACATCATGTATACTACAACACACCAACCTGTTGATCATTCTCCCCCATCAGGATCTGCCAACACACACCATGTATACTACAACACACCAACCTGTTGATCCTTCTCCCCCATCAGAATCTGCCAACACACATCATGTATACTACAACACACTGAACCTGCTGATCCTTCTCCCCATCAGGATCTGCCAACACACATCATGTATATTACAACACACAAACCCGCTTGATCCTTCTTCTTCCCCCCATCAGGATCTACCAACACACATCATGTATACTACAACACACCAACCTGTTGATCATTCTCCCCCATCAGGATCTGCCAACACACACCATGTATACTTCAACACACCAACCTGCTGATCATTCTCCCCCATCAGGATCTACCAACACACACCATGTATACTACAACACACCAACCTGTTGATCATTCTCCCCCATCAGGATCTGCCAACACACACCATGTATACTACAACACACCAACCTGTTGATCATTCTCCCCCATCAGGATCTACCAACACACATCATGTATACTACAACACACCAACCTGTTGATCATTCTCCCCCATCAGAATCTGCCAACACACACCATGTATACTACAACACACCAACCTGTTGATCCTTCTCCCCCATCAGAATCTGCCAACACACATCATGTATACTACAACACACCAACCTGTTGATCATTCTCCCCCATCAGGATCTGCCAACACACATCATGTATACTACAACACACCAACCTGTTGATCCTTCTCCCCCATCAGAATCTGCCAACACACATCATGTATACTACAACACACCAACCTGCTGATCCTTCTCCCCCATCAGGATCTGCCAACACACATCATGTATATTACAACACACAAACCCGCTGATCCTTCTTCTCCCCCATCAGGATCTACCAACACACATCATGTATACTACAACACACCAACCTGTTGATCATTCTCCCCCATCAGGATCTGCCAACACACACCATGTATACTACAACACACCAACCTGCTGATCATTCTCCCCCATCAGGATCTACCAACACACACCATGTATACTACAACACACCAACCTGTTGATCATTCTGCCCCATCAGGATCTGCCAACACACACCATGTATACTACAACACACCAACCTGTTGATCATTCTCCCCCATCAGGATCTACCAACACACATCATGTATACTACAACACACCAACCTGTTGATCATTCTCCCCCATCAGGATCTGCCAACACACACCATGTATACTACAACACACCAACCTGTTGATCATTCTCCCCCATCAGGATCTGCCAACACACATCATGTATACTACAACACACCAACCTGTTGATCCTTCTTCTCCCCCATCAGGATCTGCCAACACACACCATGTATACTACAGCACACAAACCTGTTGATCATTCTCCCCCATCAGGATCTGCCAACACACACCATGTATACTACAACACACCAACCTGTTGATCATTCTCCCCCATCAGGATCTGCCAACACACACCATGTATACTACAGCACACAAACCTGTTGATCATTCTCCCCCATCAGGATCTGCCAACACACACCATGTATACTACAGCACACAAACCTGTTGATCATTCTCCCCAATCAGGATCTACCAACACACACCATGTATACTACAGCACACCAACCTGTTGATCCTTCTCCCCCATCAGGATCTGCCAACACACACCATGTATACTACAACACACCAACCTGCTGATCATTCTCCCCCATCAGGATCTGCCAACACACACCATGTATACTACAACACACCAACCTGTTGATCCTTCTCCCCATCAGGATCTGCCAACACACACCATGTATACTACAACACACAAACCTGTTGATCATTCTCCCCCATCAGGATCTACCAACACACACCATGTATACTACAACACACCAACCTGTTGATCATTCTCCCCCATCAGAATCTGCCAACACACATCATGTATACTACAACACACCAACCTGTTGATCCTTCTTCTCCCCCATCAGGATCTGCCAACACACATCATGTATACTACAACACACCAACCTGTTGATCATTCTCCCCCATCAGAATCTGCCAACACACATCATGTATACTACAACACACCCAACCTGTTGATCCTTCTTCTCCCCCATCAGGATCTGCCAACACACATCATGTATACTACAACACACCAACCTGTTGATCATTCTCCCCCATCAGAATCTGCCAACACACACCATGTATACTACAGCACACAAACCTGCTGATCATTCTCCCCCATCAGGATCTGCCAACACACACCATGTATACTACAACACACCAACCTGTTGATCCTTCTTCTCCCCCATCAGGATCTGCCAACACACATCATGTATACTACAACACACCAACCTGTTGATCATTCTCCCCCATCAGAATCTGCCAACACACACCATGTATACTACAACACACCAACCTGCTGATCATTCTCCCCCATCAGGATCTGCCAACACACACCATGTATACTACAACACACCAACCTGTTGATCATTCTCCCCCATCAGAATCTGCCAACACACACCATGTATACTACAACACACCAACCTGCTGATCATTCTCCCCCATCAGAATCTGCCAACACACATCATGTATACTACAACACACCAACCTGCTGATCATTCTCCCCCATCAGGATCTGCCAACACACACCATGTATACTACAACACACCAACCTGTTGATCATTCTCCCCCATCAGGATCTACCAACACACATCATGTATACAACAGCACACAAACCTGTTGATCCTTCTTCTCCCCCATCAGGATCTGCCAACACACATCATGTATACTACAACACACAAACCTGTTGATCATTCTCCCCCATCAGGATCTACCAACACACATCATGTATACTACAGCACACAAACCTGTTGATCCTTCTTCTCCCCCATCAGGATCTGCCAACACACATCATGTATACTACAACACACCAACCTGCTGATCATTCTCCCCCATCAGAATCTGCCAACACACACCATGTATACTACAACACACCAACCTGTTGATCATTCTCCCCCATCAGAATCTGCCAACACACATCATGTATACTACAACACACCAACCTGTTGATCATTCTCCCCCATCAGGATCTGCCAACACACACCATGTATACTACAACACACCAACCTGTTGATCATTCTCCCCCATCAGAATCTGCCAACACACACCATGTATACTACAACACACAAACCTGTTGATCATTCTCCCCCATCAGGATCTGCCAACACACATCATGTATACTACAGCACACCAACCTGCTGATCCTTCTCCCCATCAGGATCTGCCAACACACACCATGTATACTACAACACACCAACCTGTTGATCATTCTCCCCATCAGGATCTGCCAACACACACCATGTATACTACAACACACCAACCTGTTGATCCTTCTCCCCCATCAGAATCTGCCAACACACACCATGTATACTACAACACACCAACCTGTTGATCATTCTCCCCATCAGGATCTGCCAACACACACCATGTATACTACAACACACCAACCTGTTGATCATTCTCCCCATCAGGATCTGCCAACACACACCATGTATACTACAACACACCAACCTGTTGATCATTCTCCCCATCAGGATCTGCCAACACACACCATGTATACTACAACACACAAACCCGCTGATCCTTCTTCTCCCCCATCAGGATCTGCCAACACACATCATGTATACTACAACACACAAACCCCGCTGATCCTTCTCTCCCATCAGGATCTGCCAACACACACCATGTATACTACAGCACACAAACCCGCTGATCCTTCTTCTCCCCCATCAGGATCTGCCAACACACATCATGTATACTACAACACACAAACCCGCTGATCCTTCTTCTCCCCCATCAGGATCTGCCAACACACACCATGTATACTACAACACACAAACCCGCTGATCCTTCTCCCCATCAGGATCTGCCAACACACACCATGTATACTACAGCACACAAACCCGCTGATCCTTCTTCTCCCCCATCAGGATCTGCCAACACACATCATGTATACTACAGCACACAAACCCGCTGATCCTTCTTCTCCCCATCAGGATCTACCAACACACATCATGTATACTACAACACACAAACCTGTTGATCCTTCTCCCCATCAGGATCTACCAACACACATCATGTATATTACCAACACACCAACGTGCTGATCCTCCAATTTGTAGCAATTATTAGAACAAACTGGCAGCACCATTAGAACAATGTACAGCATGAACTGCACTTCAGTCAAATGCTAATTCTGTCAAGTACAGAGACCACTGCATGTATTCGTAAGAAAAGAGATACTGACTGAACTGAACAGAATACCAGAGTATGATCTTCCTGAACTTATCTCCTACCTTCCATTCCTCGATCTTGTTGTTGACGGCAACCATGATGGCATCATCCGACTCTCCTCGTGACTGTACCTGCTCGGTGAGATCAGACACCTGCAGCAGGAGCAACAGTGTCAAATATAAGACACAGTGGCAGTGTAGGAACACACGTTGAACAAGGACACTTATGGCTGGTTATTTGCATGACTATGTTAAACAATAGATCGGGCAATGTTACTGCTTTGATGAAGGACAATTTACTGCCAGTTGACATTGTTGAGCATATCTTTCCTACAAGCTATAGTCATATCTACAGACTTACATCATGTACCTATATGCACAAAAAAAAGAGAGTCTACACCTTTAACAGTTTCTTCACCATGAAAACAGATTTTGATAGACACTTTATTGTCTACACCATTTTCCTCATCTCTATGCAGCTCCTTATGCTGCATTCAGCAGGAGCTATACATCTATGTGCTTGGCATTGATAACAGCCTGGAAGCAAGAATCTTTCACCCCTTGCTTTGGCAGAATTCTTTCTCAGATGTAAAATGTCTTGATTTTCATAGATAATTTATATGAACAGAATTCCAGGCATTGAATTGGTAAGAGATGTTGATATAAGGTTATACTTCACCTGAGCTTTCAGAATCTCGTTCTCCTGTCGGAGTTTATCTGTGACATTGTCCGTCTCCTGCAGGACAGCCTGGAGACAGAACATGCATGTGTTATAATGGAGAAGAACAAAGAACATGCTTGTGTTATAATGGAGGAGTTGTTGTACTTGATGGACTCACCATTGAGGCTCCTCTTAGCAAAGAACATGCTTGTGTTAAATATGGGTTTAGGCTCTCTTAAATACAACCAACTGCTTTTTAAGTGCTAGAGAGTGCTAGACATAACACTTGTAATTCATAGAAAGGAAAGTTCATTTCATTATGCTTTTTATTCTTTTTTTAAATAGTTTTTTCTTTAGTTTCTATGACAGAGGACTTGCTATATATTTTTTATACATATGTTTTCCTTAATGACTAGTGCACTTGTTCCAGATGAAATGTGAACACAAACTACAGACTGACCTTGAGTTTGAGGTAGTCCTCCGTGGTCCTGTCCATCTGTGTGATGGCATCCTCCATCTGGTGCTGAAGGTCCCCGCATCGCTTCTCCAGGGCGTCATTGGCATCTGTCAGATTCTGCAGCACAAATACAATGATGATGATGATGATGATAATTATTTGTCTTGAATTGAAACACAGGATAGAAATGGTGATGATCAAAGCTTTCAGACTGCGAAGCCCTTAGAATCAAGTTGCAACTTCAAGGACACCTAGGACCTTATTTCAATGACAGACACTATATCTCTCGTATGGTGACAACCCATCTTTGAACAAGTGTTTGCCACTGATATGGCAATGTCCCACGCCAATAAAGAATGGAATATCTATATTTACTACTTTTTATTTTTTGGTCACATACAAGATGCCTGAAATGACTGGTATCTGCATTATCACCCAATGTAGGCTGTAGACATAATTGAAGACATTGGGTGCAATGTTTAATGAGATATCGCGCTTACATAAGTTTGAAAAGTGGTCAAAGTGAAAATAAGATCAAGGTAACACTAAAACGACTGGTGTCTGGGTAATCCCTCAATGTAGACTGTCACCAAATTTGAAGACATTGGGTACAACAGTTCATGAGATATCGCTGTTAACAAGAATCGGGATGTACGTATGGATGCCGCTGAATACATAGGCCCCTGTTCCGCGTTGCGGCGGGGGACAATAATACAACATGGTAATTTTTCTTAGTTCTTTAGCACAGTACTAATATCACAAATAACAAATCACACTACAATATTAATTAAATTAAATCTTCAAGTCCCAACCAGATCATCCGGTGATTGACATTGTCAGTATCTATGCATGCCTTATGAAGTTTTTGCGATTACCTGGAGCTCCTCCATTGCCTCAGCCAGTTCGTGGTTCTTTCTCTGGAGCTTCTCTCGGAACTCCAGGTCGTCCACGCGCCGAGACACCAGGTTCTCTCTCTGGGACTGCATCTGCATCTTGTAGTCGCTGATGTCCTGCCGCATCTGGTCATTCTGTAGAGCGAACAATCTCAGTGAGTACAGGTACACACAGTTTTGTACTTACACTCTGCTTTTTGATCATCATGTAATGAGAGAAGACCTAATCAGGTCGTATTGAACACCATTGACATTAACTTCTACTCGGGCCCATTTGACTTTTCAACCCATGCTTGATAAATGTCCAAGCACCTTACAGAAACGTTGCATGGAAAGAATACAGATGTTATTATTTAGTCAACTCTGTCTTCACCAGGACTACAGCTTTCCAAATGCCACTTTTATCACATTGATGACACAACCACCATGGAGGTCTTCAGGATCTACCACTTGGGTGAAATCCACAAGCATGTTTACAGTGCTGACCATCCAATAATCAAGATCAACATCAATATAAGACTTGCACCAGTGATCACAAGATTCTGGACAGTCTAAGGGACACGACTCTGCATATCTAATTGTGGTGTCAGACGACTGGAGCACCTCATGTCCAGTTGATGTAGCAGACAAATTGTGATGTTACCATGTTGAACATATGCAACGGGATGAGTTCCTGTGGCAGTGTAATTTTGTGTAGTGTAAGGGGGTGGTCAACGCCAAAATAGAACACATACACCATTGTCTTGTTTTCATGACACCATTTAACTGATAAGACTACAAGATTATCCTAAATCTTCCTTTGATGCCCTTGTGACAACAACTTATCCTATATCTTCCTTCGATGCCCTCATGACAAGAAGCTTATCCCAGAATCTTCCTTGCATACCCTCGTGACAACAAGCTTATCCCAGAATCTTCCCTGGATGCCCTCGTGAAAACAAGCTTATCCCAGAATCTTCCTTCGATGCCCTCATGACAAGCTTATCTCTGAATCTTCCTTCGATGCCCTCGTGACAACAAGCTTATCACAGAATCTTCCTTCGATGCCCTCATGACAACAAGCTTATCCCAGAATCTTCCTTCGATGCCCTCATGACAAGCTTATCTCTGAATCTTCCTTCGATGCCCTAATGATAACCTACCTCATCTCGCAGTTCCTTGAGTTCCTTCTCCACCTCGCTGATCCGTTCACTATACTGTGGAGAAACAACAGCAATCGTAACATACATCTTCAAGTTCAACAAAGGAACACGGTAATCGTTTACTGGTATAAACGTTTACAAATGATCCTGCTGCTGCTGTGGAGAATGCTATCATTTGGATCTTCTTCCTCAAAATTTGGCTTGTTACAAGAAGTAAGCTACAATTTTATGACAGAATATCAATAATATTCAGTTACATTAGAATTCTGAAACTACTGACTTTACTTTGAGTAAGACGATGAGACAAACCTTCTCTGCTGCACGTTTTTCATTGGTGAGATCTCTCTGGAGATCCTTGAGCTCCTCCTTCATCTGCTGGTTGTGTTCCTCCAGCTCACGGATCTCATCACGTAGGTACCGTGTGTCACGGGTCGTCCCTCCACCGCCGCCACCATCCCCACCAAATTTCTACAACAAAAATGTAGTGTGTGAGTGAGTGAGAGTGAGTGAGTGTGTTAATGAGAGAGCAAGTGTGCTTGATGCTAGATTCATCCTTGTGCAGTGAGTGAGTGAGTGAGTTTAGTTTTACGCCACACTCAGCAATATTCCAGCTATATGGTGGCAGTCTGTAAATAATCGAGTCTGGACCAGACAATCCAGTGATCAACAGCATGAGCATCGATCTGCGCAATTGGGAACCGATGAAATGTGTCAACCAAGCCAGCGAGCCTGACCACCTGATCCCGTTAGTCGCCTCTTATGACAAGCATGGGTTACTGAAGGTTCACTCTAACCCGGACCTTCATGGGTATCTTTGTGCAGCCATATAGTAGCACGATATAGATAATAAGGTCTCGATCACTCAAACCAGTGACTGAAAGCATGAGCACCGATTCACACCATCAGGATATAGTGACCCACAACCAGCTAGTCAACCATCATGGCTCCCTGAGGTAAGATGGTTCTAGCATCAAGCAGAGGTTACTGACGACCTACTCTGATCAAACATCACCACTGGAATACAATACTGAACAGATCCAGCCAGTGCAGAAAATCATGCCTCTTGACAAGTCACTGACCCTAACCACCCAATCCACCTGACTGCCTCTGAAGGCCAGTATAGGTTGGTCCCCAGCAACTGAATAATGACAAGTCACTGAACCTGACAACCAATCCACCTGACTGCCTCTGAAGGCCAGTATAGGTTGGTCCCCAGCAACTGAATAATGACAAGTCACTGAACCTGACAACCAATCCACCTGACTGCCTCTGAAGGCCAGTATAGGTTGGTCCCCAGCAACTGAATAATGACAAGTCACAACCAATCCACCTGAACCCAGCAACTGAATAATGACAAGTCACTGAACCTGACAACCAATCCACCTGACTGCCTCTGAAGGCCAGTATAGGTTGGTCCCCAGCAACTGAATAATGACAAGTCACTGAACCTGACAACCAATCCACCTGATCCTGACTGCCTCTGAAGGCCAGTATAGGTTGGTCCCCAGCAACTGAATAATTACAAGTCACTGACCCTAACCACCCAATCCACCAACGCCTCTGAAGGCCAGTATAGGTTGGTCCCCAGCAACTGAATAATTACAAGTCACTGACCCTAACCACCCAATCCACCAACGCCTCTGAAGGCCAGTATAGGTTGCTGAACACCTACTGTAACAAGGTTATGTCTATTTATAAATGAGACCCCTGTTGGGACAGCCCTACATCACTGACAATAACAGCAAACCTTCAAGTCATTGATCTCCTTCTTCAATTTGTCCTGTTCGTTGGCCAGCTCTTGCTCTGGAAAGGAAACATTTAGAAGCAATATTAGTCTTGTTTCTTTGTTGTTGTCCAGCACCACATCCATCAATACTCCAGTTACACAACAAATTTTGACCAACTGACTGATCTAGTAGTCACTATCATTAGCAATGATCCATGCTGTTGGGGTATGATGCTTATTATCAACCAGGGTGCTGTTGTACAAAGACATCTTAATGCTAAGGTGATTGCTAACTCCAATACCATCACTTAATGCTAACTCCAATACCTTAAAGGCACAATGTCACACATTTTCGACAGTATTTTGGCCTATATTATTTATATTGGGGCATAAGCACTCACTTTAGCTTCCTATTGATGCAATAAAAAACTTATTATCCCTTACGACTTGCCTGAAATTGATAATTAAAACAACACTTGCCATATAGACATAGACATAGACATAGACATAGACATAGACATAGACATAGACATAGACAATACTTTATTACCTTAAAAGGAATTCGTTTTGGTTCACAGAGCTTGACAAAAATGTAAACAATTGCTCCGTACATCGAAAACTGTCGCATGTGGTGTTCTCGTTTGCAGAACTGGTTTCATTCACAATTTGTGCGTAGGATATTCATAAAGAGCTCTCCAAGGGACATAACTCTATGGGGTTTGCTTGAAATAATGTTAGGCTGGTAGAGGGCGCAAGAGTCGATTTAATGCAATGTTGCATTAATTCATTTGAACTTTTTAATTTAATATTGTAATCTAAATACAAAATTTTGTTTGGAATAAATTAAATGGCAGCTTCCCTGAGGGCGGATAGTTAGTAATATTGAGAGAAATGCATTATCTATTTTTAGAAAAGTGTGGTGTGATATTGTGTCTTTAATTTAGGATTTTACTCAAATTTCAAATTGAGTTGACTATTTGAAACAGCTGAGTTTCTAACTCAGTCGCAATTCTAAAACCACAACAACTCATGTAACCTATCTATCTAACTCAAATTGTCTACTAACTTAGTACTAAGTTTCAGTTTTTTATCCATTTCAGTTTATTGTGAGAAACGCATTTTCCTGCTTTTTCGCAAATTTGAGTGAAAACTGTAACTTTAGTCAAAACTCAGACTTAAGTTTGTTTCGAGAAATCGGGGCCTGTTCTGTCCACATCAAGCCAAAATTAATCAAGACACTATAACCCACCTATACAAAGAGACAGAGCCCAGTGTACTGAGATAATTTGTGTGCATTAAGAACATCAACTTCATAATGAAAACTAGCTGGTGAAATCTATTGCCACTATGCCTAAAAGAATAAAACTCTCACATTTACACAATAACAAAATCAACAAACTTCTGTTTTTTTATCAATTAGAGATGACAGCAGAAAGATAATCATTTTGATATTCAAGATCAAACTGACTGATTCATTGTTATCAATTAGACATGACAGCAGAAAGATAATCAGTTTGACATTCATTGGTCACTTTCCAGCACTATTCAGTGTTTATTTGTTGTTTAACACTACAATCAGCATTATTACCACTATGTGAAGGTGGTAGGTAAATATTTGTCTGGACCTGGCTACCCAGGGATCGACATTATGAGCATTTCTCTACACAATGCATGTATAACAAAGTCAGTGGGACTGACCACCCGATCAGTTGCCCTTTACGACAAGCTTGAGTTTCTGGGCCTAGATTTTCTAAGATACTCGTAAGTTAATGTTAATGTATGGCACTTACGACTATCTTAGCGATAAGAGAGCTTCGAAAATCTAGGCCCAGGGCAACTATTCTGACCTGGATCTGCAAGAGAGTCTATTTGAGTATTCACCTTTCTTCTTGGCAGATTTCGTGTCCTTCTCCATCTCCTCGATCATCTCCTCACACTGCTGGTTGCGGTTAACCATCACCGCCTTCGTCACCTTGAACAGCTGCTGCAGCTTCCCCCCATCCGTCTCCCCACCAGCATCCCCCTGGTAACAACATCATCATCATCATCATCATCATCACATACAGCCTTGTTGACACAACTTCTGGGGAAACTGACCATTGCAACACAACTGGCGTATGATGAAAGGGAAAGAACTGACCCTTTTGTGATGCTAGGTAATAAGAGGCAAAGACTAAATACACCAACAATCCTCATATTTATAATTCTGAAGACTAAACTAACCCAGACCTACATGATATAACTGATTTGTTGTTGTTTAACTCACACTCAGCAATATTCCAGATATATGGAGTCAGTCTGTAAATAATCAAGTCTGTACCAGACAATCTGGTGATTAACAGCATGAGTGAGTGGGTGAGTGAGTGAGTTTGGTTTTACAACTCTTTTAGCAATATTCCAGCAATATCACAGAGGGGACACCAGAAATGGGCTTCACACATTGTACAAGGTTTTTACATGATGCGTGATTCCTGCGTATGTGAAGCAACAATTTTCTGAAAGACTCTCAAAATATTATCATACGAGTCAAGTTTGACGCAAGTTTTATGAGTGACCCTCAGAATTCAGTTCAATGAAATCGATTTAATAAGTTAACAAAAATAGTTATTGCAAACTGTTGATAATGCTCGTGTTATTAACAGAAAGTACAGGAACGCCGAGAGGTTTAAAATAGAGCTATGTTGCAATGCGGTAAAGATACCAGCCAATAGCATTTGAGTACGTGGTTGCTTTATTTAAACAGCCAATAGCAGTTGAGATACGTCATTCGCTATGTTTAGACCATGTTTTGGTCATGTAAGCATGGCCAGTCCTGCTCAGTAACAGAGGTCGCTTGACTCGTTTTTCATTAATGAAAGCGAAAGAACCAAATCTCATTACGTTTCTAATGATGATGCAAATAAATCGAGCACTAAAACCAACTGTAAAACAGCGTCAATAAAATCAAGACCTGTGATATGTGCATTCGGGCAAAAAATAAAACGAACCCATTTACATTTATACTGGATTTTTTTCATGATTGAATTAAACAGTGAAAATTATACCATATATATTGCCGTAGATAAGCTGAATTTTGAAGACCGAAAAGCAACCTGTAGAAGGGGGTCGGCTTATGTACGGGTAACACTTTTGTCAATTTTTGGGGGGTGACCAGTAAGAAAATGACATCGTATCGACCTCAAATTTGCAATTAAACATCACCAGACAAGATTATTTACCTTTTAAGTTCTAATTTGTTTTTGCTAGGCATTGTATTATATGCAGGGATTAAGATTACTGACTGTATTTGTCTCGTATATAGAGCCGGAAATAGCAATCAGCTGTCAACATGCTTCCTGGCGATCTTGTTAAAACATATCCAATAAAATAACGGGTTGAATTCTGACACAGTGATCGGTAAAATATAACATCTAAAACTATTATTTTACCGACAGAAATATATCCTAGCATTGTGTAATTTTAATTACAGGTTTTACTCTATAAATGTAACATATGTATAATCAACACTAAGGTTATATGGACCCTCACAAATATGATAAGGGGCAGTTGTACGCGCATGGAATGAGGTGAAATAAGCACGCCATTTCACACATGTTTTCACTGATATTACTGTAAACTAGTGGCCATGGATGACGAGGCAGTAAGCAGTTCGTGATTGTTAAGAATAATGTGAAATTGGAGCTATCGCGGTTGGAGCGAAAAGGTACCCTCACGAACATGGTAAGCAGAAGTTGTACACGCATGGAATGAGGTGCCAGTTTGTTGACATGTGATCGTGCAGCTACAATAAATATGATATTTAGTGAAACAAAATATATATATAAACCCATTTTCTGTCAACTACACTTCATTTCGAGGCGTGAGTAAACGCAATATGATTGTGATTTTTGTGTGTGATGCGAACCAAAGTTATAATTATCAGTAACTGCCAGTTGTCTGTGGTCTGAGTTGGCCGTGATAACAACCCCATCGTGAGGGGTCGGCTTATATACGAAACATACCATTTTGATACTGATTTTAAGAGTCAAGGGTACTATTTATAACTAATCATATAAATGACAATACAACACAAAACAACAAAATCTTTGCAAATCTCTTGCTTTTTGAATAACACAAAGTACCACAAAATTCTTTTTCAGAAGAAGTCCTCCTTGGGTAACATATAAGCATTAAAATGTCCATTTCAAATCCTACAACGGTTGTAACTCTATTTTTCAATAAAATATTTACAAAACAAAAAACTTGTTTTGTCTTGTGAGACCACCCCTACAGGGCCCCACCGGATACCCTACAGCCAAGAGCAGGTAACTCTCGCCGTCTACCTCGTACCTCACTTTTCATGCTGTCGTTCTGTTGAATAGACGTGCGTGGTGTTCGTTTCGAGTTTGCTCTCCTACAGATGCGATGAGTGTAAAAGAGTCTCAATCTGTATGTATGGTTCCTTTCTTTACGCACGGGCGTTAGATGGACTTCATATTTTGATATTCTCATTCATCTTTTGTTGTAACTTTGCCGTGGGTTCTCTGTTTTCCAGCCTTGTGGCAGGCAAAATGGCGGACCTCGCGATCGTGTTTTCTTTGCTACATGTTCTTGGTAGCTTGTAGTAGGGAGTTCATATATTATGTTTGCATATTATATGGTAGGCTTGCCTAAATTCTCTCTCTTTTCAGCGAATTTGTGGTAAGTCGTTGTTGAGTAATTTTGATAGTGTTCGTTTCGTATCACTCAAATTTTCCCACTGGTATGTACATGCAGGTGTGGCTAGCCTTTTTTCTGCTTTGCATTGTATGTTTAGTATTTGAATGGCTGTAGCTTGTAGCATTTAAATATCGCCTGTGCGTTTTATTTATTGCTATTTACTTGTGTTTATATGTTTGCTGCTTCACAGTTCCTGCTAGTAACACTGGCGTGGTTCTGCTTGTTGCAGTTTAAGCCCTGTGCATTGTGCCGTGCACACTACCGCCACAGGATGGTCATAAGGTGTGCCTCTGGTGTTTACCCGAGGACGCTCACGACGATTGAGGATGTTCATAATAAGCGCCCTTGCGTCAATATTTCCGTTACGTTATGTTGTGTTATGCTACACATATACACATTTCATACGTTTACACACAAACGTGGCTCATAGTGGCCGAGGTTGTTTTTTTTTGCCTGGGTTTCTGCGCCTCATGCGCATTCTTTCAGGCACGCAGATTTTATGTTTCTGCTTCAGGCCGGGGATAATTTTTGATGAAAGGTTTCTAAGGAAATCCCTTTATCATCCCCCGCCTACTCCTCCCCCACAAACAATGTTGCTACACTACGATTGATTTCTTACTTTAGCAGCAGCGGAGATCGTCGGTGCACGCTCTTATCTCAGACGTGGTTTCCAGACTCCAAGAGGAGATTGGTACCCGGTCTACGGGTAGAGATTACATAGGCCCATCATTTGGGGGAGGTCCCGACCTGAGTTCCGGCTCCCGTAAGGGTCCGACCTCCCGGGGACGATCGGACCCGAGCTTCAGCTCCGGGGATGCTCTGAACCTGGGGACTAGCACCGACCTGGGCTTTGGCCCCGGTACGGCGCAGATCCCTGGCGCCGGTAGCTCAGGTCCGCCTGATGTCTATCAACGCTCAGGCCAGCAGGCTGCCGACTGTGACGGAGCTACCGAGCTGCCGATCACCTCGACGCTCCAAGGTCTACTCATGTACACCAGGGTAACCCTGCATTGCTAGGCTACACCCATGTGTCTCGGGCCGGGGTCGGACTCTTTGAACCTGGGGACTAGCACCGACCCGGACTTCGGCCCCGGTACGGCGCAGATCCTGGGCGCTGGTAGCTCAGGTTTCGGCCTGATGTCTATCGATGCCCAGATCAGGAGGCTGTTGAGTGTGACGGAGGTACCAAGCTGCTTATCACCTCGATGTTCCGAGGTCTACCCGTGTACCCTAGGGGAACCCTGCATTGCCAGGCTACACCCATGTGTCTCGGGACCGGGGTTATAACTCTTTGAACCTGGAGACTAGCACCGACCCGGACTTCGGCCCCGGTACGGCGCAGATCCTGGGCGCTGGTAGCTCAGGTGTCCGCCTGATGTCTATCGATGCCCAGATCAGGAGGCTGTTGAGTGTGACGGAGGTACCAAGCTGCTTATCACCTCGATGTTCCGAGGTCTACCCATGTACCCTAGGGGAACCCTGCATTGCCAGGCTACTCCCATGTGTCTCGGGACCGGGGGTTGGACTAGCACCGACCTGGGCTTCGGCCCCGGTACAGAGCAGATCCCCGGTGCCGGTAGCTCAGGTCTTGTTGAGTGTGACAGAGTTACCGATCACCTTCACGCACCGAGGTCTACCCTCGTACACCAGGAGAACCCTGCATTGTCAGGCTACTCCCAGGTGTTTCGGGATCGGGTTCTGGTCTAGAACCGCCGAGCTTCGGCTCTGCGGAAGCTCTGAACCCCGTGAGTAGCACCGACCCAGACTTCGGCACTGGTAGGGCGCAGATTCCTGGCGCCGGTAGTTCAGGTCTCGGGGCTGATGTCTTTCGACGCCTTGACCAAGAACCTATCGAGTGTGCCTGGTGTGTCGGTCACCTCGACGCTCCGAGGTCTATCTGAGTGCTTGGGATACCTTGATTTATCAGGCTTCTCCTATGTGCCTCGGAACCGGGGTTCAGACTCGTACTGTGGACAAGTCGATTTGAGCTTCGGCTCTTTTCGATACTTTGAACTTAACAACTGAGTAGGTTCGTCCCTGAGGCAAGTGCAAGATAGAATCGCGGCTGTGTTGCCCCAGGTATTGTCCACGTAATACCCGAACCGTTGGAGTTCGCCTCCCAGAGGGAAGCCTGCTTTCAGCAGGGCATCTGGGACAAGGCCTCACACTCTACCGTCAGTCTGCCGTTCTTTCCCCTTAACAGCTCAACCCTGTATGCTCCACTTGGCGCATCTCTCAGCTCTGCTGAGGGAGCTGGTGGAAAGGGGAAAGAGTGCCGGTGATTTTTCATCGGCGACTCTGGGCAGCATCTGACGGAGGTCAACT